GGCGACGGAGATGTGAACAGAGCCGTGGTCCTTGGGCTTGATGATGCGGTTGGTTGGGCTGCAGTTGCAGGGGGGGGGGGGGGGGGGGGGGGGGGAAGAGGGGGGGGAAAGAAGGATAAGAAGGGGTAAGAGCTTAGTTGTAAAAGAAAAGGGCGAGAAAGATTGCGAAAAAAAAAGTAAAAAGTTAAATTTGAATTCACTATGTGTAGGTAACTAGCTGCGCATTACAGATATATATCACTTTTTTTTCTTCTTCCAAAGAAAAACGAGAAGACAAGGGTTTATAAAAAAAAAGCATTTGTTTAATATTTGTATAGATATATGACAAAGGAAAAAGAACGGCATTTGGGGAAAAAATAGATATAAGAAAGAGAGAGAGAGAGAGAGAGAGAGAGAGAGAGAGAGAGAGAGAGAGAGAGCAGTTCCACCATGGTTTCGAGCGAGAAGAAGATAGACATGTCATCACAATTCCAAGCAAGGAGAGAGCATAATATCAAGTTGATTTTGAAAAGCAGAGTTAGAGTACAGACTTGTGCTGAGGCCAGGGAAAGCGAATGATCTCGTTCTGATCTCAAGTAACGAAAACACCAGATACCTAGTTTGATCAAAGGAAGAGTCATATCTGCCATGGAGAGAGTGGAGATGGAGATGCATCACTCGTAAAGCTCGTGACGAATTCTGAGCTCCTCGCTGGTAACAGAGGCGGTCTTCAACAGGGCGAAAACCTCGGACCTCTGCAACACAACACTGCGAACACCGGTCTCTTCAAAGGATCTCTCTTCGATAAGGGGGACGATGACAAAATTGACAACTTTCTTGGCACCGGGCTCGAACTTGTCGTCCTCGTAGATGATGTTGCTTTCATCATTGTGAGTATCTTGACGGTACTTGGGATATGTGGCGCTAGAGTCCTGAGGAGACACAGTCATGCGAACCGCGATACTCTAAGCCTGAGCGGCAATCTCCAGTAGTTCATTGCTGGAGGAAACCAACAGAGGTTGAGGGACAAGCGAGGATATGATCTGAGCGATGCGGTCGCATAGAGCAGTGAGGCGAGGATTAATTTGGCCGAGGTTGAAGTCGGGATGATTCATCATAATTCCAGCAACGGTGGCGCGGGTCGAGTGGGCTTTGGCAAGGCCGATGTAGTCACCAGGGTGGCGGTTGGGGTGGTACCCGGAATTAGCCCATGCGGTGTGCCACTCATCAAGGAGAGAACTGTACCGTCCCTGGAGGAAGGCGGTGGAAAGGCTGTTCATGTTGAGAGTATTGTTGATGATGGCACAGCATAGGGGGACACGGAGGTCAGACTCCATCATGCCACGAATGAAGTGTATATCATTATCAATGCCAGATGCTGCGTCACGCAACTCCACGCGCCTGGGATCGTTGGGGTAGTGAGACGGTGCTTGACAAAATTTCGACTGAGTTGAACAAAGCGGACAGATCTCCTGATAGCGTTCTTGCATAGAATGAGCTGATTTACGCCAAGGATGGGCTCGTTCCTGTCACTGAAGAGATCAGACTCGCTAGTTGGAGGGCCATTGTTCTCTTGGCTAGTAGGAGGGCCGCTGCGCGATAAAGCTGGCGAAGGCGCGTACTGTAAGCCTCAGCTTTGAGTGTTGAGCCAGTTCTCGACGTGGATGAGGCGCCCGTCCATTCGATCGAGGCGATTCACGATATCCTGCTGCGACTCCTGAAGACTCTCGAACATGGCAACGATCGAAGGGTTCATTGTCTGATCCGAGTACTCGGTAGGAGGACGAGCCTGAGTACTGCTCAGGGTTGGTGGAGGGGTCTGCGTAGCATCAAAGTTAGGAGAAGCAGATGCTCCGACAGATCCTGTGTCAAATAGGGACTGCATATTGGCAATCTGCTAAACAAGACTAGCAAGCTCTGTAGACGCTGAAGTACCAGTCTCATCAGTAACGGCGGCTGTGTGGCCTGTGGGGCTGATCTGACCAGGGGATGCCATGATTGAAGGTTTGGTGAATGATATAGGAAGAGGAAAAGTATCTGGGCAGAGAGAAAGACTTATAGCGGCGGTGCCATGATCGCTGCGATGTTCCAGAAGCGAGTAGATGTCGCTCTCTAATGATTTTTCCCAGCAACTCGTGGTTGCGGACCTCGTTAGCATTGTTGTCCGTACCTTTGCACAATACCGCGGATTCGCATGGGACACAAACGAAGCAAAGCAAACAAGTTCGTGTATCAAGACAAGAACCCTGCTCTTCTACCCTACACGTCGACTGTATCCGTGTATCCTATTGTTCAACCATGACCTACTCCATAGTAAAATGTGCTGATGAATCAGCACAAGTCAGACACCATATCCTTTGAGCGATGGGCTTCCAGAGAACATGAATTGAACCCAGAGTTGCCGAACACCTTTGCTAGATGGGAAGCAAGACTGCAGATACAGCAGGAGCTGACGTCCACAGTTAGTTAAGCCTTGGCTTCCTCGTCCAGCAGCGGGATGGTTCCGCTCCTTCTCTTTGCAAGCCTGCGACGATTCTTCCTGCGTCATACTGCGAGCACAGCCAATGCAGTGCTTTGTGACAAGACTCGATTGTTGACAGGGGAGCTGCCTGCTGACATGATCTGGGCAAGCATCGTGTAGCAGTAGACACGAGGCACCCGAGGCAGGTCCGCTGGCAAGCGGCGGCCGTGAACCTCGAGTTGCTTGGATCAGTTACCTTCTCAACCAGCACCCACCGGCACGATACCGTGACACATGACTTGGAGCGCATCAATCTGTCTGTAGGATGCCATCTGCATAGAGTATTGAAAGCATACACTCCATGTCGAGCCGCGAGCAGGCACATTACTCCGCCCACGTCGATCAGAAGCTTCCGCGGCATCCTTCTGTATTCCGAACCCAGCCGTTCACTGGCAAGTACACGCGAACGGCGGTATAGACCACAGTCTCGAGCAATATCTCCCATCACCATCCGCGGAAACTATACGCTCGGGCGAAGGAAGAAACACACATGTTCTATCGAAAGTGAATCTATTGCTTGAACTCCACTGCGGCCAGATCCTTTGTGACTCCATCATTCACTCCTTGTCGGTCCGTTGCTTTATTAGGTAGGTGGGCAGGTTGCCCAAGTCGCACATCGCTTCGCCAGACGACAGTCCGCTTGTTGCTAGACTCGCACGTTGCAACAGCATCGTCGCTGCTGCATGTCTCCTTCGGCCGTATGGAGATGAAGAGATCATCTTTGGGGCTACGAGTCACACGCCATCTGTGTCGCCAGAGACAGCATATCAGAGCACCGCATAGGTGGAACTGATCAGCGGCAGGCATTCTGCTGTGACATGTATGGACGGAAGATTCCAAAAATATCACCATGGCCAAAGTACGTAGCTTTTAGCACTCCTATGTATCCGTCTAGCTGCGTTGGATTTGCAAAGCCTACTTGGGTGGACATGTACGATCTACAAAGGCTCGAACGCCTGTCGACTCTTCCATGCGAAAGTCTCTTGGCCCAAACTAGTGAGCACATAACAATGAATTTGATTACTTCCATAGCTGGCGCGATTCATGGGGCACATCTTACTGCTATCATTGCGACGCAATTTTGTCCAAGAATAATCCAAACAACAGATACGATGACAGTCGCTTAACCAGAACGTTTGACAGATCTCGGATGATCCAAGCTCGAAGCGTTGATCATTTGCACCAAAAGTTTAACTAATCACTGTAGCCGAAGGCCGAACGACCCTTGGACTCGCGACGTTCCATGATCTTCAAACAACCCCTCTTCCCACACCTTCCAGATGATCAATCTTCCATCGCAAAACTTCCACAAATCGCATTGTCAAGACAGTTGTCACCTCGCTTGGAAGAAGGTGCTTGTCCAAGCCACGAGACATGTCATTCGTCGGAAGGAATCGCGGGGAACCCATGCTAGCTTCCTGCAGATGAAACAAGCCATAGCTACAAAGCTTTTTCGACGAAACCACATCGTCAACTCCTCCTATTAATCTACTCTGTGCTTACTGGCAGGGCTTCGATAGGGCTTTGCTATTATACGGTTCTAGAGATGGTCCTGAAACGCGATGCCCTGTAGGCTGTCGGCTGGAAAGCACGTTTTCGCGTCTTGCATGGTTCGTGTCTTCCGTCAACTCCGTTCATGGGGGAGGTGAGTCTTTTCATATATAACAAAGTCCCAAGTCTCCTGGAAACACTCTCTTCTTGACATCCTGCAATCTTCGATATCTTCTTTCCACTTCTCGAACCAAAGTCAGACTGGTGCTGTCTTTGTATACCATACTCTCATTCAACCTTTGAACACACTATCCTTCATACTCAACACTTCTATTCTCCGTCAACATGAAATTCGTCACCGCTGCTGCCATCATGCTGGGTGTTGCCTCGGCCGCCCCTACTGCAACCATTGAAAAGCGCGCTCAACAGTGCGGTCAGTGGGACAGCAAGGTCACCGGCGCCTACACCCTGTACCAGGATCTCTGGGGCATCTCCGGCTACTCTGGCTCTCAATGCTCCGACATCAACAGCCTCAGCGGCAGCACCCTAAACTGGTGGACCACGTAAGTCTCGTCTCCAATTCTCAAAGACGAGCGTTCGCACACTAACGCAATCATACAGCTGGTCATGGTCTGGCGGCTCCAGCCAAGTAAAGTCCTACGCCAACGTCGTCACAAAGACCAACCCCGTCAAGATCTCCGCCATCAAATCCCTCGCCACATCCTGGAAATGGGTTCAAACCGGCTCCAACGTCGTCGCCGACGTCGCCTACGACATCTTCACGTCATCCACTGCAGGCGGAAAGAACGAATACGAAATCATGGTCTGGCTCGCTGCTCTGGGTGGTGCTGGCCCCATTTCCGCCACCGGCTCTCCCATCGCTACCGTCACTGTTGCTGGCCATAGCTGGAAGCTTTGGTACGGAAACAATGGTGTCAACGAGGTTTACTCGTTCACTCCTAATGGAAGCAATGTTGCTAGCTTCAATGGAGACTTGATGGATTTCTTTGCTTACTTGATCAAGAGTCAGGGATTCAAGGATAGCCAGTACTTGATTTCTGTTGGTGCTGGAACTGAGCCTTTCACTGGTTCTAACGCTAAGCTTACCTCTGCTTACAGCTTGGTTCCTTCTTACAAGTAGGGATCGGGTTGGTAGAGATAGGCTGTTGCGTCGACCGTGGAGAGGGTTATTGGATCATCTATGAGAGCATTTATTCTCGGACGAGCTGTCCTTCAACATATCCAGTGGCATGATACTGCTGTCAAAGATACATATCCTGCTTTTTCGAATATCAAATCCTGCGTCTCTTAGATCCAATACTATGAAGACAGCATATAGCCTTGAAGCAAAACCTCCTCCAAAAACATGATCAATATCGAGATCCGAAAGTACCCAGGCACGGATGATGAATTACTCTCATGCCAGAAAAGATGTGACCGGCGTTATTCTCGGATGTGACACCTTCCAATCAACCTCTTCATCCTATCACAAACTCCTCCATCTGAGCAGCCCTTCACGCCAGCATAAAATGTCGGTAAATCACCCAACCTCATCGTCACAATTTCAATCTCCCTCCCCATCCCCTCCTTCATCTTAATACCCCCTTAACTCTCATCCTCAATCATCTCCCCCTCTGCATCACGAAAAGAATTACAAGATCCGAGAATCTCTCTTCTCCCCCCAAAGCCAGCCCAGCCCAGCCCACCTTCTGGATATAGATTTATACTTTTGCTTCCATCAACACCGTTATGTGTAAAACGTCTCTTTAACGAGTCACACAGTATTGCCGTTGGAAACTCTGATGGGTCTGGCTTTTTGCTTTTTGCCACATGTGGGTGTTTCAATCCCCTGGTATGTCATTTTGCGCGTGGCCTTAACTCATGGGAATGTCGTCTGTTGGTGGAGCTTTGGGTGAGGATCGCAATGGAGGTTTAGGTCGAGGGGGGTGTGAGTCAGAAGTGCTTCGGCTATGAGGCAGGGGGAGATTTGTGAGATTGCGAGGATACGATGTGGAAAGATGGTACGAGGGCTAGTATGGCATATGGCACATGGTACAGAAAGAGGCGTATGGCCAGGATCTGGGCATAAGAGAGACGGCGTATGCCTGGACCTCGAAAGGGAGGTTGCATGACCAGAATTTGCATATCGCCACGAGGACGTACGACCAGAAGTTCAGACTTCGAATGTGTGACAGTCGGACTAATGGACAAAATGAGGAATGATGTGAGACTGAGTTGTGGAGGTGAGAAAGAAGTGCAGTTACTTCGAATGTGGTCTTGAATAGGGTACAAAAGGGTGTATGTACATTTTGTGCTCGACGTAGCAAGCTGTTACGAGGTTCATGGTCGTGGCAAGAGGGGTATCAGAGAAATACGAAAGTATGATCAAAGAAAGGAAGGGAAAAAGATATGCGCAAGTGCCGCTGATCGCTAAGAATGCAGAAAGATGAATCAGGGGATCCGATCAGAATGATTGTGTCTGTAGTCTGACAGATGTTCTGATGTGGACTTCTTTGGGGAAATTGTTTTCCAAATCCCTGAGAGCGAATTGTTCCCACTCGGTGTTGTTTGTGGTCAGGCAGAAAGAGTCGGACTGTGAGGTCGGCTTTCCGATGAGTGTGGCGATACTGGTAGTGTGACTCTTCTTTCTGCCATTGAACATGTTGGACGCCGAGTGGAAGGATGAGGTGCCGTCAAAGACCACGTCCTTGTCGAATTCATCCCAAGACATGCTGGGGGGGATGCAGTCGCCGCCGCCTGGCTGATGAGGCGACGTCTTCGATCTTGTGAAACGAGCCTTTTGTGTCGAGCACCAGGAACAAACGAGAGTCCAGAGTGGTCGGAGTGAGGGTACGCAAGCACACAACTGCAAGATACGTTAGCAAGGGCATGTGGCCTGATCAGACTTCTGAAATACATACGAGACCAACGTAAATCTCGACATCAGCACAGATCCACAAAGGTAGTGCTCCCCATGTGATGTCATTGGTACCGATGAAAGCTCGGTACACATATACTTCTCGGACGATACCAGCAGCTGTAGCGATCGTCCCTAAAGAAAGCAACACAGTGGCTGCCATCCTCTGCTTAAAGACCACATTCAAGCGCGCAACGATTGGCAATGGAAGGACATTGACGATGAAGTCAACTGTTGTAAGCAAGGCTCCAACTGTGGTGATGGAAACGCCTTCGTTCAAACAGTGGGCATCACCTCTCATGTCCAATGTCCAAGCGGCTCGGACAGGCCTGTATATTGTCAGGCATGTGCACACGAGACGATTCTGTCATCACTTACCAGCACTGGAATACCGATACGAAGACGCCGACGAGACACAGAGCGAAATTCAGACCCATCACTCCATAGATGACTCGTCGGATCGGCTTCTCGGCAAGGTCTTTGATAAGCCACAGATAGAACAGCAACAGAGCTGTCCGCACAAAGGTGCTACTCACGACGAACAATATCTTTGTGGCGATATACGCTTTGGCGGAGGTCGTTAGTACGTCTGCAGGAATGCTCCATATATGTCGATCCCATCCATAATGTGCCTAGATATCGCGTTAGTGATCCTATTGGTGCTCATGAGCGACACTAGATACATACCATTGCCACATTCACAGTCGCACCGAATCCTACTGCAAAAATCTAGAATGGATTCCATAAGCCAAAGTTGAACATGTCTCAAACATTGAACATGGTCCACATACGAGCGCAAGTGCGATGAACAGGTCATCCCACCAAAGTCCGCGCTTGGATCCCAGTCGCATCCGACAGTAGAATCGCGCCGCCACGACCACAAATGCAAGACCCATGAGAATGTCATTGCCGTAGATGTAGCCCTTGGCTCGATTTGAGAGACCATCCCGGTCCTGTAAAGGAGCCATCACCAGATCCACCAGACACACGGCCGTAAGTTTCCAGATCCAGCGGTGTGGTGCGTCTGTGCACTGTAGAGGGGGCCGGTTTGGTAGTGGTAGTTTCCCGGGCAGTGTAAAAAGTCGCGTCGCGTGTCGGAAACCTAGAGGAAGCTACTGCACGAGGAATGCAGGCGGGGAGTTTATTATACTTGAGTAACCTCCATGGTTTTTTAAGGTGTATTGGGACCTGGAGCTGTCTCAGTAGTAGATGCGTGGCACCAACGTAGAGTGCGTACCTACAACGTGGATTCGCGCTGCGATGCCTATTTTGACAGCTGCGACATTCAGCTCTGCAGCAATATAACGACTCTTCGGGCCAACATTGTCTCGGTCAGAACGGGTGTTGCGATGAACGGGTGCTCATCAGGACCTCTGGCTTGATGATTTGCTCGGCATCTCGAACAGCCTAACGGTTGTATTGAGCGGGTCACCGTCTTTTGCGAGTCCGGTGATAGAACGCCCAGGGCACGATCGAACGGCCACGAGGCTTTGCAGATGAAATATTCGAGGCGAGCAATTAGACTGCTCTCACCAAAAGCCAGTCGAGTTGTGGTGGGAAGAACCCTCTGTCATGTCTGTCGATTACGACAACGGGCGCGGCAGCTCAGTCGGAAAAGTCCTTACCCTGTGGGTCTTGCTTTATCAATGTCTCGCAGAGGACGTCCTGCCGTCATCTCAAACAATAGTCACCTCGCGTACAGGCCTCAGGTCTCAACATGGCTTGATGAGGTGAACACACTTTTCGTGTATTCTTACGGACTCGCAAGTGGTTTGGCCAAGTATACGAACCATGGCGGCGTCGACGTGGTAAGACTTACATACTGGGTCGGCAAAGAATCCTTCTACCAGCGGCGGAGGAAAATCGACCACAAGGCCGATAAAAATGTCTCGGGTCTCGAAGGGCAGGTCTTGTTGAGCACATAGAATGAGATGTTCAGTGCCAAGCGCCTTCCAGATCCGACTTTCCGAGTGCGGTAGGAGCCGATCCGGACAACCCGTGCACGCCCAGACTATACGTCCGTATCGACAACGTCTTCTTATGTCAATCAAAGCATGTTCTTGATGATCACTCATCGCATCTGTATCGACAACGAAGAACGCCGCTGGAGTCATCACTTTGCTTTACTCGAGAACGGCAGGTGCGAGGCACTTGTGAGACTTGTGCATGATGAATCCTGCCAGACTGGAAAACGGGTGTTGCGTCTCGGTCGGCACTGTGATTTCATTGTCAACGGCCACACGCGATGACGGTTCCTGCTTCTTTCCCACGAGGAAGACCCAGAACACGATCGCTGGCAAGCGGTTGCGTCTCCCTTTGTAAGCCGGCCTCCCGCCCAAAGGGGCGCTTCTACACGACGGTGGTGGCTTTTAGGTCGAAGTTTCTGAGGCAAACGTTGGACTCCATGTATCCGTTGCAATATTGTGAATCACTCTGCGACAATGGACTGTGGTAAGTCTTTTATGGAGCGTCGCTTGCTGTTAGCTGCTGCGAGCCTCTTCTTCTCGCTTTTCACGCGCGTCCGTGAATGGTCTTCTTTTCACTCCAACATATTTGCAGCCTGAGGAGGAAGTCAGGCGCCAACCACTCGGATAGTCACTAACCTGTTTACGCCCGGTGCACGGTTCCCATGACCCTGCATTCAACTGATCGCAAGCCTCTCGCAACCGGCCGCTCCCAGGCTCAAGGTAAACAAGGCTTCGGGAACGCGCGACCGCCCTAGAACTATACCAACTCCCTAGCGAAGGCCGGTGTTGTGTACTGACCCATGCCTGGATAGAATTGTCTCCACATCATCCCTCTCGAGTCATTGGGCCTCGGTCGCATGCGATTTTGGTAGGTCAAAGGACGCGCGACGCGACTAAGATTTTTTCCATGTCTGATGGACTAGCAGGCCGCAGTGCTATGACGTGACTCCAAACCGTCCGGATACTCGACCATCACTCTCCATGTGGATCGAAAAGTCTCGCGCATTTCCTGGCACTGGTCTTGTTATCTTATCATGATACGAATGCTCGAAAAACCTTCGGACGCTTGGTCATGCGGTATGATCGCTGGAAATTACTCGGAGCATCGCAAAATGTGGTGATGAGCCGTCAAGTCCATTGGTCAGGAGTGTCGCAACTACGTACGAGGAGCGCCGCTAAGCCGCATTCGCAGTCCAACCGTCTGCAACCTCACCTTGAAACTTCACGCCTTTCATGCATGCAAAGGAGCTACTCATGCATGTCACGCCCTGGCCAAGTGCTATTCGTACACCATCCCAAACAATCACTCGGTATACCATCGCCCCTGCGCCATCGCGCAAACACTGCCCTATGCGAGACAGATCTAGGTTGCCGCATCCTCCGGCTCTATCACGCCCTCGATGCTGCATTGACGGTACGCTATCTTGTTCTTTCGGCTTCTTCGCCATGAGCCTAGTAGACGATCTTGAGGGTGAGTGGCAGTATCGTTGATATATAATGAGCTGGTCCGGAGGTTGGTGCTCAGGAGAGAACTCAGAGATCATCCATTTTTGAGTTTGAGCACATTCGTTCCTTCTGCAAAAATGCCTATCCTTGTTTCCTCTCTCTTGGGCACCGCTGTGGGTTCTGCAGTAGTCTACTTCACATCACCCACACTTGCTGGTGTTCTTGCCGGATCGGCACTTAACTGGATCACGATTCACTCCTTGGCAATTGACGCTCTCTTCGCTATTTTGATCTGCTTCTTTATCCTCTGCTATCTGGAGACAAAGTGGATCGCTGTCAACCAATCTTTCCCATACACATTCCACCTCAAGAACAATCTCGGAAAATCTTCTTTCGACTTCCAGTTGGTTGTGTTCGAGCTCTGGCACACCAACAAGCTGAACAGATATGGCCACATGGTCTGCTTGTTCTGTGAACAATTTCTCTGGCTGTACATTATCAGGATCACTTTCGGTATCTCCGGTCTAGCATTGACCAATGTCGCTCTGGGTATGCAAGCATTCTCTTTCGGAGATCTCAGACTCGGCTTTGGATCCGCTGCTTTCAATGCTGCTTACTCATTGCTCGGCATGTGGGCCTTTGATGGTTTCGCGCCAGTAGCGGCGATCGACATCTGTAAGATTGCCCTTTTCTGGGTTGTTGTTGTGCGCACTGCCGTACATGCCGCCGAGCCTCTTCCCCCAGTCTACGACAGTGAGACAGACTCCTTCGGTGAGACATGGGGTGATGATGGGTATCACTTAATCTTCAGGAAGCCTTTCTCAGCTCTGTGGCTGTTCATTCTTGGCATCGTCTCTGAGCTTGCTTCTGGCGTGCCTGGACGTCTGTTCGGCACTGCACTCTACAAGGCCCTGTACCGTGCTGGCGGCTTTCGCAGCAGCACACTCAAGGGCGTAGACACCGCCAGAGAGGAGGCCTTGTCGACATTGAAGAATGGCTGGGCCTCGAATGAGATGCTCGCGCCGTACTTCCTCAAGTCCTCGTCTGTCGTCATCACAGAGAAGCTCCCTCTGGAGTGCTGATCGCACGGTATTTGACTCTAGTCGACTTGGTCCCTTCCTTTCTTCCTTTTTCCTTTCTTTCTTTCTTCCTTTCGTTACATCTATTATTTCTCGGAAAACAGCGTGGTGTTTGGCTTTAGATGGTTATTAGATTCTGCTTGATGTGGCGTTCTTTTCTTTTGGCTCACTTTTTTCTCCTTTTTTCTTCCTTTGCTTCGAATACCCAGATGCGATCATTTCATAGAAGAGTTTGGTGATTATAGTTTTTTCAGTCCACAATCCAGCAATGCTTTCGCTTTCTCCTCATTACCCAATGTTTGTCAAGATCTTGGTTTGACAGAACCATAAAGGAGCATGTTGTCGTCGGTAATGGACAACCACGGTCCGTCCCGCACGCCTTCCGTTCCACATACATTTCTTCAGCTGGCGTCTGAAAGCCATCGCTGATTGTGACCACATTTGACAGGCTGACGACCCCTGGAAAGTCGACCTGTAGCTCGAGCTGAGATTGCAAGGGCCATGAGTTCGCCCGGAGCTTTGTCGCGGACCGCACGACCGGGATCTACAGGTTAGAGTAAGCGACAAACTTGACTGATCTTTTCGGCCGAGTAGTCGCTGTATCAACCCCGGTACACAACTTGGTTTGAAAGGTCCAATTCCTGATACTATGTCATGAAGAATGTATCTTTGGCACATCACGAGTCGTTTGCGAATGACCGCACCTTACCGCCGCTGCACAAGATGAGAGTCATAAGTCAAGCGACTTACACTTCCTTTCTCTTAGCTACACGAATCGGCAAGACATCCTTACACCCAATCCCGCTTCGATTCGGCAACGGGTTGGACGCAACCAATAGGCCGTTTTAGCACCTCCTGTTCAACACCTTGACAGGAGCGTTTCTCGAGCTCTAAGTGGCTAGTCGATCAAGTGGCGAGGGTTGAGGTGTTCAAGGCGTACACCATGGTGTTAGAGCCGTACAGGAGCTCAATTCGGCTAGTCTGAGGCATAGTTCAGCTAGCTCGGCGGCTAGCTAAGCTCCGAGGTTGCAGAGGCCTCTAAGCTCTGAGTTCGTAGCGTAGCTATCTGTATACACCTCGTTGTTAGCATGAATACTTAGGGCTCTTATCTACCGGCAAGCGAGTGGAGCAATAGTTAGTCCAGTCAGCAGTCGTTACCGTCGATAGATGCCCTCGGCCTTGCTTCGCTAACTCAATCTAGCGCCCCCTAGAGCGCTTAGAGCGCTTAGAGCCAGCAGAGCCAGCAGAGCGCTTAAAGTTCTTAAAGGTCTCGCGGAACTAGTCGTATAAGAGGTGGTAGAGGCAGCAGAGGTCCGCGTAGCGTAGCTGACTATAATTAATCCGGCCGCCACTAGACTAAGCAGCGCAACAAGGATCTTCTCGACATCCTTTAGATCTATACGCCGGCGTATAACCGCATCCCGAACTCGAACTAGTTTCGTCGTATCTAGAAGCACTAGAAGCAGAAGACTGGCTATAACTACGCGTCGATAAAGAGGAGGATCTAGAGCATAGTTGACGAGCGCCGGCGCGCATAGCGGCTAAGGACGGAGACCTCTAGAACTAAGAATGAGACTAACTATACAGTTAGCATAGATCGGTTTATAAGAGAGGTGTAGGATCGTGCTGCTGAAGAGAACTTAGCAGCAGCGCTTAGCGTAGAGGCTTAGCGACGACAGAGCCGTCGAACTAAGCGTGATCGAGAGCGTATAACTGCTCGAGGCGCTTAGTAGCGCTCACTTAATGACGAGAGCGACGAGGACGCTACTTCAGCTGCTGATGTTAACGACTTCGATACGCAGAGCGTTAACTTAGAGCCAGTAATTAATGTTAATGTCGAAGTAAGTGACAGCGCTGCGCGTAGAGGCCGAGGTATAGCAAGTTTAGTTAGTTCGCTAACGCAGCGTCGTCGCCGAGGTGGCAGCTATAGCTTAAGTAATAGCTTAGTAACGATACCTTCGTAGGAAGAGCTATTAGTTAACCTTATAGCTATCGCTAATCGCGCCTTTCTAGCAGCTGCAGCGCTAACTTAAATAGCTCCTATAGCAGAGATTGCAGAGCTTAGAACTAAGGTTACTTAGCTTAAGGCATCGATACAACGACAAGAGGCTATGCTCGCTTAGCTACTGCGCTAGTAACAGCCAGTACTAGCGCAAGTTAAGCCGCTCTATTATACGCCTTATTAGCTGAACTAGTTCGTACCGAACGCTTAGAACTGGTAAAATTCATAGCTATCTATAGCTCTATTAAAAGGTATTGCTTAGGAGATGGCGGAGAGCATAAAAAGCGAATCGACGACTGACTCTAGCTACTAGTATAGGTATATAAGTTCGTTATTAGTATAGNAACACGGTAGAAGCTAGCTACCGCTTNATTTCTAAGGTTAAGGCCTTTAGTAAATGCTGTATATGTCTATAAGGACTNAGTTCGACTAAAGGCATGCTTAACTGCTATTCGGACCTTTAATAGACGCCTNTTAAAGGCTCTCTGTTTAGCGGTAAGGTATCGGAAGCTATACTAATGCTTATACGGCGCTATAACTCTAGGGTNGTTGCTATACGNAAGGTCTCTATATANATAATAGCGCTCGCCCTTAAGTAGCTTATTAAGCTTCGAAGGCACTATTAAGCTCTGCTATATAGACTAGTCGTTGTCGCGGCTATAATAAGGACCTATAAGCGAACTAATAAGGCCATCTAGTGTAACAATTGCCTAATACTTAAAGCTATAGCTATAGTAATGGCTAGAGAAGTAGTCTCGCTAACGGCGCTAAGGTCGATTAAAGCCTCTAAAAGTACCGTCNACAAAACCCTATATACTAACTCTACCTCCTCGCCGGCGTATACACTTAGCGTACTCTTAAATTCGCTTAAGACGTAGCCGAGGATGCCACTTAAGCAGCTGTCGGTGCTCTCTATTAAGGAATTCAATAGTATCGCTAAATACCGTGCTTAGATAGCTACGGCAGCGACTAAAGTGGTCGTAGAGCACCGTCTAGTCGTTCGGAAAGTGGAGGCGAGTGTAGGTAACTGCTATAGCGAAGTATAGCGACGGTGGATTCAGTCGGTTGTTAAACTCGAGAGTATCAAGCTTTAGGAGCTGCGTCAACTTAACTACTTCATCCCTGCTAAAGCGACAGAAGAACTTAAATTTATCGGTAGGCCAGCTATTAAGCTGCCAGTCGAAGTAGTTATATAGTAGAGGGGCTCGGTAGATGGTACGCCGAGAACGACGGCGCTAGCAGAGAATAACAGCGACTATTAGTATAAAGAGGAAGCGACGACGGAGCTCATCTATAGCTGCTGTATACTAGAGGTTAGCAGTAGTAGTGGCAGCAGTGATGATAACGACGACGAGATGGAGGGGTTGTATACGCTAGTACTACTAGCTGCTGGCGCTAGCAGAGCTGATACTATAGCTCTAAGGCCTCGGAAGTGGCGTATACTTGCTTGCTTATTCAAGCTGTATGGTATTGAACAGGAGGTGCTAAAACGGCCTAATCCACCAGTTTCAGCCTAACCTGTCAGCTTTGGCGCTCAGCTTAGATGCTTCGACCACATGACTAACACCTGCAACATCATCGGCTACTCACAGAGACCCCACACACAGCGTGGTCAGTGATCTGCTATGAGTCGCTGAAAATCTCAATGAGCCAAAATCATCCTCTACGTGACCGGAATTCGTCGTTGCTAGGACGACCCTGCTCTGACGCTCGTACCAGATATGGACTCGCTTGACAGCGAGCTATCGTGCTCACAGCTCCTTGCACCACACATCGACTCGCTACCAACGGAACATGGAAGATGGTCTATGTCATTGTCTCGCGACGCAGCCGCTGGAAAACTTGGTACATCCAGCGAAGCGAAGTCAGAGAATGAATTCATGAGTTGACAGGCTCAAGATGATCGATTTTCCCGCCTTGACCAACACAAAAGCCTTCTAAGTTCTGCTCTTAGATCGTCCACAATCTGTTTCTGACTGTCCTTGCCCTCCACTCACTCTCGCAACTCTGAAATCGATTTTCAAGATAGCGCTCTCGTACCCTGCTGCGGCCTTCGACCCTTGTCCAACTTTCTGCGTCACAACTGCTCTTGCAGATCTCGCAAGTCTTCTCTGGCCTTGAGTGCTGATGTAAGCTTGTACGCGCTCGAGAGTTGGTGGGAGCCACTCTGAGCCATCGAACATCCTGATCATGTTCTTGTGTGTTCGTGGCTTGACTCTGCGTTGGCTCAAGTCACATACAGATGTTTTTGTTGTTGTGGTGGGAGAAGTCGGAGTTGAAAAGAAGACGCTACTCGGAGGCGTTGTATCGAGCGAGGAGAACTCCGTGAATGTTGACGTGGAGCAGATGGATATTGCGTCTGGGCTAGCAAGCTGTTCGGAGGCAGGTTTATCATCGTACTCGGTGAGTTCTGTCAAGGAAGATATTGTTGAGCACCCGAATGGACTTGATGACCTGAGAGACTTTGACGCTTCTATGAAGTCAGTCAATCTCGACGACGAGCCTGGGGTTGGTGAGCTGGGCAGATGATGCGTTCTTCCCTCGTCCGTGAACTCTGTCAAAGTCGAGACAGAACTACCCGAAGAATATGGGTAGGAAGACTGCTCTCGACTGGCATTGGGAGCAATCGCTAGATACGCCGTGAGTCCAGGCTCGATATGCTGGCCCAATAACTCCTGTGAAATCTCAGACAGCTCAGTAAATTCTGTCGACCTCGAAGAAGTCGATCTCGGCGGCGATGGCACATCGGTCAAAGCTGGTATGCAAGTGCTGTGAACCTTCTCATTCACAAGAGACGGCATTCTTCGCTCTATATCATCGATAAACATCTCTGCTTCTCGTCAGCACAGTATCCTCACGACCATCCAGCGTCCACGAGTTTCATTGACGCTTTAGCTGAGGTGAAATCGAGATACTCACGCCAGAACATCCCACAAATCGAGCAATTCGGCATACCGCACGGCTGCTTCTTCCTTCCCGTCCCCACACGCTTGAAAGAGATTACCATATATTCATTGCGATGGGAAAGCACTTTTCTCGCCCTCAATTTGCACTCTGCGACGACACCATTGTCTACTGGCTGACGTTCGTCAAGTGTTCGGAGTAGGCTACGAACATTCATTTTCTTTTTCACAATCTCATTGTTAGGAGCTGAGGTGACAGCCCTCCGACTAAAATTTCGAGAATCATGTGTGATGTTGTAAATATCCGAATGCAGTGACCGGATTCGTGGTGATGGTTTGGGCATTGGCGGAAGTTAAGGAATGTTCGCTTCCGGAAACTTTGGGCTGACAAAGAAAAAGTTATCGACGAGCGATCAGTTGGCTTTGCGATGCTTTAGATGTGATGAAGAGGCTTGTGGGAAACTGTCGCTGTATATGATGTCTTTGTTATGATTGTCAAGCACCACGGAGGTTGACCTCTTTGTTCTGTATAATGTACATCCCATGAACAGCCGCGACTAGCAAACGGCTTATCAAAAGAAAGAGTGATCTCCTGAATGCACCAATGAATTTATCCTTCTTCAAGACATCGACGGAGAATTGAGATTCTATGCTCTCTCCATGGACAAATCATTCAATCAAAACAACACCATGCCTTTTCACAACTAAACAAATCATGAAGACTCGATGTTAGAGTCACAAAACGCAAGTGCTAGATCGCATGAAGTCATATGCAAGCAAGCAAGTTACGAACGCCGCAAAATCACTACATAATCCGCCAGCCTATCACTCAGTGACATACTAAACAAATCTTGAACATCCTCTTATTGGATCAGCTCGTCAGCTCCCTCATCGTGCGGAACGACTTATACTACTCTAAAGCTATCTGGCCGCCCGCGTCGTGGACCGGGTAAGAGCACCGAGAGCAACGTACGACGTCCATGACCGGTCACGTCTATTGAGACTCTCCATCAACATGGTGAGAGGGGTATATGAGATTATGTGAAGGCATGGAGGAAGGAGCAAGGGGTAACAGGGAGAGTGGAAGCTTTTGTATGGAGTGTGTTTGTTGGTGACCTGATAGTTGATCTGACTAAAAGCTGCCTGGAAAAGCAATGGAACTCCTGGAAGCCTTCAATAGTTCTCCCTATTGTATGCGTCGCTATACTGTCTGCCATGAACGCCGTTGCTACAAGTCAATCAGGCAATCACATTCAATATTCAGGGGGAAAGACTTACCACGACTGAATGCAAAGAAAAGAAAGGGAAGTTGGTACATCATCGTGTGTCGAAGATCTGGTGATCGTGTTGTAGCGGACCTTCTACTCTGGCCGCGATACATCCAAGAAAGTGGCTTCCGTGTTCGAATATTTCACATAGCAGGATGAACAGGAGCCATCATGTAGACCCCCAAAGCCTTCCAGAAGATGGGAGGAGGAGGAGGGTGAGGATCAGGAGTAGGGGGATGAGGAACAGGCTCAGGCTTAGGAACGAAGACACCAGTAACAGGCTCGGAGACAGGAAGCTCAGGGGTAGGAACAGGCTTGGGGATGAGGGCGAGACTCCAGGCGATGGGAGGTGCGAGAAAGTAGAAGGCGGGAGCGGTGAAGGGGTGGAAGCCGGCATGGTGATTGGTGACCGTGTTGTTGATGGTGTTGTGGGCGACAGCAAAGATAGATGGCATGGTCTACTTGTTGGTGATACCGCCAGTAGTGTTGTGGTCTTCGTTATTGTTGTTCTTGTTATCGCTGGTGACAGTCTTGGTCTGGGGATCTGACTCAACGACAGTGATCATGGTCGAGAACATGGCTAGTGGCAGTGAGCGCATGTTTAGATTCACAAGACGCACGAACGATACCTGCGTTGATCTTGGATCGAATTACGCGTAGGACAGATATGTGGAAGGGGACTCGCAGCATATACGACTATACGCGAGTGGATAATGTGTTGATCTTGACGATATCTTGATAGAAGTGGAAGTCTTGACCAGATCGCGAAGGTGATGTGTTGATCAGTGATAGACGTGATCTGCTGCGCACAGAGATCAAGGTGGATTCACTGTTGTTGTGAAGGCTGGAGTCTAGGACTAGTCCCGTTTAGGGAAGTAAAGCACGAGGTCACTGGTCATGATACATCAACTCGCCGGTCTCGAGGCACGATACAATGCTTCCATCTCACGAGCAGCATTTAGCTAGATGGACCTTCCAAAAACTTCGAGACCTGCTTCCCGGAGAGACTTGGTAGTATGCTCTTTGGCAACATTTTACTACATAGCATATCACTAGATTCAGATATCTGTCTTGATAGATAGTCAAGCAAGAGTTGGACGATATAACCAAAAGTATGTTGAAGGCTGATCTGATATCAACACTGCTGAGTCCATCATGAGTCTTACATAGAGGTTGGAGATGGAATTCATTATTCGTAACTACGTTTGAAATGTGGACTGATTCGACGCCACATGAGATATAGAAGTTTCGCACTTGAACTGATCAACAGTGAAGAGCGCGACACCCCTCAATGATACGTTACAGTGAGAGCTTGTGCTCACTAACTCGATGCTTACGACATCCGGGTGACCTTCTTGGTCTTAGCATCTGCCATAGCTCTGGCAGTCTTGTAGCACTTGCCGTACTGATAGTATCTGAGGACTTTAGGCTTGATCTCATCATGATCTTCTGCTCTCAACATACCACGACTATCCTTTGAGTTGATTAGTCTCCGGGCTTCACGCCCGAATTTATTTCTTGTATAGCCGTCAGGCCAGATCAAAGCGTCTTCAGCGGCTTGTTTCTGCGCCTTCTGAAGCCTTAGAGCAGCTCTTTTCTGTCTTCTAAAAACGTTGCGTTGTCTTCGACTGAAATACTCAGGGGTAGGGGGCTCGCGGATATCGTCATCGTCGACATTGACGAGAGGTGTCGATGAGGTGGCTGGAAGTTCAAGGGTGAAAGATCCGTGGGTTGCGGTTTGAAATACTGGAGTGGAAGGAGCTACGGGTGTAGATGAGGTTCTTGGGGTGGAAGGAGCTAAGGGTGTAGATGAGGTTCTTGGGGTGGAAGGAACTTTCGGCGTACCTGCGCCGCTTGGAGCTTTAGTGCTGTCGTTGTTCATCTTGCGTCGCCAGGACTTTTCTTCTCTACTGACTCAGACCAGCGTTGAAATGGAAATTCGAACACTTATAAATGTCCTGTCATGCTCCACTGGAACAAGGGGCGGCCTTTTGCGAGATCGAAGCGACAATGCAATGCAGAATTCGGTCAAAATCAAGCCCGAGAAAGCAACAAAGAGAACAAAGAACTACTCTGGGCTTGCTTTGTCAACGCTCTGCGATGTCTTTGTGAAGCAACCAGATTCCAGCAGAGAATGACCAGCTATTTGTCCTTGAATGCTCAGACGATGATTCGACGGGCGCTGCTCCAATCGAGGCTCAATCAATCAACGCTTCTGCGAACGGCGACAAGTCTTTGTTTGTCGGAAACCAGCTACAGCGGAAACCTGCGAAGGTCAGTGACTTGGATTTGCTCGTACACCTGGAAGTTATTGTCTGAGTGACTGTAGCGACCTCTATCACTATACTATGAGTGGGTAACATCCTTTCAGAATTTGCGTTACTCGAATCCTACCTGCCCATACCTCAGAACTGCGAAGTATTCGGTTTTCTCAAGCTCGCATTCATCGTCCTGAAATAGTCTAATGATGAAGCCGAGAAAGCTCTCATGATGTACTGACGATGACCGTTCTCAAGGCGCGATACTCGATTCGAACATGCTTTGTCCTTTGGAAAGAAGATTGGATGCTATCAACCTACAACGATACCCCGAGTTCTTTCATTCAAATGACTAACCTTCTCCGGTCATCATGTTTGGAAGCGACAAGGACAAAGGATTTCACTTTCTTGTTTAAATTGAGTCTCATATCCCCAAACTTGCTGTATATCACAGTCCATATACTTTCGAGAAACAGGAGAGTTCAATCACTTCTTACACCCAAGGGAAGTCCTCAAGATGAACAAGAACAACATACGCAACATCCCAGCCGAACAGCTTTTTATCAATGCGGGCGCATCTCCAAGAACCCTTGCAAATATGGATAGGCCCACGTTCGATAGGGTCTACTTGAAATGGCAACGTACTGGGGTCGTGCCTGAGGAAGCACTTACTCAAGAGCCCGGCAATACACAGCAACCGCAAGATGTTCCTGAGGATTCTAAGCCGCAACCTGGTGACCAAGATCCACCACAATCTCCGCCTGATCCGCGTCAAAGGAAGCCTGCTAATCAGAAGAAACCTGATAGGGCTCGCAATACTATCAAGGCGGATAGAACGGTCAGAATGAACAACATCATCGAGCAAAGCGTTGACGAGAAGCCGTATCCACTCGCCGAGGTAGAATACCGTATAAATGACTTCAGAGGTGGGCATCGAGAACGTTTTCTCAGGGCCAGTCAATCACTTCAAGACTTTGTACTTGACCTTGACGGTTGGACCGTACAACGTGATATGCTGGTTTCAATAGATAACATACGGAGAAGCGAAATGGGCGATGTGACGGGTCTCTCATTTCGTCAACAGAACATCTTCTTGAACTTGCCGACTCTTGGACAGATACGAGCAGTTGCTCAGATGGACCCAGATGCACGTATCGGAGTTCTGAATCACGAGATAGACTTGGCTGAACAGCGGAGACGAGCTGCACGGGAAGAAGCCGAGGAGCGAAGACTTGAGCAAGGGCGAGAACGTGACGAGCGTCCGCGTGCATTCGAGGGACAACAACAACAGCAGCAAGCTCAGTATCAATATCAAGCTCAGTATCAACAGCAGGCTCAGGATGCAGAGTACCTTGGGCCAAGACCTCAGGATCAGTTCCAATTGCTACAACTATTTAGGCACCTGGGTCGCCAAATGCTCAGCCAGGATCAGATTCTAGAATACCAACGAGAGACTCGTATCACACAATCGATGCCTGACCTTGAGCAGCGCATGCGTGGTCTATCTCATGGATGGGTCGGAACGGTCACCTTACTTGGACGCCAAAGTCAGGAGGCGTTTTTTAGGGACAATCCGCACTACTACCAAAGAATCATTGAGACCGCACAACATCAATTGGCCGAGAATAGGCGTAACATGGCTCATCTAAGCCCTGTTTTACAACAAGTCGTCAGTGCTTTGGTCATTGATCTGCAGACTCAGCTGCTTTCGTATGATCATGCTGAGCAACGTCGTCGACTCCGTAGGATAGGCCAAGAACTTACCATAGATGCTCACATGGCTATCTTGGGACGACAGGTCAATAGGCAACCACAAGATCGACAGCGGATTCCGCCACCCCGACCTCCGCAACAGTCTCAACCTCTGCAACAGCTTCAACCTCCGCGACAGCAACATCAACAGCCCCCACAACAGCAGCAGATGGGGCTCCAGGAACAGCTTCAGCAAATCAGCCGGGTGCTAAGAGATATGGCAGTGTCACACTTTGGCGCAGAGCTCCCAACCCCAACAGAAGAAGAAGGTTTAGAGATCCAACTGCAAGCTCGTCTTGCGGTTTCGATACCCAATCTCGAGCAACGAACCATGAATCTAGAGGAGGACTGGCGGCTTACGCTCATATTGATCGATCCCGTGGAGCAAGAGAGGTTCTTCGCACTCTGTCATCAAGATCAGGAGAACATGATCCGTGAGGCACAACAGAATATGATCGAACTTGTTACGCGCATGGCTCATCTGCCCCCACATTATCAACGTCTCCTCCGGGGCGAGCGTATGACTCGACAGATTCATATACTGGGACTTAGCCCTGATGAACAACTTCTTTGGTTGGAAATCCGAGAAATGGGTTTATTGGTGGTATTCTTGACGGATGCGATGGAACAGCGGAAGAATAATGGCCAATCTCAAGCACCTCAGCAGGCACCTCAAGCACCTCAGCAGGAACCTCAAGTACCTCAGCAGGCACCTCAGCCTCCACAGCAAGGACCTCAGCCCCCTGCACAGCATCTCCAGCAGGAACAACCCCATCCAGATGTCATGGAGATCGACATAGACGACATCCCCATCATTGAGCTGCGAGCCATGAGAGAGGGAGGTTGGGGACCCAATGAATACAATCAATGGGTCGCGGAAGGTGCGCAGGCTCGATGGCACGCCGAATTTGATAGGAGGAACTTGCCGAGAAAGTGATCCATGTTTTCTGCATGTGGGCGTCCTTCCAGATCGCTGGTTGACAGTCTCCATTTTGTTTCGGCGCTATTTTTACTGTAAGCGTTTTGATTTAATGTCTTGACCTTGGGTTCTGTTTGTTTCGTCTTGTCACATTGTCTGGTCTTTCGCGTCTCAAGTTAAAAATCATAATACACTGATTCTCCTGATCCCATGACTCGTCTATCTCATTATTCTTGCTATCGAAATTATCTAGTGATAAATCGTATCGTGTCAAGAGCTTTCTTACCCACGCATCGGGTCACGATAAGCTAATGAAGGTCAATCGATCCGGGCGAGCAACGGTAAACGGCAGATATACGAACGAGTCACGACCCGAGAAGCTGGAATTTGAACAAATTATTGTACACCTGCTTTTATATCCCTATACTGGGCTGTTCCTAGCATACATGTGTTGACAAGATCGAACAAGAGAGGTTGCTGCTATCGAGACAGCTCCTGCGAACTTCCAGATTAGAAGGCACTAGCAGACTGTGCAATGATTGCTATCATCGCTACTAGCTAGAGCGATGACTTGATCAAGGGTACAAAGCAATTGTGTACTTCTTCCACACTGTTCGAGCTCTCCTTGTTTTCCCTCAACTTTCACAGCTTTCACAGCATCAGACAATGCCATTTAGTGGCAAGGATGGGGGAAAGAGGGCAGTGAAGATAGGGTAAACTTTACCGGAAATTTTGCAGTGGAGGGGATTGTAGTATGGAGAGGTTTGTCAACAAGGGAAGGGATGTTTTTTAGATGTTACAGAAAGAGATGTCACAGTGACAAAAACAAGAAAAGGTAAGGTGGAAGATGATTCTCCTGAGAGGGTGTGCTGGATTATACTGGTTTTATCTTTTTTGGCAAGGAAATGGAAGGCTTTTGTGGATGTTGCTTTACAAGTTTTTTTTCTATTTCGTTTGGGCATGACTTTTTTAGGCTTGTTGTGTTCTCGCTTCCCTGATGGCGTTATGTTTACTTAAAGGGGGGCCGTTTTTCTCGCTTTTCTTTTGACCCTTTTTCACCCTGTTCTATCAAGTTGTCTTCTTTGCTTACTCACAATAAACTCGCAAATGATGTTCCATTTTTTTTTTCCCTTTTAAACTTCTTCTCGTGTAAAATTTGTGTAGAGTGATTGTGATCTAGTCCCATGTTCGTGTTGCACTGTTGCTGCCCCGTGACTGGTGACTTGTGAAAAGTGATCTTTGATCAAAGTATATTCTCTTTCTTGCCCTAGGCTGAAGCTCTTCAAGCTCTGGTCTGACTCAACAGTAGTGTACACTGACAAAAGTTTCTGATTGGTGCGTGGGATAGCATCACGCAATACCACTATCCTTCTTGACGCTTTCCCATGTGGCACCTTCTTTTTCTATCTTGCTCACCACATCCACCGCGATCCTCAAATTCTGAGCCCCAGCCAATGCTCTGACTATTACTGTTTCGTTTCTCTCAGACACCAATCTGCCCATTGCACTTGCCATGAAGGCTGAAAAGTGATCAAGCGGCCAGGAAGGAGAAAGCAATGGTAGCACTTCAGCGACATCAAACCAGCTTCCAAAGCGCTCGAGTAACTCAGAGACTCTTTCTAGCCGCTGGTGCTCATCCTCGAGATCGAGGTAGCAGTGTAGAAGATGTATGAAGAGGACTTGTTGTTCTTCCTTGGATGGCAATGGAATAGACGTCGAAGAAGTGGCGGGATGGAATATACTGCTTCCACCGAGAAGGCAATATCGTACAGCAGTGTCAAAATCAGCTAGACCGTGTACGAGAAGTTTGAGGGCTTTTTGATGTTCGTGTCTCCGTGCGTCGAGAACGATCAATTCAGGCACGAGGACTTCTGAATACGACTCCAATCTGCTGCTCAGTGCCTCAACGTCGTAGACAGACGAACCACCGATGAGTTGTAGAAGTCGCAATCGGTTCTGCCACCAAGTGTCTGGAAGACTGTTGTCGAGAATAAATTGACTGTATGTAGGCTTTGGAGGCAGCAAAGCGCGGTAAGTGTGATATGACGTGAGTAAAATATCCCGTGCCGAGGTGGCAGGGTCAGCAATGGCTTCGGTGACGGTATCGAGATAGAAGTAGATGAGATCGTTCGCGTATTGGTTTTGGTTCTTTCCAAAGACCAGGTGCTCCAGGTAGTCTTTGACAGCCGCTGGTGCGCGCTCCCTGAGCAGGTCAACAGCTTCAGCAGGTGTGAACTTGACTCTAGCAGTCTCATCTGCAAAGATTTGCACACCCAGCGAAGGGTTACGATTGGCGAGCCAAGTACCGTAATCCTTGACAAGCTCGACGTCCTTGATTCTTGTAACATATTTGCGCACATCCAATTCACCGTCGATCAGCTCACCACCAATGTCTTCGGACGACTCAAGGATACGACGCCAGGTGGACAAGACTTGCCCCACCATTCGGCGACTTTGATACAGTCGACTTAGCACGTAGAGGCGCTTATGTTGTTCAAGAAGCTCAACTGCACGATCAAAGCATTCGACACCCTGATCGACTACATCGTTGAGCTCAGCTCTCAACGATCCGGGCGCTGCCGGTCCCGGAAATGTGTTACTATCGAGCATCAATAACAGAGACAGCAATGCCCCATCGACTGTATGGAAGACCTGTTTCTCGTCCGCGATACTGCCAAAGCCTTTCTTCCTTCGCCATGACTGAAGGTAGTGCTTCAAAACTTGCAGCAAATTATCTCCATAAGGACCTTGAGGATCTTGGTTGATCGAGTCGGCATGATATTGTGCTTTAAACTGATCCACGGCTTCTTTGAGTCCACCAGGTATCCAGAGACCTTGTGAACCTTCAACAACCTCTTCCGAGAGCACAGGTATGATTGACAAGACAATGCGAGGATCAATTTCTCCCTCGACAAGAGCATCGTGTGTAGAACGCTTGTCCTGCTCAGACGCAACGACACCTTGGTTGGTTCTGATGATGAGATCGATCAACAATAGTAAGGAGGCTTGTTGGCGGACGTAGTTGAAGCCGAGAAATTCGAACTCGTTCGCGGCTTCCCGACCACGAATAGTGTTGAGGACAGCCTGGACCTGACTCCGATTCACGCTGAACACATCGGTCGACGTTTCAACAGCAGCACGTAACCTTGTTTCGAGCTGCACGACCAGAGGATTCCGCGCTAACCACCAGATCGAATCAGCCGCGAATAGCAGAACCTTGCTCTGAACATTCGAGAAGCGGTCCATCAACTTGTCTTCGTCATTGTTGCGCTTGACATCAGACTCGGTCTCTTCAGGGGTCGGTACGTGAAGATACAGACGTCTTAGACTCAGGGCTTTGCCGACTGAGGGTAGACTAAGATTGGTGGCCGTAGTAGCCTCTCGCAAGGCCATGTTGGATCTGGACATGTCTGAATCAGGCAGAGTGAGGTAGTCTTTGTGGTACAGGTTGTCTGCTGGATCAACATCCCAACGTTGGTACTCGACAACCCTTTGGATGACACCATCCTTTTCACGACGGACGACAGCCACCACGTAGCCTTCCTGAGACAAGTCTCCAGGCATTGTTGGCATAGAAGAAACAGAAGCTTGGCCATCGACAACAATTGAGTCAGGATAGCTTTCGAACTGGATTGTGCCCCTGACTACATCTCCATCGAGATTGACAAACATGCCGACTGCAGGATCGTCAGGCGATGTACCAGTTGTCAGTAGGAACTCGTTTGGCGTGGGAGTGCAGATATGAGGCTTGAGTGCCGATTGAGGTCTCGGCGAAGGCATCTCGAATAGAGGAGTGGGTGGTAGAAGTTTCCCATCAGTGTCCAACGAAGGACTGGCAAGCGGTCTTGTGGGAGAAGGAGATAGTGCTTGACGTGAAGCAGCGCGATTGGGCCATGCTGAAGGCGAGTCGTTGGGATGCAGACGATCAGGAGTTTGACGACCAGGAGTCTGAGGAGCACCTCCTACACTAGAGACTCTATCCTGAGCACGTAGATCAGGTCTGCGGACAGGACTAGTGGCCGAGAAGCTACGTGAGGGAGGACGTTGTATCGGAGGGGGCTCGACGTCTGGGCTTTGACGGCCAGAGGGAGGATGGTCCGAGGATGAGATGGGGAAAAGGTCAATCTTGCGCTGATTGATGATATCCAGCAAGGCATATGATGTTCCGTCGGCGACACAAGCAAGGTCTGCTCTACGCTGTATGTCCAGGCAGTTTCCAAGCTCGATATCCCTAATCCTGCGAGGAGAGCCCTGTTGCATGATCCGGATGACACGCAATTTCCCTCTCAGGCAAATGACAATGATGCAACCATCGGCCGAGTCCAATTCCTGGCCGTCCAGATCACGATCGAGACCTCCGACCCATGTGCAGTCATTCTGCTTGATCTTTCCGCCAAATGCCGGACTGAGCTCAGGTAATGTGTAGAAGGTCAAAGTGCCATGACATAAGACGCAAGCTTTGCCGACAGAAGGTAGCAAGAGTATTTGCTCGACGAGTGGTGGCGCATCACTCTGCCTGGTCGAGTGCTCGGGCTGTAGGCGGGAAGCGAGGATATACGTAGGTTGGTCCGAGTCGGGCGAGGCTATGGAGACAAAGTGGAGTATTTCCCCTGCAGAAGTCCCGATGTACAAATTGCCATCTAACAAGAAATCAGAGACAGGGCAGGAGCGGCTGGGTAGGGAAGTCGCGACTCACCCCAGGCATCGACGCATGTTATGTAGACATCGTGTTCGTCTTCTCCGTCGGGCGAGAGTGGGGCATTGCGCATCAAGTCGCGCAACACATATGCGCCATCATTAGCTGCGGCTTCCATGCTCCTTCATGACGCGGTTGTCCTTAGTACAGCATCTTTGTCTCGACATGCGGCTATCAAGGTGGCCGACTGGAGCGTCGGAGCGTCGGAGCGTCATTCTCACATGTCAAAGCGCCAAGACTCTCCACGTAACCCGTCCAGGCACCTTCCGACTCTGTCAACAGTCACGATATGTTCCGCATACAATAAGCTCCAACATATCTCTGGAAGGTACTGCTCGGCATCTTGCACGCGGTAGAGGTTGCAGACATGGCCACCGAAGCATCAGAGCCTCAGGTCGTGGAGGGCGCCGTGGACGACACCGACAAGGGGAACAAGTTCCAACAAGCAGTTGCTTCATGGCGGAGTACGACACGTCCACCCTCTCGTACACTTGCTTCAGATACTGACCAATTCCCAAGACGTCGGTCTCTCCGAGCTCGTTTCCACTCTCGACACCGCCGCGTCCGATCTCGTCACACATCAACGCGACACATTAGTACAGCGCAAGGAGCTGGCCCAAAAGACAAAAGACTTCCGTAAACTCGAAGATGCTGCCAAGCTGGGCGAGATCAAAGGCCTGCTCAAGTCATACCAGTCCTTCATCGATCTCATCTCGAACCAGTCAAAGTCGACTCAGTCGGCCTTTCTCCAAATCTACTCGCCCTTGTCAGAAGCTCCCGATCCATACCCACTTCTCGAAGCCTCGATCGACTCTTTCGTCACCGCACAAGAGGTAGTTCCTAAGCTGGAGTCTGAAAACAAGCACCTCCAGTCGACCGTCGCGAAATTGACTGCACAACTCGACGAAGCAGAGTCTCAGCTAGAACAGGAACGCTCGACACGGCAATCGTCGCAGACCAGTCAAGATACAAAGATCAAAGAGGTCGAGGCGTCATGGGATGCTGTGCTAAAGGAGAAGCAAGACAATTGGGAGGCGCGTGAGAAGAGCTTGGAAGAAAAGGTCGAGAACCAGGACCGTCTGCTGAAGGAGCTCAAGGCCAGCTACGAAGTGTCGCAACGCATGGGCAAAGCAGAGGACGACACATCAAGCACTCTCGGCGCATCACAACAAGAACTGGACCTCGTCAATCACGAGCTCGAAAAGGCAAACCTCCGCTTATCTGAGCTTGAAGGTCGCAATGAGCAACTCCGGATGGACCTCGCCCAGTCCACCGCAAATCATAGCTCGTCGCAGACTACCACCTCGGTCGAGGATGATCCTTCGTTCCTCCGACTGCGCTCAGAAAACTCCCAACTCCTCCGTAAGCTCGACGCACAACGCTATGAGAAAGACTCGGAGAAGGGCAAGTGGGATTCGAGCATCAGGTCGCTGGAGAGGGAGCTGGACGCCCTAAAGCAGGATCGTGAGAACATCAAGCGTAAGCTGGACAAGTGCAGTGACTATGACGAGGTCAAGCAAGAGCTGGACATGCTCAAGGTATGTTCCAACAGCCTGATTGCACACGAGCCGACACTAACAGACACAGTCTATCGAGTTTGCGACAGGCGATGCAGACGACTCTGACGCTGAGGCAGACACGGCCCCTGTCAGCGACAAGGGCGAGTCGCTCGAAAAGCTGCTCCTGGCACGCAACAAAAAGCTCTCCAACGAGCTCACCATTCTGCGCGTCTCGCACAACGACCTCCAGTCTCGTCTCGAGTCGCTGCAGGACGAACTCTCAAGCACAAACATGGAGCTGGAGAAGTCGCGCAACTTGACCCAAACGCTCGAAGAGGATCTATTGCACGCTCAGAACGAGGCCAGCAATGCCTTTGACCCTTCAGCAATGTCAGTAGCTGGCACCTACACCTCTCGCTACCCAAAGTCCTCTTACGCTGCTTCCATGCGACGTGGAGGCAATACTTCTCCGACCTCTTCCATCATCTCTGGCTTCGACACCGGGAACTCATCACCTCGCGGTCTGGACTCCTTCCGACCAGAGCCCCCTAATGCTGGCATCCTACCAATGGTCACGGCTCAGCGTGACCGCTTCAAGGTCAAGATTCGTGAGCTCGAAACAAACCTCCAAGAGCAATACACGCTCGTATCTTCCCTGCGATCAGAAATTGCAAGTTTGCAGAAAGATAACCTGTCTCTGTATGAGAAGAGCAGATATGTCAACAGTTACAACACAAAAGGCGGCGCAACCTCTGGGTACTCTTCTACGAACCCGAGCACAATCACCATTGATCGCAACAACCCTGGAGCTGATGCTCGGTACAAGTCTGCATACGAGAGCTCAATATCTCCTTTCGCAGCGTTCAGAAGCAAGGAAAGTAGTCGGGCCTTTCAACGCCTGTCATTACCAGAACGGGCCGTCTTGCAAGCTTCTAGACTTGTGCTTGCAACGCGGACGAGCAGAAACTTGTTTGCCGTCTGGGTTGTAGGTTTACATCTCCTGGTCTTTATCATGTTATTCTGGATGGGCGGAGGCAGTGACACTCCACATCTTGCTCACACCGTCGCCGCTGGCAATGCTGCAATTGCCGGCGCAAAAGTAGCAGCAGCAGGCCAAGGTGCGCAAGGGGCGAAATGGGAACAACCAGGCTTCGCAGATACGTAAACAATTGGAATCAAAAGTACACTTCCATCCGACACCACCTTCCCAACAGCCTCAACATCAGCCAAGCCATCCCAAGCTTTCCGAGGGCTTTATGGGCGTAGCAAAGCATTTTGACCAGCCAACATCGACGCCGTTCGCGGTGACCGCGGAGTCACTTTTCCCGCTCCATTTCACGCTTTTCAACGCCGCGTCGTCAGCCAATTCGCGGGTCACCAGGTCAATCGCTACAAATATCAGAACACACTTTGAGAGGCGTCGGTGACAAGACACGCCAAAGAGAAATCAAGACAAAACGGTTTGGAAAGTGTGTGCGGGGATATCAAACCCAGCCTCGGTTAAGCTCTGGCAGGCCTCGGCACCTTGACTAACAACGGATACGACACCTGCCCTTTTGGTTTCTCAATCACACGCTATGGTGGGAAGCTAACAGAAGCAATGACCTTGATTGTTGTGTATTGACCGCGGCTCTTCGGGGCAACCGACATCGCTGATGTTGTGCATGAAGAAGCAATCATCTTGGGACTTACAGCACTTCAGACGAACAGCGACGGAAGCAATAACGACAGAGAATTACATCTCATATTTACCTGGACGACTGACGTTGAAGACGCGATCGTCCGACATCAAGACATCCGCAGATCGAGCCCAGACGCCTTCGTACCTGTTCGTACAGACACATCACCCCTGATAGATCATGCAACCTTCAAGCCGCGTTCAACGTTGGTCACCCGTCAATCGCACCAATGCACCATCGCCTACTCTAGCGCTTCCCTCCGGGGTAATTTTATAGGGAAATCGCCCCATGTGGGGGAGTGCGGATGATCCGGGGTTTAGCTTCTTTGTGTCTGGGGTGACGCTTGGGGCACTATCGACTAGTACTCTACCAGGAAAGTCCTTCGGAAGGGGAATCCTGATGGTGTATAAGTAGGAGGGCGTTGGTCTGCAGGATCGTTTCCTTGCATCGTGTCCTTACTCATACCTCTCAACCAACGACCATTCCCCAAATCCTTCACCACATACCCCTACGCCAACACTAGACTAGACTATCAACAATGGAGAAGATCGATCACAGCATGACAGAGGACAACAACAGTGGCAATGGCTCTCCCTTGAGCCGTCAGATGACTGTCGCCCTCACTCCTGAGCAATACGAGAGACTGTTCTTCCAGCCCGAAGGTCCCAGACGTGGAGACTACTCCAAGCGATTCGGTATGTTGCCAACCGAGTACATGTTTTTGAATTTTCTCTAACAGTAGCGCAGGTAACCCCACGTTGCTCGGCCTGCTCGGCTTTTTGATCCCATACACATCCACTATCCTCACACTCTGCGGTTTCCGAGGCGCCACTACCACCAGTCTCGTCGGTCTCGATGGTGACTACTACGCCTTTGGCGGTATTGCCATGGTCCTTGCCGGCATTGCTGAGTTCATAATTGGAAATAGTATGTATCAACCAAACTCGTGTGGCTACAATCGGCAGGAGGCTAACATCATTCTTCAGCTTTCCCCATGGCCGTCTTCATCATCTACGGCGCCCACTGGATCAGTCTTGCCTATGCTCAAGATCCTTTCTTCAACCAGATCTCAGCCTTCCAGGCGGGCGGCGGTCTCGGTATCGCCGGAGCCGCATGGAACTCGTCGCAAGGATTCCACAACATCGTCATGGTACTGGTCTCATTCGTCTTCTTTGTCGCCACCTTCCGCGTCAACGTCTTCTTCGTCCTCACCTTCTTCGGCTTGATTATGCTGTTCTCCTTCATCGCTGCGGCACACTTTGCTATTCCCTCTGTCACCGATCTTGCTGGTCTTAATCACATCGAGACCTTGCTTAAGATCGGTGGTGGTTTCGGTTGGTTGGGTCTGGTCAGTGGTTGGTACTTGGCCATCCTCACCGCCTGTGCTGCCGTTGGCATCCCTTGCCCTCTTCCCGTTCTGGATCTGTCCGGCAAGATCTTCCGCAAGGACAAGAAGGACAGCCATGGCGAGAACAGCAAGCACGCTTAGATGTATCAAGACTGTACGAGTATGAAGCAGGGGTATACATGCCCGACATAAGTAATTCATGTTTCAGATATGTTCAAACAAATTTCCATTTCCACCACAAGGCTTCTTCACTTTTCATTTGACATGTGCTGTCGCGTGAGACGCGCTTTCCTGATTCTGTTGTGAAATCTCTGGCTTCCGCTAAAACATAGAACAAAAAGATACAACAACGCACGAGACATGTATTGAGACATTCACATGTCTTACCATGCATCTGCAAACTCGTTCTATCACCTTTACGACGCTGAACACTGCTTCAAAAGGATACCTCCGCCTCACCTCGCCGTCAATAACAGAAAACACAGACAGGAAGCCACGATCATGACGCTGCCGGCCGCAAAGGCAAAGAACAACAACAACACAAAATTCACCTCTCCACCTGCTCGCCCGAAGCCACCTGCAAACAGACCTTCATCGACACACTCGCCTAGAGCCGCTCCATCACCAACTTCCTCATCAGCATTGTCACTTTGGCGTGACAGCACCGCTTCCAGCCCACCACGAGTTCGCAAAGCTTCGCCGTCATCTTCCACGGCGTCGACTGGGAAGCCTGAGTGGATAGCACCGCCGGGGAAAGCGTGTTCGCCTACGAGTATTCCGGTCCCAACATTCCTGGCTTCTGCGAGGAGGAGGAAGTCAGCTTTGGTTTTGGCGAGGGGAGTGAGGAGGGAGGGAGATGTGGGTGTGCAACTTACTCCTCCTACGCCGGCTGGAACAAGAGTTACAAATGGGAGTGTGGTTGAGATTCCTTCGCCATCTGTGGGCGAGGTTGATTGGAATGGAGAAGAGATTGAGACGCCTTCTGGGCTACCCAGGCGGAGAACCGCCGTCTCGAATGAGTCTGGACAATCAAGGACAGTTGGACTGACACGACCGCCTCGTGGCTTGGGATTGAGTTTCGCTGTCTCTTCACCTCGAGCCTCCTCATCACTCACAGGGCCCACGGCATCCTTGCCAAAGAGCCCTTGGTCAACATCAATCATATCGCCCACCACCTCCACGCCAACAGCCAACCTAATATCAGCCTCCTCGACAAAGAAACACGACTCATTCTCTCCTACCTCCCCAACTTCCACCAACAACAACCACTTCAAGACCTCAACCCTGACACCCATCTCCTCATTAGCCCTCCGTAACACCTCCAAGACTCCAATTCTTTCGCCATTCAAACACAAACGCCATCTCTCCCCTCCCACGGCTCTGCCTCCTTCACCATCGACTCTACATCCACATATTTCAAAGACGCATATCACGCCTTCTTGTACTGCAGGAGCTCTGACGCATCGACTTTCTTGCGGCCATTTAATCGTGACTCTACGATCAGAAGTCTGTGCCAGGAATTGTGGAGATGAAGGTGCCACGTACGAGAGTGCAAGACTCAATGCAATGGGATTTGTCAGAGGCTACAGGGGATTAGACGACTCGTTTGCTTGTCCTGTCTGCATCTCCCTATTCTTTCACAGCATACAAGCTGGACAAAAAGTGGAGACTGTTGTTGAAGAGTTGAGACAAAAGTTACAGCTTCAAGACGATGAGCTGTGGATTGCGAGAAGCAAGGAGTTTATCTGCATGTTGAGCTCTGAGTCTGGTCCTGATGCCTCTGCGGCGATTGCGCGGTTGGGAAAGACGTGCACTGCTGTACTAGAGCCGGCGTTCCTGGCCGCTCGCTTTCCCGGTCCATGGCCTCGCAAAGTTGCAGGGAAGACCAAGGTCGGCGAGGGACAAGGGAAGAAGGACAACGATCGTCAAACAGGACTACAAGGCCGCTTTGGAAGGGAAACGGAGTGCAGGTATCATGTTCAGTTATTGCAGAAAGAAGGGAGATTGAAGAGATTAAGAGGTATAGCAAAAATGGAGTAGCAGTATAAATTGGTCAAGTAAAAAAATGAGATGACTTTTTGGTCAAAGATGTAGTAAAGATGTATGAAGCATATGACGCCTATGAGGTTTACAACAGTTTTCAGCTTTTATCGAAGAGCATCATTGAGATAGAAACGCAAAGAAAAGATTCTGCTCATTCCTCCACGGAAAGCTCCAAGAGCTGGCTGCTAGTACGGCGAAACGTCTCCTGATTGCGAAGCAGTAGGCTTAAGGTGCCTAACTTGTAATATTCCGCTTGTCCGCTGCTAAAGACTTTGTTTTTTTTTTAGGAAAAAAGGGGGTTAAAAATGCTGTTGTAATTAGCTTCGGATGACCCCAGTTTCAAATTGTAGAGCTTTATTGTTTTATTGCCCTCCATTTATTCTCGATGCCTTGTATATAGTTAAGCTACCCCTATATTGTATCTTCTCTTTTCTAATCTTTTTTTTACGTTTTTTTCGCTTCTTTTTCCGGGGTGGGAGTCTAGGGAGAGGGAGAAAAAAACTACTATCTATTATAACAACGCCCGGCTTTTGGGCTAAGGATGATAAGTAGTAGGTACAAGATGCCCGGAAGTACGTGCGATCGTGAGGGGTTTGCGCGTGGAAAAACAGGTGTGAAGGGGGTTCTTATACTGTTTTAGTATGTTCTGGCCAGCGAGCGTAAGGACAATTCGCGGGCGTTGACTTTTTTGTGCTCTGATTAAAGCAGAATTGAATTATAAGGTCTTCTTATGTTGATTTTAGATAAGCAGCCCTTCCCCATGGGTTCTACATAGCTGAGCGATCGTAAGTGGAAAGGGTGGAATCAGAAGGCCCATAATAAGATCATCCCTTATCTAAGCTTCATCAGAAAAAAAGCGCCAAATTTTTGTATGGAAAAAGCACTTTCAGATGTCCTCCACATTAGCCTGACTAACAAACCAAACACCAGTTTCTGTGTTATTGGTAGCATTAGTCTGCTTGACCTGACCCAACTTCAACGCTCCAGATTCAACAAGTCCACCAGCAACAGGGCGTTGCAATTTGTTAGCACCAGATTTGACGGTGAAATTGGCCAGAGAGATTTCATCAGGGTTTCTGTTGATAATAGTGGGCATGCCAAAGTAATTTGCCGTGACTTGATCATAAGCGACGTGAAGTTCAAAGTAACCTCTGTAGTAAAGGTCTTGCCATTGCAACTCTTCGTTCGCGTGGACCAACCAGGAGGAGTAATTGTTGGCTTGTTGGAGAGTGATGTTTTGGCCGTAGGGGCAAGGGGAGGAGACTGCGGAGCCGGCGAATTCGACACCGATGCTGTTGTTGCCGGTGGAGGAGTTGTAGTGTTCGTGGTCGAGCCAGACGAGGTCAGAGACCCAGGAGGCGTGGGAGTCGCCGGACATGACGATGTTGTTGCCGATGCCGTTGTTGTAGAGGTGGGAGAGGGTGCGGTTGCGGTTTGCTTGGTAGCCGTCCCAGGCGTCGTAGTCGAGGGGGTTGGTGTTGCCGTAAGCGGCGGACTCGTTGACACGGGAGAAGACTGGATGATGATTTAGTTACAAGTTCAGTCAATCGGGGGAGAGAAAATGGATATCCCTTACCAGTCTGCGAACCAATCAGACGCCAGGCAGTACCACGGTTGGCAGATTGAGTCAGCTGGTTGTAGAACCAGTTCTCTTGTCTGCTGCCCATCATACTTCTTCCAGCGTCATTGCTAATGTCGTGGACGTAGTCGGTGTTCCAGTAGAGATCAGTGATAGATCTGTCGTACTGACGAGTATCAAGCATGACCAAGTCAAACAAACTGCCAATGCTGAAGCTTCTCCAGATACGAAGGTTGTCATCCATCTCGACTTGACGGATAGGCATCCATTCAAAGTAAGCTCTGACAGCATTCATCTTTCTCTGATCAACTGAAACACCGCCATCGCTGATGAACGAGGCCTCGGTGTTGTTGAGCTCTGAAGCACCATCACGGTATGTGTTGTCCGAAACCTCGTGGTCGTCCCAAACAGGAATCCAAGGGAAGTTCTGGTGGGAAGCGAGGAGATCGAGATCGGTACGGTAGGTAGCGAGGCGCTCGCGGTAGTCGTAGAGGGTGGTGATGATACGTTCGGGCTTGGGGATGCGGTTGATGCTGTAGCCGTAGCCATAATCACCGTCGCCAGCATATTCATAGATGTAGTCACCGAGGTGAATGACATAGTCGACAGAGTCCTTGCGCACAGGATTTCCGTAGGCGTTGAAGAATCCGAAGGCTGTGTGGTGTTAGTCGCTGTTGAGGTGGGAAAGGGGTATTGGCGTACGGAAGTTGCTGCACGAGTAGACAGCAAGTCCAACCTCGGCAGTGTAGTCATTGGCATCAGGAGCAGTCTTGGTACGGCCAAGAGGACTGGTCTTGTTGGATCCGCAAACATTGAACTGGTAGTAGTAGCGAGTGAAGGCAGTCAGGTTCTTGGCCTCAACCTGGCGGTAGGAGATTAGCGGGTGATCGATCTCTCATTAGATACTCAGTCCTCACCTTGACAGTGTAATCGATGTCAGACGAAGTGTAGACGGTGCCACTGCTCTCGACATGTGTAAAGTTGGCAGACTTGGCCACCTTGTACTGCACACAAACAGGAGCAGTACTGGCAGTCAAGTTAGCGCCATGGCCATACAAAGGCGCATAACCAGAGACGGTGGTGTTGTCGTTGACATTGTCAAACATGGGAGCTACACGAGTCCACAGAATGACAGAGTCCGAGTATGGGTCACCAGAAGCAACACCATGAGTGAAGTTCAGCTGAGAAGCCGTGTACTGAGTGCCAGGCACATTGCGCTTGTTGACCTTGTGAAGAGAGATACCAAGTCCAGGATGGTGATCAGAAGGACTGCGGTAGTTCAAGTTCTGGGTCCAGCTCGCAAGAGCAGACGATGAAAAGGCGAGCAATGAGATGACGGAACGCATGATGAGTGTGAAGGGAAAGCCAATTGAATAGCTCCTACCTTTCTTTCAAATCTTTACAACGGGGATCCGAGCTGTCTTTGTACCTTTGCGAGCTCCGAGATAGGACTACAATTGATCAAGGATTCATCAATAGCATCGTGCTCAGTGCTGGGACCCGCACCATGTCGAATATGCCACTGACGACGCGGGTGCATTGCCGAAGCCAATGAGCAGTGTTCCATTTGACATGTTGCACTGTGCAGCTATCCGGCCTGCCTTTTTTGACAAGGCTGCGGGACAGGTAGGCAGATGTTGTGGATGAAGGCGGGAAGACTTGTCGGTGTTGCGAGGCTACCTTGAGTACAACGTGCTGCTCTGATAGGCGTCATTGGCTGAGTCGTGTTTCTTGGCATGGCAAGCTTTCCATCCCAGAGCTTGAGCAAAGACAAAATACCACATGGCGGGGCTAAACACATAAACTATGAAGAGGCAAGGATTGATAACGGCAGATGAACATGCCGACTTGGTGAGCTGAACACATGTCGCTTAGCAAGACGATCGCGAGGCTCAGACCGACCTCGTGAAGATACGGTGCTTCTACTGGGCGAAATGTAGATCCTCGGTCTACTCCTTGCAGCCCGCTTTGGGTCAACCAAGGCCGACGCGCACTCCACACACTAGGCATGCTGGCATGACAGGCTCACAACTTGAGAGTGGGAAGTACTTGTGATCTCGTGTTAAACAAGAAAGCTGTCTCATCCGAAGTGGACTTTGGCGACAATGGAGATTTATCGCCAGGGTGATGAGCACGACACAGTTTCACTCTCGTCAATACCATTCTGGCGTCCGGCAGAGCAACGTGCCTCAACAGGTGGCATCGTGTGACTCGGAAACAGTGTTTCACAGTAGTTTTACGCGTCTTCAATCGTTGGTAAAGACCATGTCGTGGAGATTGCCATGATGGCTTCTCTTGTGCATACAAGGTGGGTATCGTAATAATCCTGTAGCCATAACGCCGAGGCCCAGTGTCCATATTTTGGTCATTTCTCGTATTCTGCTCTGATGCTTTGCAAAAGTCACTCTTGCATCTTGTCCGAAGCCTGATTTTGCGCCGTCATGGCAGCAACAATGCCTTCCAAAGCTCTTGCTTCATCCCCACCTACGCGTCTGCCTAATGATTCGGCGTCTGGTGCTGCCGTGATATCTACGCCCACTCTGCCCAGAGCGCGACGAGTCTGGCTCTCAATGTATGCGTGTCTTGCTTCTGTGGACTGGTCGACTGTGGCTGCCATGTTCTTCGCAGACAGTGTCGCCAGGTGGGCGCGCAAGGTCGTGACGATTTCTCGGAGGGCTGGAATCTGCGAATAGACAAAGCTGGTGTTTTGCGCAAGCGAATTGGCATGTTTTTCCGATCCGACTCCAAGTGTTGCTGCCGACGGCGTATTAGTGAGGAAGGAGAAGGATGGGTTTTGTGATTGCTGTGGCGTGTCTTGATCGGGCTTGAAGGAAGTCGGTGTAGCTGGCGGAGCTAACATGAGCGGTCGTAGTTGTGCGAGCAAGGCTTCGTTCTGTGCGGCTTCTGCTTTCAGTGCCGATTGCAGTTTCTCCGTCTCTTGTACTTTGCGGCGCAGGCGTTGGACTGATTCGGGCGTGGGCGCATTGTCGTCTGCCGAGGGTGGCTGAAGGTTCTGTACTATGTCAGATGTGCGCATCTAGGGTAGATGTAAAGAGTACACACCTTGTAGTGATCCAGGACTATCCAGTTCTCTAGCCCCTCATCCTCTTTTGCATTCGAGACGGTCAAGAGATTGCGCAACGTGTAAATCTCGAGCTTGTCAAAGTTCTTGTCGATGGTAGAGTTCAACAAACTCTCCAGCTTGACGATTCCAGCCTCAATCTCCGTCCGCGAGGCCTGCTCTGACGCGTCTTCGCCATTGTTGTCGTCTGCTCCGTTGTGTTGCGCCGGCGCTGGTGTAGAGAAGCCGAGCTGTTCTTTCGGTACGTTGAGAAGCGCCGTCTCAATTTCGTTGACTGCTTGGAAGACGAGTTCGTTGACCGTGTTGATGATGTCGTCGAGGAGCGTCTGCTAATTGTCAACAAAGAACGAGTCAAGCGATTGGAGGCGCGCACCTACCAGTGGAGTGTATCGGAAGTGTTCTGTCAGCAGCGCATTCTTGATCTGATCACTCGTCGCCATCTCGGAACTTCACTTGTCGTCTTGTTGTGGAAGGAACGTCGCCGGCGCATGTCCATCAAAGTGTAAACAATCCCCGACTTGCCTCGGGAAACGCCGACCAGAACCCCCTTCCTAATCTGGACTAGTTCGGCATCACCTTCCTCGACCTTGACAACCGCCACGGCTTCCCTTCACCACATCCACTCGCGATATCAAATCACTCGCAGTCGGATCAATCAACTTGATCTGACACTCGACCATATTTTACTTAAATCTCATCATGGTCCGTCGTGGTGCTTTCAGAGTGCCTCAAGAACAGGTTACCCTGAAGCGTAAAAGACCTTCGTCCAAAGTCATACTTCCCGTACACGTTCGAATCAAGACAGAAGATGAAGACAATCTTGAGACGCTTGATAGATCCTCCTCTCAGAATGAAAGCTCGCTCGTCACGCTGCTTACTGACAGAAATGCACACCCGCGTGTCTCCGACCTTGTGCGCAGTTATCTTGACATCACAGACATTGTCGCACTGACTCGAGTCTGTCAATCTTTGTCCAGCCTGTACACTGACTCACTTCCCCATGATTGGAATATTAACAGTCGTCTGGCTCGCTTTGTTTCGGATCCAAACGCTTTTCGCCGCCTTCTTGGTAACAACCGAGCCTTGATCGTGGGAAGTATAATTGTGCAGTTCTTTGACCGCCTTCGCTGGGATGACTCGAGTCTCGACATACTGGTTCAAGAAGGTACAAAGGCAGGGGCTCTCAAGACTCATCCTCGCCGTCAGGGTTATCAAGGTCAAGCTACTCGAATTGTTTATGCGGAAGAACTCGAATATAAGGTTAGTGGCTTGCATATGTCAGCGTATCATCGCGCTGAATATTGTATAGATTACACCTTGGTTGAGTGCAGGAGGGCAACCGCAAAGCAGACTGAAGCGAAAGATGAAGGATGAAGTTAGGGAGGAGTCAGAAGGCGAACGTGACGAGGTCATCAAGCAAGAGGGAGAGGATGAGTGAGACGAGTGCGACGAATATTGCCTCTGCTTACAAGATTGAGATATCTTGGTGCTCTGAAGAAGTCTCCTCGATTTTCTTCCTCGGTACTTCTGTCGCTGCAAGTAGTTATCATAACCGCAAAGCGCTCAGAGGCGAACGTCCAGACGATTCAACTCGTGTGTCATGTCTTCTCGAACTACCTCTCAGATCAAAGAGCGCCATGATCAGCCAAGAAGATACTGCTACAAGAACGAATGACGAAAGCCACCATGATGTACCTCATTTGCTTCATTCCGGCATCCACTTGATCCAAGAACCAGCCCAGTTTTCATGCCCCATTGCTTCCTTGTCAAAACTTCCAATAGCTTACTAAAAGCAAAATAGCTCCAATATCCCCCCCAAGAAATCAACATTGCCAACCAACACCATCCTTGCCTTGCTTTGTGCAGATGTGATCGCGGAGAAGTAATATGAAGAGAAGAGACAAGAAGAAACAACAGCTTGGATGGCACAGAAAAAAGCTCATTTGTGAATTTTCTATATTTTCTCATCGACATGTTTCATTTCCATCTGAGAGCCAAAAGCCAGAAAAGCTCCCATGTCCATGCAGCAAATCTCAACTATTCATGCACAAGCAAAGCGCCACAGCAAAAATCCTCTCATCCTCTCCTCTCCTCTCTCTCCTCCATCAGCAGCAAACAAGTCCTTATTCCTCCATCTCTCCCCAACAAAAAAAAACCTCCCTTTCCTTAACGACCAACCCTCTTCAATCCCAACCTAACATCCTCCGGCAATTCGTTAATATCAATCAGCCCCAATTCCACAGCATCACCCCAAAAGAACATTGCTCTATCCCTCGCATAAGCCAGGTAATCGAATTCCTCTTCCGCGGCTTCATCATCTTCTTCATTGGGATCGGGTCGTTTATCGTGGATATCCTGTTGCAAAGCTTGAGATTCTTGACTCAATGGATCAGACGAGAATGGCTGAGCATCGTTGTTGTCTTCTGTAGTAGGTGTCAAAGTATCCGGGGTTTCAGACAATGGGATGGAAGAAGCAGATGTAGTAGTAGTAGCATCAGGTAATCCCGGCACTTTGGCTTGCACGATGCCCCAAGCCACCCATTGTGCCGAATTAGCCAATCGCCACATTTTGGTCTCTGCAAGGAGACTCTGCACTTGCGCATCTTCCCTGTCTTGATAGTCTTTATTCACTTTTTCCATAACAGCGGGGGATTCGGGTGGACCTCTGGCATCGAGCATAAAGTTTGATATACTGCTTGTGGGACCCTGAGGACGCTTTTTCTTCTCCTCCGTATCTGCAGGACCGAGGTTGGGGGTGGGAGCGTTGAATTGAGGACGATGACGGACATAGGCGCGGAGGAAACGGTCTTGCTCCTCTGGGGTGGGGTAGAGGGCGGTGTTGCAGAGCCAGGCGGCTTTTTCGTCGTGGTAGTTGTAGCACCATTCTGTAAAGTGGTTTGCAAATTCGAGACCGGGGGTGTTTGCGTTTGAGTATTCAAAGTCGATGACGATGAGTTGTTTGTGGGTGTTTGCCGGGAGGAGGAGGGGTGAGGTACCAGAGGGGAGGAGGCGGAGGATGTTGCCGTATTGAGTCTGGAGATTTGTAAGTAGTGAACAAGGGAGTGGAGGGACACGGGACTTACATCATTGTGGGCAAAGACGTAGCGAGAGCGAAGTTGACCAGGCTCAGTATATTGTGCTTCCAGCCACTCGCGATACTTCTGCACAGTCCTCTTAAAGACAGCCCATTCAGTACCGCAGACAAAGCCACGAGTCTGCCATCCATCAACTTGATCAGACTTGCTGCTCTGCTGTTGCTTGAGCACCTCACTGTCAAGCCACATGGTGACATCTTGAACACGTTGGAACCACTTGTCCCAGTTTTGCCAGACAAAAGCGCCTTCGTCCCGCTCACGTTCGAGCAGATCAATGCCTTCGTGAAGCTCACGCATACGCTTGGCAATTTGCTTGGACGTGTCTGCATTGCGCAGGTCCTGGGGGTCTAGTGCCTTTGCGTGGAAGTACTCTTCGAAACGGCCATTGCTGAATGTACCCAGCATGCGAGGTCCTATACGCTTGCGGGCCAGACGGCGGAGAATTTGCAGCTCAGATTCGCGGTCGATCAGATGTTCGACCTGAGGCCCGTAGATACGGAGGAGAAGTTTGGCTGGAGGAGGACGTTGCACGGGTTGTTGTCCATCGGCGCTTGTGGGTCGGGGAGGCAATGTCTTTGGAGGAGAGACGACATAGACGGCATTGGTGAGAGCGCCACTGAGTCTCTCAACAGTACACTCGTTACTCATGTCCATAGGTACACGACGCCATCCCTTGATGCGAAGGGTATGCGTAAGACGAACAATCTCGTACTTGAATGATGACCAAGCTTGACGAGTACCAAGACCAAGACTCTCAGTCGACTCTGCTGGGTCTGCGCCGCCTCCTGCACTGGCAAGTGTCTTTGTGTTATCAAGCCACGCTTCAGCAGAAGGAACGAGAGCATCGCCATCGTGGTACTCAGTATCGGAAGATTGACCGGCGTTGGATGAGTTCTTGTGCAACGTCTTGAGTGAAGGGCGCTTTCGGATGCTTGGGTGCACGAGTGATGGTTTACGAGGCTTGTCGAAATGAATGCTCTCCTTCAAGATCTGCTCCAGTCTGCTGAGATCAACACTTTCGCCAGAGCTACGACGGCGGGAGCGTGAAGCAATCTCAACACCAGATGTGATTCCGTGAGAATCACTTTCGTTAGTTTTGCGAGTCTTACGCGCATCACGTTTCTTTCTCTCCTCACGGAGCCATGCAGTTATTTGACCGACAAGTCCACCACTGAACAAATGATGCTCCTCATCCTTCTCACCTTCGGATGGGTCAAGGCTTGGCAGGGAGGTGACGGATGCATTACGCGCGCGTCTTCCTGACAGTCGCTTGGAGTTGGGACCTTTGGCCTTGAAAGCACGAGGCCCACTAGACACTCTATCGAGTTCAAGATCATCAACATCCTTCTCCTTCCCGAGCATCATTGGTGAGATGGTCTCTGCATAGGGATCAATGGAAACAGCTGTCACATGATAAGCAATCTGAGATGATGGCAGTAAAAGCCGGCAGGATGTCGCAATGGGTGGTATTGGAAGTAAAGTCGACGTAGCGTTGCACAGAGGTTCGCATCTATATGCGCGGGCAAAGAGACGAGATACGTACATTTGGGACCTTCTCGAGGCGATTGCGCATGGCGGATGTTGAGCAACGTCGACGGCGAGACTGCCTGACCGTTCTGAGCAGTCTGAGCATTGTCGTCATTTTTCAAGATGCCCTGCAGCTTGGGCGAGTCGCGATGGGTCATGATGAACCTCTTGACAGCTCTTCACCAGTGGTCGAGACAATCGCGAGAGTGAGTAGCTTTGGTGAACGTGTGACGAGGTGCCAGATTTCAAGATCGAACGGCTTCCGTGCACAAAGCTGTCTGTCAGGGGCTTGGCGAGATCGTTCCTTCCTCGACGTGTTGCGAAAAGTGTTGCTATCTCGACTTGAGAAGAAGAGAGTAAAGTCAAGCCCAAAGGACACGAGTCCAGGAAATTGCCCTGTTATCTGAACCGGCGTGACTTTTTTGTGGATGCCTGCGAATAAACAGGATTATTGTTGCGGGATGGCTTGCATAATCTTGGAATAAAAGTGCCCACGTGTTGCAAGCTATCGATTTCTTGGCGGCGGTCGCGGTCTCGATTCCGGGGATAATGACGACGGTGACATCCTCTCGCAACATCTGACAGAACATGGTTTTGGATGACTGGATAGTTTTGTTACTTCCGTTGGTGGTCGGCTCATGAAACTCCCCCAGGCTGCACCTACAACGATTGCTCTCTCGTAGCCACTCGCCACATAAACAAGTCTGCAGCGATGCGAGGCTGTTCAACATAAACGAGTGCTTGTTCGGGAGATGACACAGTAAATACACTGTTAATTTTCGGCTTCTATGGTCCCTCCAGTGATCTTACACAGCCAAATCTGAATTCTTGATACTCATACTTGTCCCGCTCGACTTCTGTGTCCTACATCCGCGAATAGCAACTTGACCTTCAAGATCTATACACACTTGCTCGACACCAACGTATCTAGAATCCGCACTCGATATAATCACAGTCATAGTCTCACATCAACCAACACCCAGGCAGTCAGGAAAGCAAATCGTGCTTATCATAAAATGTCATAAGTGGCAGCCATTGCCTCAATCTCATTCTCGCATCTCCATCCTTCGGCCACGAGCCTTCGAGTCCGGCCTGTGCAGTGCCGCTTCTCAGATGTCACAGGCATGGATGCCTCCCTTTAATAATACATGACCGCTACCTGAGTGTAGCTCTCTTATCCTCCGACCTTGTTCAATGACCTATGCTCTCGGACCCAGGTTTCGGCAATGGTGGAATCGAGGTTCTGTTCCTCGATCTCGACGTCCTCGTTGTTAGTCTTGTGTCCGACGACTTGCTTGAATAAAGCATGGACCTTGCCGACCTCGCCCTCGGTTCCTCCATCGCCCGGCTCTCTGATAGCTCCCTTCTTGACCTTGGCTTTGATAGAAGCAGCCATGAGCTCCTAGTTTACGTAACTCCTTGACCTTGGCGTCGCGAGCTCCAGCATTGATGGCGTGTGACTTTATCAGGAACTCCGTGAAGGCGTTGAAGTCCCTGGCTTCGAAGGCGACCTGAGTGATGGCTGAGAACAGATTACGCTGGCCGACGTCGAGGTTGGGGCTCTGGAGCATGAGTTCGAGGTCTGAGGTTGTGACTTCCCCGTCTTTGATCTTCATGTTGGAGATGAACTTCTTGTACTTAGCCTTCAGTTGAAAGAGATCAAGGGTGGTCCTGGCATCCTCGAATTTGGGGACGTCGACAGGTACGCCGTCGACCTTTCCATGCAGAGGGTGGATCTCAGGCATGATGATGTCAAATCCGCACTTCTCGTGAGGGGAGTCGTGGAACCATTGCAACAGTTGCGCACCTCTGAGGAGAGTGTCGGCCTTCTCCTGATCGTAGTCAAAGTTTTTGAAGATCGTAGCGCCGTACTTGGAATTGTCGGGTCCGCCGGCCAAGTTGAAAAGCTTACACCATGATTCGTAGGTATGTTCATCCTCGATATTGGCGTTGATGAGAATGGGTGGCAGGAAGTAGCTGAACACGCTGATGTAATAGTGTTTGGGCTCCGAGTAGATGTTGACTTTGCGCGTTGGCACACGAAAGCCCAGATTGCGGATGTACGCGATGTCGTCGGTGGAGAAGCAAGACAGAGGCTTGTCGAAGTCTTCCCCACGTTCCTCTTCCAGCAAGTCCCTCTGGCGCCTCTTGACCTTGGGCTTCTGGCTGGCTGGCACCGTGGCCTCGAGCTCGGAGGTGGGAAGCCGACGCTTACGAGTCGACATGGTAGCTTGAGTCTTACGAACGGCAAGACCGTCGTTGGGGTTGGGTTTGGTCATGTTGGATGTTGGACTTGGAAGTTGGAGGTTGGAGTTCGATGTTGGAGGTCGGAGTTGAGTCTTGCGTGGAGGTGGACTGAGTTGAAGCTAAAGAAGATCTTGAACAAAGACTTGGAAGTTAAGATTGTCAAGTCGTGGTAAGATTCTTGGCCCGGGCCCGACGGAAAAAAAGACTGGCCCCGTTTTTGGTGGTGGGGGGCGGCGGAGGCAGTGGTGTGTAGACGTGATGGAGCATTTGCGGAGACGGAAATAATCTATAGTCGGGAGTTTGAGCGGACATTGGTATGTGGTAGTGAGTAAAGTTTCCGAGAGTGAGTGTGTCTTTGGTCGCTGTGAATGAAGAACAACTGGAGTTATGGCTGATGAATCTCCCACAATTTTACTATTCCGTGGTCACTGGAAGTGACCAATCTTGTCCCATCAGGGGAGAAAGCGACACCCCAGACCTCATCTCCATGGCCCTCGAGCGTTTGCAAGCATACTCCGCTGGCTATGTTCCAAAGTCTTACAGTATGATCTCGCGAGCCAGACGCCAGAATATTGCTGTTGGGTGAAAGGGCAAGAGCGAGAATTTTCTCTGTGTGGTCTTCAAGCAGATACTGTAGCTCACCAGTCGCTACATTCCAGATATGAATGATTTTACCGGAATTGGTGATCATCGTTTCACTGTCAGGAGTGAACATGACCGATGGCTGAGCTGTGCCATAGCCTTTCAGAGTCTTGACAAATTGCCCAGTCTCTAGGTTCCGTAGTGATATGGTATGATCGCGTCCGGTAGTAGCAATCAGTTCGCTATTTGGTGAGAACACTCCGCCAGACCCTTGTAAAGTGTAGCGTAGCTCAAAGGTAATTGTATCCCAAACTTGTGTGTCTATGCCATGCCCTGCAGTCACGAACACTGTTCCGTTTGGAGAGAACCATAAAGCGTTACCTTGCGACGTAAACATTAAGTCCCAGTCAACAATATCCCACAGGCGAACTGTATCTGTCTTACAAGACACAGAGATAAGGTATTTGGCCTCCGGTGAAAAGTCAATGCTCCAAATTTCATGTGAATCTCTCATGGCATGATCCATCGCCTCGATTGAAACGCCAGTCGATCTGCGGTCGTCGTAGCCAATAAGAGTATGGCGTAACGTACCACTCTCAATATCCCAAATCTGCACAACATCTGTTCCAGTGGCCACTGAACGGCCATCGGGCGTGAAAGCTGCTGCGTACATGCGGTCTCCCTCCTCATCCCCAAATTGCCGTATCAAATCCCCAGTAGTAGTGTTCCAGAGTCTTGCAAGACCATCATCATTTGCTGTGATCATGTGTTGACTGTCCTCAGAGAACGTGACATCCCAGGTTATATCGTCACACCCTGCAGTGCTACTTTGTAGCTGGCCGTCGCTAGGATCCCAGATATTGATAGGATCGTCGCATAACGACAGGTTCACTAGGAGCCGGCTGTCGGAGCTGAATACAATTTGTCGCAAGGTGTCAGCATGTCGGCCCAGGTCCTGGAGTAGTGTCGCGCTCTGCATAATGATTTTCTGGGTAAGCTAGAACAAATTCGCCTTCAACGGTACCGAGACAGATCTTGGACAAGAGTTCAATGCGAGGTTCAAGCGAAGTCTGCTCAATTTAGCGACTGAGATTGTGAAGGACTGTCTTGAGTTGACAGTGTTGTCTCAACGGAGCCTTTTACAGTGTGAAGTGAGCGCCGATCAGTCTTGGCATTCACGATGTACTGTGAGTCACCCTCAGTGGACCGTCATGAACCTTCAACCGCAAGTGAACACGTAATGAGCGAACAGAACATGGCGGCTTCTCAAGTAGGTGACTCATCCTGGTGCGTCGGAAACTCCTCTTCACTCGACTCCGAAAACTCAGTGATTGGTAGTGGAGCTTGGCGTTGATTGACAGCCTTCTTCTCCTTCCGAGGCTTGAATATCGCATACACGTCATCCACAGTGAGTCTGCTTCCAGGAGAAGTTTCGAAAAGAAGGTAGTCGATGATGTGCTTGAGATTTGGCTCCAGACGACCAAGTGTGCTATCTGTCGCTGGATTCATCCAAGACTCGTATGCAGGCTTGTAAAGAGGCACTTTTATGTTAAGTCTCTCTTGGACGAAGTGATTAAAAGCACTGAGCGTGAGAGTATAGCCGTTCTTCGCAGAATCAATCACAAGGTCGTGTAAACCAGCGAGATCCTCGACTTTCTTGGACGAAATCGAGTTCTCCTTGTAGGCAAGCTTGCCATGAAGTTTGGTAGCGTTACCGAGCAGATCCTCTTGCAGCTTGAATTTAAAGCTCTCCAATAACCATCTGTCAACGTTGTTGTCACTGCCGAGAACATCTCTGAGCTTACGAGTATCCCTCTTGACACCGTAGTACTCGAGCTTTGGCTCATCAAGCGGGGCAGGTGCGTTTTTGAAGTCGGTAGTGAGTCTCGGATCCCAGCACAGCCAGAAAGTGTCACCGTCATAGTCACCACCCTGGAGCTTGTGTGCTTGGGGAACACATCCTTTGGAAGGGAAAACAACGACATCCAGCAAGTGGCTAAGCTCTTCTTTGTACACAGCTTTGACCTTCTGGATGTCGGAGCATCGAAGCGAAGGATGTCGGAGCATCGAAGCGAAGGATGTCTCGCGACCAATACCTTTCCCTTTAGATATGACCAGACCTCCCCAGACACTTCATCACGAAATATCTCTGAGAAGGCCATGTGAATTTCTCCTGGCTTCAGACATCCTTTCGGATCAGCAACACTAAGAGCCATAGCAGACTTGCCAAGGTGAATCTTGAGCTTCGAGCGTACTGTTGATAGCCAGAGTTTGATGACTTGCTGAATGCACATTGCGAGATATTAGTTGGTCAAAGGATTGACGCCAGACTCGAGAAGTAAAATTGACTTCTCTACCTAGTCGGAGGGGAAGTTACCCGCTTCTCTGATGCCAAGCTTGCGATTCATCTCTTCCATACCACTGAACTCGGCGTGCAGCCAGCGTCGCAAGCTGACCGGATCCTTCAACGAGTCGAGGAACGCTGAGAAGTCCATTTCCAGCTGAGTCTCAATGGCGTGTTGCAAGGTGTCGCGAGAGACATGTCGGTTCTGCAAGATAGGGATAAATCCCAGATTCAACGTCGATGGCTTGGGCGAGCTTGTATACTTGACCAGTTCGAACGATTACCGATTAGGCTTGCAGCTGTTTGTGAGATCTTCATCTCGCGGTACGACCTTGCGTTGACTCTCAGTCATTTGTATCCACCTCTTTCTATGCTTTGGTTCAGTCGTATCATATGGTGCGCTGATCATCCATACACCCTTGCAGCCATTGATGCGACCCTGGAAAGCGACCGGCCGTACACTTTTGATACCATGTTCTTCGCAAAGCTCTTTTGCTGCGCCCACTGAGATCAAGGAACAGCCATCGTTCATGACAGCTTGCTCATCGGAAGTGGCACAGCGATATTCGAACTTCATACGCCGATCGTTGTACTCATTGCTTTCTGGACTGCCGTCTGCTAGGGTATCTGTGACATACTTGACCTCTCTGTAGCCGAAGTTGACAGTGGGGATAGTTTGCGAAAGGAATAGATCAAGTCTCGCGTATGCCTTACAGAAGCCTTGATGCCCATTGATATTGAGCGGGATCGCCCATTTCACCATCTCATCAACGCTGACCTTCCGCAGACGTGGTCCGTCGACAGCGAATAGTACAAGACGCTGACTCGGCACATTGTCTTTGCTGTGCTTCTTCTTGACATCTTGGACATGGAAGGCACGCCTCGTGCGACCAAGAAATTCTTTCTCATTACATAGCCACTCCAAGTAGCGTACTTTGAGAAGATCTTCTTGACCGCTTAGATGACTTGCTTTGAATCTGTGGACTTGCGGAATTTCGATATACAGAAATCGACTTGTTCCGAAGTGTCTTTCCAATATGCAAGCTCTTTCGCACTTTAGCGGCTGTAAAGACAGAGTCAAAAGCTTGTCAGCGAACAAGCTAGGGTTAAAATTGAGGTTGGCTTTGAGCTTGACATTGGCTGATTGCATGGGATCAATCAGTGCGTCCCAAACTGAGGGCGAAGTTCTCTGGAATTGAGTCCCAGCCGGTAGCTGTTGATAGATGTCATCAACGTTCGCATGGTACTGTAATGGTTGCCAGATTGTATCAGCAACTCGGTAGCTCTCCCAGAGATGGTGAAAGGATGAGTGATTGACATCGACAGCCACGGGAGTGCCAAAGAGACCGTCCGTCGGCAGGGATCGGACCAATCTGTTCTCGAGTACTTTGGACGACGTCTTACTACCAAAGCTCGCCTCGGAAGATCTTGAAGCTGCCACATGCTCCTGCTGCAGTCGAACACCAGCCGCCGTTGTGCAGGTCTCTGCTGCTGGCAGCGGCCGCTGTAGACGCAATCGACCAGCAAACGAGTCCCCATGATTAGTAAGAGCTTCAGAATCTGTCTGGACATTGGAAGGCTGCATGAAGCTCTTCAAGATGCTTTGTGCCTGTTCGGCTTGCGTAAGATCAAGGTCGCCATGATCAGCACTCGAAGAGTCCAAGTCATCGGAGGAGCGGTCGAAAGAAGTGGCCACTGTTGTAGCAAAACTTTGGTTTTCATGGCCGAGCGATATTGAACAAGCGTTGGTCTGCCCTGACGATGCGAAGCTGGTATTTTGATAGCTAGCTTTGCATGAGGAATGGTCGGTGACTTGTCGCTGCTGTCGCGGCTGCTTTGAGAGGCGCACGTACGGCGGAGAATCGGAAGAATCTGAATCGGAAAGTCGTTTCGTGCCTCTATTGACAGGCTCGGAGTCAAGGAGGAAAGACTGGTTGACTGGTAGTAGTTGTGTCTTGGAATTCTGATCTTCGGTCTCGGTCGGTTTGACACGGCTCAACTTGGAACCTTTCTTGATCTTGGGAATGAGCTTTGTCTGCGTCAAGGAAAGTTTGGGAGCAGGTTTCTTGAAGTCGGATTGCGGTTGCTGCACAGGCTCGTCCAGTCGCAGTTTCCCGACTTGTGGTTTGTTCTTCTCAATATAAGCCGCATCTCTGATTCGGGTGTAAAAAGATTCCAGGTGATCACCACTAATACGATTTTTGGCTCTGTCTTTGCGAAAGCTATTAATCACGTCGTACATCGCAACTTTATTCATAAAGAAAAGGAAATTGATACGATCAACGCATCGTTCGGGATAGCCATCGGGTTGCTTGCTGGGTGAGAAAGTACCGACTCGAGGCCTTAGAGGTAGTCCAAATTCTTGTGCAATTGAATCGACGATGATATTGATTTGCCTGCTAGCTTGACCTCGGGGAGTGGTTGGTGCAGGAGAGCCGCCGTTGGACCTGCTCAAGCCGGCAGGGTCCGAGGCAGCCATTGCTCCGAATTAATGCTGGAAGACGATAGAGATGCTCAAAGCATGACCGCAGATCCGATTCCAGCAACAGCAATATCAGAAAGAATGTGGTGACGCTATTACCCAATTGATGAATGAGATAGCTTGAGAAGGGGGGTGCCTGAGGAACGAGTGGGACGGAACCGTGGTTTCATTGCGCGGACCGTGCCGCAATTAAGCGCTGAGATGTTCTGACCAATCAAATTCGACCAAATCATAACTTCACTGTCAGTACAACCCTGTACTTTCGATTTATACATCGATACCATCGTTTTGGTTGAGAGAAGAAGGGAGATCACTAGAGCGTTAGCTTCCTCGATCGACACTTTATCTCCCTCACTGTAGTATACCGGAAAAATCACCAAAGAGAGGCAAAATAATGGTGAGAAACGTGAATATGTCAATGGAGAGCATTCTCGGAATAATTTCTGATCTTGGCATGTAAATCGGGCTCGACTCCATTAGACTGCAGTTCAAACTTCATTGTGAAGTGGTACAAGACCACCGTCAGCCACTGCAACTCAACCTTGACAGGACTGCAGTGCGGAGTTGACCTCCGGAAGTAAGCACAGCCTTGACCTGGTTCTACCCGCAGAACCTCGTCCATGAAGTGCACTTCGATCTTAGCACAGCCTTGATCGTAGATCGACTTCTTGAGCACTGCATGGACAGGTGCCAGTCCCTTAGAATTGATTGTGCATTGTGACAACTACCAACCAGAGCGTCGACAGGCAACGAAAGAGCCTTGAACCCATCCTCCTGTCATCCATGGATGCTAGTTTGTATTTGCTCCAGCCAAGGCAGTCTGGTCACTGAATGAGTTCCTCCCTTTTGACAGCGTCCGTTCCGGGGTGCTACGGAAAAGGAAGCAGACGGAGCAACATGATGAAATGTGAGTCACATGTGAGTTCGAGGAAACGGAAGATGGATTTTGTTGGTCAAAAGGGTGAGCGTGCTTTTATTGGGCTCGTGGATATCATAAGAAAGCGCGTAATTGAAGAAAGACAACCCGAATATGCAACCAGCTTGCCTAGTGTCAGAGATGCCGCTTAAACCTTCATCTCGGTCATGCCATGTTTCCAAAAACATGCATAAGGTGTGGCTTAGGACAAGTCAGCAAAGGTTAGATGGGGGATAGGTGTATTGTAACTTACTGCCATCCTCGCGGTAGTTGAGGAGGACAACCATGCCGTCGGGGTCCATGGACTCGCCGGTGAAGAACTCCCAGTCCTTGAAGGAACCGACAACCTTCTTGGCAAAGGTCTGGGCACCAGTCTCGAACTCCTTGATCTCCTCATCGGAAGCGTTTCTCTCCTTCATGGACTCCTTGACCTTCTTCATGTACTGCTTGAGGTGGCCGAGGTAGGACTTCTTGTCGAAGGAGGTCTCGTTGAGGCGGAAAGAGTGGACAACGTCAATGACGGAAGTGGTGTTGTCGTCAGCACCCTCGTCACCACCCTCCTCAGCAGAGGGGTTGGCACCGATGTCTGTAGAAGTGCTTGTTAGTCCTTGAGGCCAAGTCGGGAAAGTTGTTGAGGATTCGAGTCGGACGTACCGATGTTGTCACCACCAACGGTGATACGGGCGCAGTCGGCCTCGTAGATGACGTTGTCGGTGACCTTGAGGTCGTAAGAGTCCGAGATCATCTCGTCTCCGGTGATAACATCCTACAAGGTCGAGTCAGCGATTGGTCCAGAGACGCAGGGAGGGGTTGAGCCGTCGAAGAAAGGGCGATCCGAGCGGTACAATAGCCGCAAGCTCGAGCCGCAACATCTCGACAGGCTCGGGAAGTCGTACCTTGTAGATAAGCATATTGGCGGTGTTTTGTGGTTTGGGAGGTTGGTGAGGGAAAGGGAGAAGGAGCTGAACGAGGAAAAAGATTGCTCTCTACCGTCGGGGGTGGGGAGCTTTTGTTCCTTCCTAATTCTGCGGAGAGAAAATTGGCGTCTGGCCTGCACGCTTTCGCCCAATCAGGAAAGCGCCGAGCTTGGACCCCCACAGCGCCCGTGTCGACCGAATTTGCTGCCAAGACTTGCGAATCCGCGCTCCTGCAAAATCTTCGACTCCCTCTGGTGGAAACCGCTCCCTCTCCTGTCGTTTCTTCTTCCATCACTCCAGCCGCCAATCCGTGAGGTAAGTCGTCGCGCAGCAGACATGCTGCATCACTATAGCCTTCGAGTGCCCTTCAGGTAGCCCAGGTTGGCGCATCGCTTCTCTCTTTCACTGGAGGGAGCGACACCGTCAGTCTGACATGGACGAGCTGAAGAACCCTTCTGGTCGCACATCCGCTTGCGCATCCCGAAGGGCACTCTTTGCGCTCATGGCTTCTGAGGGCTAACATGTATATTCTTCGCATCAGCAGATACCTCCTACCGCCACAACTCGCCGTTTGAGAATCTCGCCCGACAACCGCAAAAATGGTCAAGACTTCCGTCCTCAACGATGCGCTCAACGCCATGAACAACGCCGAGAAGAGCGGCAAGCGCCAGGTCCTGATCCGTCCTTCTTCCAAGGTCATCGTCAAGTTCCTCTCTGTCATGCAGAAGCACGGTAAGTCACATCAACAACACATTGAGTTACAAGTCCGAAGCAAGAAAGAGGAGGACTGCATTGGGTAGATAGCGCGCGCACACAACAACACAACACCCTGGTTGATAACTAGGTGAACGGTCTCAATCAACCCACGGCCTTTGCCCTTTAAGTATCAGGGAGATTACTGTTGAGGAACTTACACGGCTTCGGACTGCTCAATGATGTTTTGCTGTTTATTTTCTCGCAACATACTGATGTTATTACTCCAGGCTACATTGGCGAGTTCGAGGAGGTCGACGACCATCGCAACGGCAAGATTGTTGTCCAGCTTAACGGCCGTCTCAACAAGACCGGTGTCATCTCTCCCCGCTACAACGTCCAGCTCCGCGACATGGAGAAGTGGGTTGTCAAGCTCCTTCCCTCGCGTCAATTCGGTTACATTGTCCTGACCACCTCTGCCGGTATCATGGACCACGAGGAGGCCCGCCGCAAGCACGTTGCCGGCAAGATCATCGGTTTCTTCTACTAGACGCTGTCTGGACAAGGAGTTGCCATGGACTGTGCACGTCTTGAAAAACAAACCACCAAAAGTTTTGGGCATTCGTCTCGTTCTAGATACCACTTTGAGCATTTTCAATGAAGAGCTACGACGCTTGTCTATCATTCTCGTCCTTTCATCTTTGACCTTTCTTGTTTCCTGTGACCCACGTCTTGTTTTCAACTGAACCAAACATCTTGCGTGCATGTGAACAGCTTGAACAATACTATCAAGCTGGAGTAGAAGCTTGCGTCTTCCATGCGTCCTGATATGCAGGTTGCCATTGGTGCCCAGAGCGATTCATGCATCATCTCTCAGCCTGACCGCAAAGACTCTCCCTTTGTCCAAACTCGTTTGCTGAACTCGTCTTCCATCATCTTCTCGCACTTTGATCCTCCTGTCATATAATCTCCACTCTGCAACCTACAAGCCTCGCTGATCGATCTTCCTCCCATCACCTACTTTTTTGACTTTCGCACGGCCGTTTGATTCTTGCCAAACGCCGCTGACGCAGCCGCCAAAACTTCCACTCAGCACTTTGCAACACCCTCGTGGACAACAACATCGACTTTTGACGAAACCTTGTATCCCCACTCCAACAACTCATCATGGTTCTTGAGACTATCTACGTGACCAGACATGGTGTGAGTATCTATTTCTATCATCTCGTTTCCAGCTTGTGCGGCCAGGATGCGTCATAGCAGTTGGCACCGCAATTTCTTCTCTTGTCTTGACTTCACAAAAGTATTGAGCGCGAGCGATGAGAGCTATAATCACCACTTTAGCAAAGAGAGCTCTCCGTTCGTACTACCCTTGAGGCTCTTGCCTGTCTTGGCTTTCTCATGCCCCACCCCACTTTCGTCTCGATTGTCGCATTTCTACTCCAAACATACTGACCAAAACAGTTCCGCTCTAACTGGGTCGTCGACCCTGTCACTGGAACTTACACAAGCAATCTTCCTACACCTACCGGAATCGCATCGGATCCCGCACTGGCTGCCCATGGCGTGGATCAATCAAAGGAACTGGCTGAGCACATCTCCAAGCTGGATCCTCCTGTCGACGTCATCTACAGCTCTCCCTTCTATCGCTGTTTGCAAACCTTAGCACCGACCGTCAGCAAGCTCAACAGTGACCGTTCCGAGGATAAGAAGCTGCAAGTCCATGTCGAAAATGGAGTCGGCGAGTTCTACGGCCTTGCCCGCTTCGACCATCCTTCACCTGCTACTCTGGATGTTCTCCACAAGCACTTCCCCGGAGGTCTTGCTGAGGCCTACGTCCCCGTCATTCGTCCCAGTGTCAACGGCGAAAGCCTGACATCCCTTCACGACCGTATTGCCTACGCCCTCTATCACGTTATTCAGAAGCTTGACCAGGACCCTGCTGGACCCAAGACTCTACTCATCTGCACACATGCGGCCAGCATGATCTGTATTGGTCGTGCTTTGACTGGACGCATGCCTGAAGACCCCAGCGAAGAGGACTTCAAGTGCTTCACCTGCTCGCTATCAAAGTTTACCCGCCGCAACATACCAGAGGCACCTACAGAGAAGCAACACATCTGGACACTGGATGAGCCCGAAAAGATTCCCTTTGTCGACTGGAGAGGCAAGGGTATCAAGGGCGGTTGGGAGTGCGAAGTCAACGGTGACTGTTCCTTCCTGGAGAAGGGCGAAGAGCGTGGCTGGTATGTTATCTTTCTTCCTTTTTTCTTTCCTCCCCTTTCTCTCACACAAATGTCCTTCTACTTTTTTCCCAACATCAATACTTGCAAGGTTTGAAAGAAGATACCATCCTGAACTAGGAACTGGTGGTTGGAGCCTGGTCTTGAGCACTTGGCACCTGTGGTCACCGTCACGACTTACGGCGCTGGGGGTGTCAACATCGTCTGAGCTATAAGCCCACACTTCGTTTGTTTTTGGCATGCATCGAGCAATAAGCCCACCCATGCTTCCATCCACGCGTATCACACTTTGCATCTTACGACGATCCGAACAACAAAAACACCGGCGAAACACAACAAAAAGACACAAGCTTACGAATTTCTTTCTTCCGTCGCAACAGGGCATTTTCCACCGACGAGTCATTCCTACGAGACCCGAACGCATACAACGACAAGATCAACGAAGGCGCAAAGGAGGGAGAGGGTATTTTGAAGCCAGGTTTCCGGCTATGAAAAATAATCAGGACAAGGTAAAGGTGCAAAGTACAAGTTCGCCTCCGCTTCAGACATGACTTTGAGGTTTAGTCTCTGATTGCGATGAACTTGCATACCGTCCTGCTTTCTTTTCCGCAGACGGCTGGGCTGGGTCAATGATTATGTTTTCAATTTCTAATAGAGTTTCTTCCCCTTTCTATTCTCATTCTCATCATATCACGAAAGAGCTTTCCTGTCCTTTGTTGCCCTTGACTACTTAACATGTTTAGCAAGCAGCCATTCAACCAACATTGCGCTCTCAAGGTCGGAGCACTTGTCTTCCACACTCTTGGCTATTATCGAACGGTTCAAGAGTCTGCTCCCTCTCACTCGCCATGCTTCTGGTACTATATCTTTTCAGCCTCTAGCATATCATCAGCGGCGACACCAACCTTCTCGCTCTTGGCATGATGCGCACGCCCATGCCTGAAGATTAGCAACATCATCGCATCCTCTTGTTTTCAACAACTCTGCTTAGCATCTTCTAATCAGTGTAAGGCCGAGAGCATTTACTACGGCCGCTCCGTCCACAAACATCTTGCACATCTGCTGTGTCTCTCCAGCATTTGTGGCATGACCATAGCCATTGCTACTCACAGCCTATGGTTTGCATTTCTGTCAACGCCAGATGCATCTATTCACCATCGTCCGTCTCACGCTAATAGACTGGTATCTCCAAGGATATAATCCAAGGAGAATGGCTCTGCGTCTCCCCCCAACTCGCCGCTTCAAGAGCAATCATCTTTGGTCACCATTTATCCACGGTGTCAGTGTTCACGTTATGGCCCTTTCACATTGGTTCCAAAGTCAGCTTGGCATATCCCCGAAAAGTCTTCTGCACCCTGCTTCAACCTTGGACATGTTCGCCTACCGAGATTTTGCTCGACAATCCCTACCGTCGGAAACCACTTGGTCGTGCATCCTCATGTCTCCATCGATGGACCCCATTGTCTACGCTTCATCTTGCGAAGGGCGTCAGCCTTGCTCCCGGACTTCTGAGCATCAATCTTGACCACCATCTTCTGCTGCAGCCGTTCAAGAAACCGTGATCCGTATGTTACACTCCCATCTCCAACGTGTAAATGTATTACTTACCCATCACCAGGAAGCAGATGAGGTGAAAAGTCCGCCAAAGATGGGTCCGATACTTCCATCGGGGTCAGTGATATACAGACGTAAGCCGCGGTATACTCATACGAAGCCAGTCGAGCCAGTGGCTCCCCAGATAGCATATGCCTTCACACGGGTGTGAGGTTCCGGGAAGAGGATTGATATTGATGCTTGTGCACACGGTACAGTCAAGCTTGCACCGAGTCCTAATGGTCCATCAACTCTGTTCCACATTCTCAGGGAGAAGACGAACCTTGGAAAGCCCTTGCGACAACCAAGCCGATACAATCGGAAACCAGAGCACACGCAAGGGTAGAGACATTGAAGATGGTCAGGCCGACAAGAATGATGTGGTATAGGCTGAATAGATCCCCGGCACGTCCACCAACCATCAGAAAGCTACCGTACTGTAGGCGTCATCAGTACCCGAAGAAACATCTCGATCTTGGTTTGGCCGTACAGTGAGTGAGTCTGCGGTCAGGATCCATTGCAAAGATCCTTCATCGAAGTCCAGATCCTCTCGAATGGATGGTAGTGCGATGTTGACCATGCCGAGGTTAGCAATATCGATGGAGAAAATGCAACATCTGCAAGTAATGGTTAGCGTAGACACAAAAGTACGATCAGACGACCTCACATGATAAATAATTTGGCCCATCTGAGGACGCTGCTTAGCCTACTGCCTAGCATGTTGGGCAGAGAATGTCTTGACCAGGTCGTGGGTAATAACCACGCCATGCTATATAGTACACCTATTTTGCGTCGCAAGCGTGCTTCTGCCTGGCCCCAATTTTCTCGGTAACGAACCATGCTGTCGGTTGTTAGGTCCGTGCACACTGTTCCTGTCCTCGAGTATACTAGCCGTGAATAGTATAACAGCCAACCGCTACGCCGCGTCGATCTCTGCTTTCTGAAACAACATTCTTCTGAGCGGTATTAATTGAATGTTTGGTCATAAAGATGGATTAACACATTGCTATGTCCGTATGATTGAGCGAACAGATTAGAATCCGAACATATCTTTACCTTCCTCATATCCCTGCAAGCTTTTAGCAATAGAAGAGTCACACAGATTAAATGCAGACTCACCCAATCTCTCAAAGCGGGCATAGCAGCCTTCTGAATCATTGCAGGCGGCCCACACAAAAACACAACATTCTTCTTCCCACTTTCCTTCTCTGGCGCATATCCATATTTCTTGATCTTTTCCTCGTCCACATGTCCACTTTCTCCCTTCCAGCCGTCAGAAGGATGACTAAGAATATGTTGTATCTCAAACCTATCCTTGTGATCCTTAGCAAACTCATCAAGGTCCTCGTGCAACAAGATTGATTTCTCGTCTTTATTGGCATCGATGACTCTGATTTTCGTCTTGTCTTCATCAGTGGCAAGAATTCTGGCAATTAGTTGATACCCAGGCGTTATACCTGAACCTCCGAGAATGAGGGTGATGTTGCCGAATTCTTGCTCTTCGTTGAAAATTTTGAATTTGCCGTTGCCGAGGTATTCAATGTCGCCTGTGGGACCGCGGATCTCGACTTCTTCACCGGGCTCCATGCAGTCGAGGATGTTGGATAAAGCACCACCGGGTTGATCGTCGGTGGGAAAGTACGTTTTGACCACGAGCTCAAAGGTGCCGTCTTCCGTGTCTGCGCCAATTATGGGAGCGGTAGGGGTGTATGAGCGAACAAGCATCTTGTCTTGCATGTGGAAGCCGATCTGAAGGTGCTGACAAGTCCCGATACCGAGCTTCTTAGACTTGTCGCCGAGACCAAAGGTATAGCTACGTGTGTCTTCTGAGATCTCCTTTCTCTTGAGGAGCGTTACAGGATACCATCTGTTCGTGGAGTCAGTGGTGAAGACACTACAAGCATCGACGAGCGGAGCTTACTGTTGCATAGAAAGAACAAAGTTGGATTTCTCGTTTGAAGCTTCCGCCTTTGCCTTTGCGGCTTCTTCTGCTTCCTTCTTCATGTGTGCTTTTGCTTTGTCTGTGACTGTTCCAAGGATACATTCTAAGTCGCTTGTTAGCATCTGGCGTGAATACATTCTCTCCTCTAACTTACCAGCAAGCTTCTTGTAAGCATAACCATCATGAATCGACTCGAAGCTCTCAGATGTCTCTTGACTGAGTTTTCCAGCATGATTCGTAATGGTTGCTTTGCCGCCAGGATGCCACTCAAGAACTGATGTCGCATCGTACACATTGCCATCAACCACAATCCAGCAGTCATCTTCTGAGTTGTGTTTTTCGATCTCCTCTCTAGTGAATTGCTTCTGCGGTGTATCGGAGCTCTGCTTTGCACTGGCGATCTTCTCGTCGGCGCTGGGCTCTACCCATCCACCGGTCGCTGTGCCTGGCTCGACCGGATGGCGGAAGAGGACTTCGAGAGCACCATCTTTGCCTTCGGCGATCTCAGGCTTGACTTCGTACCAACCATTATTCATCATGCCCATTACATTCCAAGATCCGACCTGCAGAATATTGTCAGCGACTGATCGAGAAAGATGGAACGTAAAGACTCTACCTCAGGCTGAGTATTTTTGAAGACATTGAAGCAGCGCACGATGACGCTCGGGGATCTAAGCAGATGAGCAAGTTCAACATCAATGTACCAGTGAATCCACGTCCAGTATTTATGACCGTGTCTGACAGGTGCTTCAGGGAATTGTCTAATACAGTATAGCCACGTTGCACCATTGTCAAGACTGACTTCTACTCGCTGTACCTCATGACCACCGCCGTCATATGCATAGCCTGCGATGCGATAGGTGTGACCTTTTTTGACATCGGAGAGCTCGATGCGTTCGCCGTGGCCTGGCTTCGCGATGACCGAGTTTAGGTTCTGCTCATTACATGCTGTGTCAGGATGACGGAAGAGGGTCTCGGCGAACTCTCCATCTTTCTCAGTGACGAATGCAGGCTATTCGTGATTAATCAGTTGGACACTCCATCAATCAGGGCGAAAGCGCGTGTCTTACCAGTACTCTGTTATCCCAAATGTGATAGTGGCTGTCATTCTCCTTTTCGCTGAACCAGATCTTGCTCAACCACTTCACCTGTCTACCACCAACATATCCAGGGATAATGCAACGCAAAGGATATCCGTGATCTGGGGGCAATTTGACATCATTCATCTCGTAAGCCAGCAGAACGTCGTTGACAGGATCCATAGCATATTCGTAGGGTATGCAAGTCTCATAAGTACCCTCGGAAGGCTCATCGGCACCTGCGAAGTTGACCCATCTTCTTTTCCCAGAGCCATTAGTAGGATAATCAACACCAGCAGCTTTCAGGACGTCAGAAAGCAGAGCGCCTTTCCAAAACGCATTACTGATGGCTCCAGCACCCCAGTTGAATCCTTTCGAGCGTTTGACCATGTTGAGCTCTTTGCGTCTGTTACCGTCGCAAGCAAGAGCAACTGCTATGTTGACACTGTCGAATTTGGTTGCGATATCGTCCATGGTGAATGTGCATTTGCCGTTCTCGATATCCAGCTTGTGTGTCTCCCAAAGCAGATGTGGCACAGGTCCATGATTTCTCACGTAATGCAGACGGTTTGGAGTAATCAGTCCAGTCTCGAACAAATCAGCCAGTGGGTATTCGCAGTTGAGAGGATGTTTCCCAGTCAGACGAATCATGTTTGCGTTTCTCGGTATCCAGTTGTCGGGACTGGCACGATCAGCATCGTCGATGACATCTGAAGGCTTGTAGTCTGCCCATGGAGATCTCATCTTGCCGTCACTCTGCTTGATAGATTCCACGATTCTCTTCTCCTCTTGCAAACTCCTAAGAAGGGCAATCTCTTGAACACTGTACTTTTCGCGGAGCTTTTCGTACTCAGACTTGTGTTCAGCCTCTTTCTGCTTGTCGGTATCTTTCTGCTGAGAGTCGTCTTGTGTCTTATCGTCACTTGCCTTATTATCTTTTTGGTTGCTATCCTCTTTGGGCTGATCTTGGCCGCCACTTGACGCATAAGCATCGTTGTGTCTTTGACGGTGGTTTTGACTGTATTTCCATTCGTGCTCTTGTTCTTGTCTCTCTTCTTGCTCTTTCTTCTCTTTCTCCTCTGCCTCTTTTTCTTCTTTCTGCTTCTGACGATTTAAATTGGCAGGCCATGGTTGCTTGTTTTTGATGAATTCTTCGGATTCATTGAGGCGGTATCGCCAACCATTTGGATGTGCTTGTGGCTTCTCGAGGTAGGAATCCTATTGTAATTGTATCAGCATTAGCATATCCCTCCAGAGATTGGACCCACAAACTTCTTGCTTCTGCTTTGCTTCGCGAAAATTGATCAGCTTGTGGGATTTGATCTCCTGTTGAAGCTCGGCTGATTCCTCCGCGGCTTCCTTCAAAAAAGAGTCCTGACTGTCCTCGCTATCTGAATCATCTCCACTGTGCACGAGTCCTGGTACGCGGTCATGGCGATTTCTGAAGCCGATGTGATGTTTCGCTGTGCTCCAGTCTGGCTCATTCTCAATCTCCTCCTTGGTGGAACCAGGATGGCCCTTGACATATGTACGATACGGGATAGGAGGCATTGTAAAGTTTCGCAAGCGACGAACTGGAAAGCAAGCACAGAGGCACAGAGCTCGACTTTTGTAGAAACGGCGAGCTCTTCCTCGGAATCGGCAATGACAGTTTTGACACGGAATGCAAGAACTCAATCCCACCTTGATCAAGTTCTTGTAGGTCGATGTAGAGCCGCGGAGGAGCGGGGTATCCAAGCTGACGTCAATCACAGCCAGATTTGGTAGTTGACCGTTTGATGGAGAACCTTTCAAGGGTATAAGCATTCTTGGCGTGAACTCAATAGAGCCTCTGCTTTCCGGTTTCGCTCTGAGCGCAACTGAAGCTAGAGTACAGTATTTCAAATATTGCAGAACATCTATCCATGGTGAGAGAGGTGGTGTCTAGAGCGAACAACTCAAGTCGTGAAAGTCATTATATTTGGACCAAAGTCCATTCACTTACTGACTCAAAGTCAACAAGTACTCCTCACTCAGAAAACGCAAGTTTGGCCTGAGCTTAACCCTCGCAGATACGGCCTTTCCTTCCATCAGAGCACATATTTGAACAAAGGAGAGCTGTCTCCCATGTCAAACAACTCTTCATCTGTATACTTCGTCTTCGCCTCCTCTGCAATCTTAGCCTTTTTCTTATTAGCAACAACATAGCTCCACTCAAGCAACAGAGCCACAATCAACCCTGTAGCGCCGAATGCCAAACTCAATCCAAATCCTGTGTAATACTTCGGCTTCTCCCTTTCCAAATACATGAAACTGCCGACGATGCCACCGATGTTACCAACACCGTTGTTGAGAGCAATACCGATAGCACGTCGAGAGGAAGGAGCAAGATTATTAGCGTTCCAGGAGGCGGCGGCTGCTTGGATGGGGTAGATGCCGATGACGGCTAGGACGACAGCGAAGTAGGCGACACCTTTCTTCTCCGCGAGAGCACCGTTGAGAGATATGATTACTGAGTAAGCGACTACGACGATGGCCATTGGTATGACGACAAACGGCATGCGACGGTAGAAGCGATCCGACACCTTTGCAAAACAGACAGCTGAGATGGCGGCAGCAACGTATGGCGGTGCAGAGAGAAGCTGTGCAACAGTGGTAGTGAAGCCCATTGATTTCGTGATGGTCGGTAGAGTGAATTTGATACCTGGAAAAAGTCGTCAGCATCAAATCTGCCCACGAACGCTCACAGAACCTGCTTACCATAGGATAGGGCAGACTGGCAGAAAAGGAAGTATGCCTGTGTGTAGATACGGGGGTTCTTGAGTACCATCTTCAGGTCCCTCGCCTTGATGCTGGTCTCTGCCTGGAAGGCGCCGCCTTGTTTGATAAACATAGAAAGTTCAAGATATTGAATCTCGTTCGGACGAAGCCAGCGAGACGAGAGTTCAGGCGTGTCGATGAGAAGGAAGAAGCATCCTACACCGACAAAGACTGTGACGATGCCCTCAAGAATAAATATCCAGCGCCATCCTTCATATCCTGCGTGATGTTAGCGAAATGTAGAATTCTGCTTTCCCGGACTGATATCTACCCCCTACGCCATCCATTTGAGCGATGCCGGCAGCGAGAAGACCAGAAAAAGCGCCAGATAGCGCACTCATACAGTAGAAGTATGAGATACGTGTGGCGAGATTCTTTGGCATATACCAGTAACTGCAGAGGTAGATGGCGGCAGGAAAGAAGCCAGCCCTGTGTGAAAGGATTAGCTAGGCTCCCCTGTACGTGTATCAAGACATGTATCTCTTACTCAAAGATGCCCAACAAGATTCTGACAATCATAAGTCCAGCGAAGTTCTTGACTAGACCAGTGCATGCCATGATAGTGCCCCAGGATGTGACGAGGATACCCAGATAAGTAGAGGGACGCTTGAACTTCTTGAGCAAGATGTTGCTTGGGACTTCGCAAAGGACGTATGGTATGAAGACTGAAAGCACTATCAGGGGCTGAACCATGGAGTGTCAGAAGCTCGTATAAGGTGCCACTCACAGATCGACAGCACAATGTTGTACTGAACATCAGTCATGCCCAGATCCTCAATCATACCCTCAATCTTCGCGTTACCAATGTTTGCACGGTCAATATGAGCCATCAGGTAGAGTACAGAGAGCATTGGTACAAGACGAAGGTCGACCTGGCACATGGCTCAGTAATCACAATCGACATCATGGAATATCTTGAACGACTCACCTTGCGGAACGTCTTCTTACGCTGCTCTTCCGAGTAGTTTGTGAAGAACTCGGCATCTTCGGGGTCAAGGCCTAGCACTCGGAAGGACTCAATCTCAGTGATAATCGGAGCGTCTTCGATGTGCATCGCCTCATCGTCCAGCTTCTTCTCCAGAGAGTGTCTCGCAGCCATAATGGGTAAAGAAGTACAGGTGCTTCCGCTCAACTGATGTGAGGTTTCGAGCAATGAAGCATACGAAAACCATCGAGATCGTGGTCCAATATATGTCGGAAAATCACCCCGGATAAGCGAATGCTTGATTGGGAGATTTTGCGGAGGTGCGGGGTCAGAGACATGGGGTGAGCCCTGCCCCACCGCATATCAGCACTAACTCACAGCGAATGCGCGGGGTTGGCCAAGATTGTGGTCTTGATAGATATGGTCATCTGCTCGAGTACGTGCCGGCAAAGGCACGGAGAAATGACGGATAAGTGGCAATGACGATCGATACCCGTTCCTCGTCGGACGACCCAAACTTACGGCCAGTTGAGATGAGCTGTATTGTTCTGTGCTTTTCGGTTGAACTAGTTCAATACGTGACTACCTGTAATCAAAGGCCATTCTTCATCCAATATGATTGTGGAAGAAGTCAACAAGATCAAAGAAGCTACGCTTATAACTCCTTTCAAACTTTCCGCTCGTACGATTGACGGTCTGCAATCCATACTGATTCTCAAACGACCCAAACTCATTGTTATCGATGAAACTCCAAGCCAGCGCTCCAATGACCTTGACGCCATCAAGATATATAGCTTTGAGAGTCTCTGTCAAGAAAGCTTGAAAGTAGAGTGTTCTCTCCAGATCATAGCGTTGCTCGGGGAGGGTCTTCTCCGCATCTTTGAAAGGGTTGAAGCCGAATTCGGTGATCATGATGCCACCAATAGGATGGAAAGTCTTCCAGACGTAGCCAAGTTGTTGGCGAACGTATTGAGGAGCAATGTAGGCGTAATCGTTTGACTTTTGACCGAACTGCCAGCCATTCTCCTGAATGCCATTTTGTGTAACATTGACACAGTAAGGGAAAAGACTGTGGCTGCTGTTGTGGATGCAACTTTCCAGACCGTTAGAAGGTGCAGAAACGAGCTGCGACACATAGGGATCAAAGGCCCAAAAGTCAATGGATCCGTTAATTGCCTTTAGCTGATCGGAAGTCAAAGCCGTGAGGTTTACGGCTGTGTTGAGAACGCTTGAGGGATATTGCTTGCCAAGGAACAGCGGATTGCCCCAGACACCGAGAATGAATTCTTGATATCTCAATGCCGCAGCGACATCCTCGCTGTTAGTAAGATCGCGCGGCACTGCCAGGTTGTTGGCAAACTTGACAGTGATTTTACCCGTGCCCTTCAGAGTTTGCTTGTACCATTTATAGATAGCCGAGTGAATTAGAAGGATGTTCGTGTTGGCTTCATAAGTGTCGTACTGCAGATTGATACCAGTATTAATTTCGTTGAAGGTGACCCAGATGGGCACTCTGTCAGCGTATCTCGTCATGACCTGCTTAGCATAGTACATGTAGTCGTCCATTGATGATGTGGCATTATCGTAGTCCACTGATGGCGGCGTGTCTGCATGAACAAGGGTAACGATTGGTTTGATACCATATTTCAGGCAGGAATTGATGACGTCGTCATAATGATCCAAGCCTTGTTGATTGACCGGAGTATTCGCATTGCCAAACGGTACAATACGACTCCAAGAGATTGAGAAAGAGTAATAGGGCACGCCCATCGCAGCTAGACGTGCAATGTCCTGCTTGTACAGATAGTAATTCATGTCTGCGACGACAGAGTCATTGGTGTGACTCAATGCAGGAATTTTCAGGTTCCCAAATATATCCAGACCACCAGGACCACGACCTTCTTGTTGCAAGGCACCCTCAATCTGCCACGCACTGCCGGCGACACCCCAGATGAAGTCGTTGCCAAACTTCATGGAAGCAGCGCTCGTCTCAAACGGAAGAGCAGGAGGGAAGACAAGTTCGGCGGATGCAACAGGAGTCGGCAACATGGTGGTGGTGAAGGGCACAGTGTCGGAGTAGGCGTAGTTTGCCCACAGAGCGGCATATGCACTCTGGCCATACTTTCCATCAGAAGTCGCCGAAGGATTCAACGAGTATGTCGTGTAGACAATTCCAGAGGGCAGCAAGCTCTTGGCTTTTGAATACGGAGGAGCGAAAGCGCTCTTGTACTGGACAGGCGAGCGGACCGGTGTAGCATATCTGTTGCTGGTGACTTGAGTGTAGCTGAAAGGTCCTGCATTTGCGCCAGTGGTTGTCGGCACGATCTCGTAATCGATCAGTACTCTAGCAACGGGGCTTTTGTTGGAAATTGCACGTACCGATGTCTTCGACTCGTGATTGGGAAGTGCTGCGATTGGATCAGTCAAGACTGAGACTACCGCAGCCCACTTGGTGAATGTCGTCAGATGCATTGCTCTCTCAATTAGGATTGCCAGATGTTCTTGGGCGCGGATGTGGTAGCGGAGCAGCTTATTATACACAACTCAGATCTTCGCTCGGCAAATCGACCTTCTCAACTGGCTTCTGGTACTTCCCGTATCCCGTATCCCATATCGACCGTAGAGTCTTTTGTGGAGAAGAAGCGGGGAGCGATGACAAGCACAATGCGCACTCTTTACCATGCCCTAAGGGCCGTGTGCCGAACCCTAACAGAGAGCGGCAATTTTATTTGGTGGGGATGCCCTCGGCCTTGGGGTATACTGTACAGTCTTTTGTGGTGAAGAAGCGGGGAGCAATGACAAGCACAATGCGCGCTCTTTACCATGCCCTAAGGGCCGTGTGCCGAACCCTAAAAGAGAGCGGCAAATTTATCTGGTGGGGACGCACTCGGCCTTGGGGTATAGGCCCGACTGTGCAACCCGGACCTGACCTACCTCTTTCTTATATCGTGAGGAACACTCGTCCTCCAGGGTTGGTCCTAACCCGAGAAAGCATGGAACTTCTTCCAAGGGCAAGCGACGCTCGATCGTGAGCGCGCAAGACACGTATCGGCGTGGGAGATGCTGTCATCGACAGTCGTCACGCTGAAGCGCGTTGGGTGTTTTGCAGTCAGATGCGGTCGGATCTTGCTTGCTGGGGACTAGAGGCTCCTAAGAGTGGTACATAGCGCTCCTTCTCAGCGATGTCTTGCATCAGGCTCAGCTTATCCATTGTTCGTCTGGAAAGGTCGTGCTGAGAAAGTGGAAAGGTGCGAAGAATGACGTTTGGTCGCGTCGGCCGAAAATGAATGCCAAGGCGTACTTTGCTTCTTTCCGCCCAGCCCGCTCCGCTGCTGACATTTCGTCGACATCATCAGCTCAACAATATCATCATGTTCAAGCGGCCTTGCATGAACATCTTCTCTTGGCCAAGGGCTTAGGACGCACGCGGGTAGATCTGTCGCTACGTCAAGTCATCAAGATTGCGCAATCAGCAGCTGTCTGATCAAGACCGACTTGGCCGCCGAAGAAACAGAGTCAAGCTTCGCCAACTGCCTCGCCAATGCTGGCGGTGCTAAACACTGCTGCCTTCCATACCTGTCCGCAACGTCGGACAATGGAGACGGCCCTTTTCCCAGACCGGTCTATCAATCATGCTTTCTCGACACCTCAACGTTGCTTCCTCCAGCCTTCTTGACTTCGTCCTATCGCTCATCTTCATTAATGCGCTCCTTGGCAATAACCATGTGCACCTTGACATGCTCTGCACTACCCGTTTCTTATCTCTTGACTTCTTGTCCTCAACTCTTTAGACGTTTGGCGCTTGCACATCGCGATTCTCGGACCGGCGTCATCACGGTGCGTTGGAAAGTACATTGACGAGATTGAGACATGTGAGTCCGATAAATATAAGAGGTAGGTCGAGGCATGTTGCACGACAGCTCAGTAACCTCCATCCGCCCTCTCTCGTCATCATGTTCTCGCTTCTTTTGGCTTGCGCCGCCATTCCCCTTGCTCTTGCAGCACCGGCTAAGACTCCCAACATCACCTTGGCCAACGACTCATTCGACTATGTCATTGTCGGAGGTGGCTTGACTGGCTTGACCGTCGCCAGTCGTCTGTCAGAGAACCCTTCAATCAAGGTTCTTGTGATCGAAGGTGGACAGGACAACCACAATGATCCTCGCGTGTACGATGTCCGCACCTATGGTCAAGCATTCGAGTCTGATCTCGACTATAACATGACATCGACTCCCATCTCGTGGAGAAACGGTACCAAGCTTCCTATGGCTGCTGGCAAGACGCTTGGTGGCTCTGGAAGCATCAATGGTGCTAGTTGGACCAAAGGACCCAAGACTCAGTATGACCTTCTTCCCGTCCTCATCGGGGATGAGTCATGGGGCTGGGACGGCTTGAACCAGTACATGCTCGGTGCCGAACACTTCTATGCACCTTCCAAAGAGCTCAAGTCGAAGGGAGCCGATTACGACGGACATAAACATGGCTTCAGTGGTCCCGTCCAGGTATCTTTCGCCCAAGGCATGTTCGGGAGTATTCAGCAACCAGCTCTCAATGCTTCTCAGCAGTTATGGGGTCTCGATATTATCGATGATGCGGCCTCTGGTATTGTCAACGGAGCAACGACCATTCCTAATATGGTGCAGCCTGATGTTAGCCAGAACAGATCTTCACCATACACCGCGTACATACTCGGCGAGCCGAAACAACGCGACAATCTCGTCATCTTGACTGGCCACCGCGTTGTCGAGATCAGCTGGAGAAACACTTGTGCCGAAGAAGATCCCGACTGTGTGCTCACCGCTGATGGTGTATACTACCAAACCTCGCGCAACAGCGAAAGACTCTTCGTCAAGGCGATCCGCGAAGTCCTACTTGCGGCCGGTGCAATGCAAAGCCCCCAACTTCTCGAACTATCTGGTGTTGGCGATCCCGCCATCTTGAAGAAGGCCAGGGTACCAGTGAAGAAGACCCTCATGGGCGTTGGCAAGAACCTACAAGAGCAGACCAAGAATACAATCACCTACACACCAAAGTCCGACGACCTCGAGGGTTCTGGCCCGTCCTCGGCGATTGCCTTCCCGAACGTGCATCAACTTGTGGGCAACTCTTCCTCCGATGTCTACGCCGAAACAGTCGCAGGTCTCGCCTCGTACGCAGCTGAACTCGAAGCAAAAGGCCTTGTTGCCAATGGCACTGCCACACACGAAATCTTGAGATACCAAGTCGCGAACTTGTTCAATCAGAGCGAAGCAGCAGCTGAAATCTTCTTCACTCTTGCCACAGCTACAGATACTAGTGCTGCAACAGTAGGCGCCGATCTCTGGAACCTGATTGTGCTCGCAAGAGGTACTATTCACATTTCGAGCAACAACTCTTTCGATTTACCTACAGTTGAACCATCATATTTTGGTCATCCTTTAGATTTGCAGTTGCAGACTCTGGCGACTAAGCAAGCGCATGAAGTTTACAGCACTGCTCCTTTGGTTGATATGGTTACGGAGTGTGTTCTTCCGGCTTCTATTCCTGCCGACTATGCAGGATGGGAGACGTTCGTCAAGAATACTTTTACTTCTGTTTGGCATCCTATTGCGACGTTGAGTATGATGAAAGAAGAGATGGGCGGTGTGGTCGACAACAAGCTGAAGGTGTATGGGATTAGCAATGTCAGGGTTGTGGATGCGAGTGTTTTGCCTGTGCAGTTGTCTGCGCATTTGAGTTCGAGTCTGTACGGGATCGCGGAGAAGGCTGCTGTTATGATCAGAGAAGACCAGAAGTAGATGAATGATGTTGACGACGCTTTGATGATGAATGATGGTACACATGGTTGATGTTATAGACTAGAGTAGATCAATAGAGCAGAAATGCATGGTGTACACACCTTACAGAATCGCGACACCGTTAGGAGGACTGGCGACGCCTCCGGGTACGTGGATGGGCATGCTGCTGAAGAAGAAGGAGTACTTGTTCTTCTCCTTGCACTCTTTGGCCAATCTGTGCAGGTCAAAGATCTCTCCGATCGGCAGACCCCAGCCGGCTAGCAGCCACTCATGCAAGAGGTAGTCGGTGTTTTGACAAGGCCAGGCCTCGAAGCTGGGCTGATCGCCCGCCACAGCAGCAAATCCCTTCTCCCACATCCAACGCACCGTAGCCTCTGAAGATTCGACACCGATGGCAGGAGGAGGATACGTCTCCGAGAGCGTCGTGCGTGCTTTCTCGTCCAAAGCCTCATAAGCATTCGTCCATCCCGTACGAATGAACAAGATATCTCCCTCCCTAAACTCCACACTCTGACTCTTTGCAATCTGCTCCAACACATCAACAGTGATGGGAGTAGTCTGAAAACAAGCCTCTACACTCCAATCCCCCTTCTCCTCTGCCCAGCTCTTGTAGTCCAACAACACACCTCTTCCCACAACACCGCCGTTCTCCACCCACACGTGAATGCCGTTCTTCTGTGAACCCAAAACGTCCTCATTCGTGCAGCCATTATAATATCTCTTTTCCTTTTGATAGCCATAATGTCTGAACCCATCCCACTGACTCGAACTCTGCGTGTTGAAAGTCACCGTATCGTCATTGACACTTCTGGGTGCTTTGTTATTGATACTGTGACCGAAAGCTACTCTGTTGAAACACGGCGGTGACATTTTATCCAGCGGCCAGTCGACAGAGATGCGAATGCCATGTTCAATCTCCTTTGCAGCGGTAAGGGTGTTGGTGGGTGTGAGTAGGTTCAAGGCGCCGAGTTGGTCGGAAGTGCCGTAGAGACCCCATGCGTTCCCATGAGGGCCATTCTTGTCCAGGGGAAGGGAGGAGAAGGGTGGGCGTGCTTGTGACATATCTTGGGTGGTGGTGGGCTGACGCGTTTGACTGTCCGAGGAGCTGCGGCTGGGCGTGCCTTTTTGTTGATGGTGACGTGGGCGGGGAAGCTGCATTTCCGCTTTGCTTTGCCCGCTTTTCCGAGTGACGGCTTGTTTTTCCGGTGGTGCAAAGTCGACGTCGTAAGGGGGGGCACCCTGGTTGAGAGTTCATCATGGTATACAGCGACGACGGTACCCTTTTGGCAGACAAGTATTACATGGATGATCGACCAGAAACTTGATCATGGTTTTGAGTTTAATTAGATATTATTCAGCCCAAGTCTGGAGCAACTAGACGATGGTACGAGTGTTTTGCAATGTGTAGTGTTCATTTGGAAAGTCTACCTGGACACTTTCTAAAACAACAAGAGAATCGGTTCATTATGTTAAGGAAATCATCTAAAGAAAGGAACCATCCCACTTTGGTATTCGACCTCCTCACATTGTCTGTTGCTCCTCGTATGAAATGTGTGATCTTTCATTAAAGTAGGTATCCATGGCTGGATGAACATTCGATCCTCCAACAGCCGCATGCACAGCACTCCGGTAAGCCACGACATTCTAGACCAACACCCATCATACCCAAGTTCCCACAACATCTCGATCACAGTGGTTAAGATCTCGGGTCTGACCAACTACACCCGACTCATCGTTGAGATAGACTACCAGCTCCACGGCGCAGGGACTCTGGAGGCTTGCAAGCCACAAAAGCCAAATTCGCAATCGTTGGGGGTCCGATATTACTCGGGCGCAAAACACGACGCGGCTCTGTAAACATTCTTTGCGCCTTTCTCGAATTAAGAGTGTGAAGGGGGCTTGACCAAGTTTACTTTGACAACGCTCGAGGTTTTTCTGTCTGCAGTATCGGTATTGCGACGGACGAGTCTGGACGTGTCTGTCGCTTCATAGCGCTCAATTCGATTGCTCCGTCTCACTTGGGATGCTACAACATGAGCGTCATCCCCAACCCAACTCTCACCACACAACATGGCAGCAAGCCACCTCCATCAGTCCTCATCGACTTGTGAGACGGTCCCCTGACCGGAAAGCCTTTCCAGGGACTGCCGGAAATACGTCATGCCAGATCGTCACGATAAGGTTGAGAGCCCCGATGTCCCACAACGATCCGGGAACGGGTCTCGCTCTGTTCCGACCACCAAAATCGCATCCTTTGTCACCAAAACCTCATCGATCCGCACGGCTTTTGTTTCCACGTTCGAATTTTCCTTCCACCTTTGTTCTCCTCATCGCGTGGGCCTCCGCGGCTAACTAGTGATTTAATAGGTCAAGAATGATGTTTTCGTGGTTGATGATATCATCACTTTTCTCCATCATAGGCTGAAAACATGTGTTCCTTCAACAACTCCCTTTGTATATAGGTAGGTCGTAAACGTATTCCTGCATTCTTAACACCCCTTGCTATTTCACAATCCGCCACACCAGGCTTCACCTGGCAACCCATCAACCAAAGATGGCTCTCTTCAAGGATACAACCTTTGGCTTTCTTATGCGCAACGTTTCCGGTGGAAGACTATTCAGATATGGCGACTGGGACAACGACGAACTTCGTGAGAAGTGGATGAGCAGTGGAGAGATCAAGGAAGAAGAGTCTTCCGACGACGAGGAGAAGAATGGATCGAAGAGCAAATACAAGCTCATCGACTTCGTAGAGGGCGACGAAGATGTACGTTGCACTACCACACCCTAACCATTCACATGAACTGATTCTTCGCAGAACCCGCAGAACTGGTCCACCTTCAAGAAGTGCTTCGTCACTTTTAACATCTGCTTCCTCACTCTGTCCGTCTACGTTGGATCTGCCATTTACACTTCTGGTCTGCCCTTCATGACCCAAGAATTTGGCGTTTCGACAGAGGTCATTACTATTGGTCTTACCCTCTATGTTCTCGGCTACGGTATCGGTCCCATGATCTTCGCTCCCCTCTCAGAAATCCCCCAGATTGGTAGAAACCCCATCTACATCAGCACTCTGGTCGTCTTTGTCTTTTTCAACTTCGGTGTCGTATATGCAAAGAACATCGGTATGCTTCTGGCTTTCCGTTTCCTTACTGGTTTCTTCGGATCTCCCGTTCTGGCCACTGGAGGTGCTTCGTTGGCAGATATCTACCCTCCCGCCAAGCGCGCATACGCTCTGGCCATCTTCGGTATCGCCAACATCATGGGTCCATCGCTTGGTCCCGTCATGGGTAACTGGGCAGCTCAGTTCAAGGGCTGGACTTGGCCCATCTGGATCATCATCTGGATCTCTGGCCCTTGCCTCGTCTTCTTGATCTTCTTCTTCCCTGAGACCAGTGCCAACAACATTCTTTACCGCCGTACTGCTCGTCTGCGTAAGTGGCAGACCGAGAACGGTTACCTGGATGACAAGCCCTACGACAAGATCAAGTGCCAGCCTGAGATTGAAGGCGAGAAGATGAGCGCTGCCGATATGGCCAAGATGACTCTTGTCAAGCCTTTCTCCCTCACCCTTAAGGAGCCTATCGTCTTTGCACTGAACCTTTACATTGCTCTGATTTATGCCGTGCTTTACTGCTGGCTGGAGTCGATCCCCATCGCCTTTGAACAGGTATACGGATTCAGTCTCGGTATTACCGGTCTGTTCTACCTCGGTATCTGTGTCGGTGGTCTCATCTGTATACCTCCTTACTTCTACTACAACTACTACTACGTTGAGCCTCGCTTCTCGGAAGATGGCACTCTTCGTCCTGAGATCAGACTGGAGCCTGCACTGGTTACATGCTTCGCTCTTCCCATCTGTCTGTTCATGTTCGGTTGGACCGCCCGCGCCGATGTGCACTGGATCGTCCCTCTCATCGGTACCTCGTTCTTCACCATCGGAGCCTTCGGTGCCTTCTCTGGTGTCCTCAACTACCTCGGTGATGCATACCCTGCATCTTTCGCTTCCATCTCTGCTGGTAACGATTTCTTCCGTTCGTGTTTCGGAGCTTGTTTCCCTCTGTTCGCCCGCCAGATGTTCAACACCTTGGGCTTGAACTGGGGTAACTCTCTTCTCGGCTTCTTGACCATCGTCTTCATCCCCATTATCTACGCCTTGTGGTGGAAGGGAGACAGACTCCGCGCTCGCAGCGCAAACGCCTCCCAAGAATACATCAAGGGAAACAAGAAGGACGACAAGAAGGATGGCGATAAGAGCGACGATGAGAAGACCCAAGTCGGCAGCGATGAAGACAAGGAGAAGGACAAGGACGAGCAGTAAAACAATAAGGCGCTACGACTAGGAACGACGACTGTATAGACTAATATGTAATAAAATCTAATGATGAACGAATTGTACTTTTATGCAAAGACACAACGAGTTTCATGATACGGCAACTCGTTGCGAGGAACCAATCCTTCCCCACATTCGATGAGAACGATTCCCAGCCGTCTGCCCTGAATCGGGTGATGGGTGACAGACTTGTTTCGTCGAGGTTTACCCACCACATCGTGCCTGCAAAGTAGTATATCGCGACCGGTCAGATCAGTGCGTAGCAATGAAGGGCGAGATCTTCGAGAGGCAGTAGAATGGTGCATCCAAAAATCGCTCGATTAAAGGCATCGAAATGAACCCTCCTGTGAAGAATAGCCGTTTTGCGTCGATCCACGTCATAGGGACGTGAAAGTTTATCATGATGGGAGGCCTGGCCACAGGTAAAGTTTGTTCTTCGCTATCTCGTCGACCCTTGGACATGTAACCTCCGTCTATACAATGCACGCAGAGCCATGTGATTCAAACGCCGGATTCTAGGAGAGACGCTATCACCTTATTTCAAAGACGCCGTCACGCTTGACCGCGGGCGCACAAGAGGTCGTCATGTCGACGCAAAGCACGACGGAATCGGTGCAGGAATGGCTGCGACTGCGAGCGCTGTCAAGGTGCGACGATGTAAAGTGAAGGCGCCGACCGACTTGTAGCTGACTGGCTAGATATCTCGCGCCAAACAACATCACCGCCGACGTCGTCAATGCGGAAAGAGGTGAACCACTCGCACCTTCCCTAGCCGCCAGCCCGCTCTTGACAGCCATCACTCAAAATGGCGCTCTACGGATGAATTGCGACCGCGCTTTTGTTTCGCTCATCGATTCGTCGACTCAGTACATCCTCGCCGAAGCCACCAGAACTATCTCGCTTCGTGACAGCAGTAACTTTGCCAATCCCCAAGACGCCCTCTTTCTCGGGGTACAGACATTGGACAAGGAGTACGGCATCTGCCCACAATCTGTCGCCATCTTCACCGATCCTACCGGTCGCACGGAGGTTGACGGCCACGGAGTCGTCGCGAATAAGACACGCTATGTCATCCGTGACTTGCGGACGCTCGACCAGTACAAGGACTGCCCTTATGTCGTCGGCTTCCCTCATATGGTCTCCTACGCTGAGGTGCCAGTCAAGAGCGCGTCGGGCCACATGCTTGGAACATACTGCGTCATGGACAACAGGATCAGAGACGACTTCTTCAGCGACACCACTATCGACATCTTGAACGACATTGCGGCTTGTATCACCGAGCATCTGGAGCTGCATGCCGTCAAGCAGGACTCTGGACGAGGTCTGCAGATGATGAGGGGTCTTTCGCAGTTCATTGAGAGCAGGAGATCGGCCAAGGAGCCGTCAAAATCAAGGCAGGCTTCTGTCGTCAGTCACAACGGCTCCCTCGACTACTTTGACCATGTCACTCCTGCCGACTCGACCTCGGTGTCTAGCTCGCCTCTGTCGGAAGGAGGAAGCTTGGACGATAGTTTAATGCACAATACAACTCCACTGACTTCTCCCGACGACCACTTGGCTCTATCCGGTCCAGAACCTCTCAGCTCACCGTCCGGCCTCCCTAATACGTCGCTACCACCCACCTCGCCCGCAGTCTCATCGATCAAGGACGTTTACTCCAGAGCTGCACATCTCATTCGTGCTGCGATTGATGTCGAGGGTCTGGTCTTTCTTGGTGGCTCTACTCAGACCTCTATGCATGACCTCACACTGTCTCAGACAGCGTCCAATCACAAGAGTCATCAGCCAGCGCCATCTTGCGAAGTTCTCGGTAGCTCCATCATTCCCGGAGTCTCCAAACTCGGCTCTCCTGGAGAAAACTTAACATTACACGACTCTTCTCTCAGATATCTGATCCGTAAATTTCCTCGAGGCTGCGTCTTCGTTGCTGACACCAATTATTGTCCCAACTCTAGCAAAGAGGAGGTCTTCATCGCTCAAACTTACTCACAACATACCTCTTCAACTGCCGTCAAGGTACCTAAAGAGCTGCAAGCTCTCATCCGCAAAGCTCGTTCCCTGGTCTTTCTGCCACTTTGGGACTCGACACAGGAGAAATTCATTGTCGGTATGCTCGGATGGACAAGTGACCCCACTCGCGTGCTTGCCGAACAAGACATGACCTGCCTGTCAGCCTTTGGCAACACATTCATGACCGAAATCGCCAGAACAGAGATGACTCAACTTGCCCGCGCCAAGTCAGACTTCCTATCCTCCATCTCGCATGAGCTCAGATCACCACTTCACGGTATACATGCCGCTGTTGATCTACTCCTAGATCCTCAGAACGAGTCCAAGACTGAGTTAGTTGAGATGATTCAGAGTTGTTCCTCCACCTTGCTTGACACATTGAATCACGTCTTGGACTTCTCAAGGGTCAACAAACTTACCGACGTCGACGCTGAATCGGATGCCCTTACCTGTGCAGAAAAGACCGAAGCCAGTCAAAATGTCTTCGGTGATATGAGCGAAGAGTATCTTTGTGGCCTCGTGCAAGACGTAGTAGAGGGAGTACACTTCGGCCAAGCCTCACGAAAAGCTGCATATAACAAGATGGTGAGTGCGGATCTGAACAATCCCACAGGCAACGACTCATCATTGGATACAATCATCGACGGCATCCGCGACACAATGCCACAGACTTCAGATGACGCCGTCGCTGTGTACCTTTACATGGAGAGTCATGCAGAGTGGTGCATGATGCTTCGTGCGGGCGCTTGGAAGCGTCTAGTCATGAATCTGTTCGCCAATGCGCTCAAGTATACCAATGAAGGATTTATTGAAGTCACGTTGAAGATGGTCACATATCCCGATAGACCCAATAAACGGACTGCGCATCTTATGGTCAGCGATACCGGTATTGGTATGAGCCCTGAGTTCCTGAGACAGGCGTTTGAACCATTTGTCCAGGAAAACCCCATCGCCGACGGCACCGGACTCGGGCTTAGCATCGTGAAGAAAATTGTTGACGACCTCCATGGAACTATCGAACTGCAGAGTACACAAGGCGTGGGCACTCGCTTTGACGTCTTTGTACCAATTTCTGACTTTGACGAGTCCAAAAAGTTGACCCACCCCCCTGGAGGAGGGGTGCTTGATCCTAAAGCTGCGCTCGGAGGGCACACCGTGTGCCTGTTGTCGAATCTCTTGCCGATCAACGAGCTGAGCACTTCGACCGCTTCAGTCGACTTGCAAACGCGCCGTATCACAACGATGCACGTATACGTGCGCTCCATTTCGGAAGGATGGTTTGGCATGAAGACGACGGTCTCTGGCTCACTGGAAGATGTTGATGCAGATATCATCGTCGCCGAAGAATCGCAAATAATGAGTCTCATGTCGACGAACCCAGAACTTTCGCAGACACTCAACAAACGCCGAATCGTCCTCGTGGGATCGCACTCACACCCGACTGGCAGTGCTTACCAAATCCCTAATTCTGTGCGTCTGGCCTACCCGCTTGGTCCGAAAGCGCTGGTGCGTGCTTTAACAGCTAGCTTGAGCCAGACTTTCGAGACACAATTCCCGCTAGTCAAGCATCTCAAGCATACCATTCCGCTAGGATCTCCACCACCTTCACAGTATGTGAAAGCGGCAAGCAACGGATTGCAGACTTCCACAAAGATAGCCAAGAAGGTACTCAAGAGCGAGGAAGGTATTGGCGAGGTAGATGTCGCAGATGGACAAGCCCAACAGCACTTCCTCCTCGTTGATGACAACGCGATCAACCTGCGCTTGCTGTCAACTTTTATGAAGAAGCTAGGCTATACTTCGGAGACCGCCATCAATGGACTGGAAGCTTATGAAAAGTTCAAGGCTAATCCTAGATTCACCACTATCTTGATGGATATCAGTATGCCTATTATGAACGGGTTCGAGTCAAGTCGCGCAATCAGGGATCATGAGGCTTTGCAGCCGAACATGAAAGCTGCCAGGATCATCGCATTGACTGGCTTGGGCTCTGAGGCTTCGAAACAAGAAGCCAAGATGAGTGGGATTGATGAGTTTTACACGAAGCCTGTCAAGTTTGATGCGCTCAAGGCGCTCTTGCAAAGATGAACACATTCTGAAGTATCGGGAATCACAATATATCATTCATGGATTAGCTAAGAGCATTGCTCTGCACTAAGCTTACTCCACTACCGACAAAGTGGTCTCTTCGACCCGAAATTCCAACATCCTCTTGTCCCACGGAAAATCTCTAAGATACGACCCAACGCCCCAATGATCGACCAACGCGTCATCCTTGGTCGCGTATGCCCATCTGCATGCTTTCAACATCTCCAGATTCAACCCGATTTGATATTCATGGCCAGCCTCCAAACCATCTACCCCAGTGGCGCGCGTAGATCTACGGATGTTTCTCTCTCTGCCTTGATCGTCAAGTTCGCGACCTCTTTGGACGATAGACTTTGGCTGCGGCTGAACATTTGCAGCTCTTCCGAAAGCGTCCTCCATTGTCACGGGTAATTCAGGTTCAAGAGTGATGAAGTAAGCTGCATCTGACGATCCTCGTATGCGTCTTATCGCACCTCTTTGTATCTGTATACGGGTCGTTGGGACTGCAAGACCGGTGGTAGTATCGGTGATTGTGATACCGTGGTTGGAAAGCGCCAGATGAAGATGAAGAGGCGTGTTCCAGGTGAAGAATGTGATAGGAGCACGTGCGTGCGATGTCAGCTTCATTGTAATTGTTGGAGGAGAAGGCTGGCTGAAGCTGTGGGATGAGGGGGTGATGGAGAGCTCGATGTCTATAAGTGCAGAGGGGGTGGTTGATTGCGCCATCGATTCTTGCATCGTATTTGGATCACTCGAAAGCGCCTAGACGAGTCTTTCTCGCAGAATGCGTAGACATTGTGGACGCAGATGTCGGGAAAAGCGAGGAACTCGAGGGGTAGGCAGTCAACACGTAGATAGCCCTCGGTACAATACACTCCTCCGGGAGGAAGAGTGGAGCGGCCAAAAGCTTACGACAACGACAGGTCACACAAGTCATGACCACAATGATGACACCTCTCTCTAGAACCGAAACATCTGCCAGATCAAGACATTGAATGACGATTTGTTTTTCCCTCGATGACGGACCAAATATACCGACCAAGTGAAATTTCACCACATCAAAATTCTGGATACGTGGATTTGGTAAAAGCCTGCGATTTGCGGAAAATACGAGCAATCCTTTGTCCTTTTGCCAAGTATAGCGACCAAAAGCCATCACTGACCCGTGATAATATCCCACCCTTCTTTAGAAATCCTGCCGAGATGTGTCCGAGTCGAGGATCGTTTTATATATGTATATGTGCTTGCTGAGAATTAGCAAATTGTCTCAATTGATGACGTTGATGTTTTGTATATAAGGGATGTTGGTTCCGGGTTGTTTTGTTCTCTTGTTGTTTTGTGATTTAGCGACTTATGAGTTTTGGACGTTTGTGTCTGAACTTATTGGCGAATTTGATACAAAACCTTGGAACCTGGAATTCCTGATACCACTTTTGCGTTCGAAATCTACCTTTGACTAGATACTATCGTCGAACTCCTAGCAGGCTCTTTTATCCCATTTACTAGCCAGCCTGCCATCCCGTTTGCCATCCTAGTGAACAGTCTGCCCAACTTCGACAACAAACCAAAACACAACACCGCGTCACCATGGGTTGTACATCTTCAAAACCAGAGTCCCAATACTCTCCTCCTCCTCAATCTATCATGCCTATGCAAGCCAATCCACCTCCTGAATCCGTATCGCCACCAATAGGATATTGCGTATATCAACAACCACCACTAGAGGGCAAGAAGAGGAAGTTTATAAGGGATTCTGGGGATGTTGTCGATCTTTTGCCATGAGTGTTTTGATGGCAGTTTGGTGCTATGGGAGGGTTTATAGGGGCATTTAGTTTGCGGAAGAGTTGAGCAAAGAAGTAGAAGGAGAGTTTCCATGCTGTGGGGTAAGAGAAGATACGGGAAGTTTGGTGTTCGAGGAAGCAAGAAATCTTCGTTCGTAAGAACCTTTTAATACATCGTTGGGCAGAAGTAGAGAAAGTAAGACGCTGCAGGTCGGATACCTTGTATAGTCTCTCTCTTCGTACAGCACGGATAGATCATATCGCAGATTCAAAAAAACCAAACACTACTAGTCTACAGTATCTAATACAAGAATCTCTTATAGGCATGACTGAACTGAACGTTCTTGTTGGAAAGCCATTGACGACATGTTGAATGAGAAGTGACCTCTTACAGGGCCGTGATATAAACGAGTGTCGATTACCACGATCTGTATAGCAACGTCCGACCACGTAGGAAAGTCCTTGCGATGTAAAGGAACAAGGCTCGTTTGTTGCAGGATTGTAAAGTTCGACCTGCAGATGTGATCATCTTCAGTCCCATGAAGCAGAGACTCGGCCGCAGAGGAATGTTTTCGCAAGGGTGGTAATCTGGGTCTTGCCCTTTGTAATATCCGACGTTGAGATGGAAGGTTGTATACGTGCTGCTTCAGAATCGTGCTCGACATGTTGCTGCGTGAAGTGGGACCACGTCTCATCTAAGTGAAAGGTGAAAGCAGGCTTCTGCTCGTCGCTTCGGAGTTCACTTCTGAGATATCGTCAGAGTGTAGCATCCCACACGTTGTCGGTAGACCGAGTCAAACTGCATTCGGAGTGTTGGCATAGTCATGTTGGCAGACTGATTGTAATTTTGCTTTGGTTGGAGGCGCAGGTGATGATGAGTCTGTGGCCAAGACTTCTGGCCGCTCGGGAAAGGAAACTTGCCCCTTCGTGTCACAGTCATCCCTGCGCTCACTGATGAAACATCCTCCTTTGACGTATGATCATCTTCGAGTGCATTATGTTCAGTTCTTTTGATGATATCTCCTCGCTTGCCTAAAGCAGCTCAATCACAGTAAACCTCGACAACACATATCTGCGGTCAACAAGACCAAGAAACGATCGACGACTCAAGATGTCGCGACCCATGCCACAGTCGCCCAGGATTTGTCCATCAACACTCGCCTCTTCACCAGATTGGCTCTCTCGACATGCGCCAGACTGTGCACATCACAAAGGTCTTGTAGCCCGATCCCAAGAAAGGTGATCATCAAAGCTGGACGCTCAGTTGATCTGACGGAAGTCGCGACCCTGAAAGACACCGCCGAAAACACCTCCATCCCAGTCCCGGTATACTGCTTGTTTGTTCATAAGGGACGCACATACGTTCCCATGAGGCGCATACGAGGGAGATGATCGGCAAGGTGTGGTATGAAATTGGAGACAACGTCCAACAGAAACTCACAGCTCAACTCAGACTTATGGTAGGGTAATTGAGCTCATTGACTCCTCTTGATGATAGCCAGAGCTGTACAAGAGGCAGTCTGTATGATGCACGTATGGTCAGGCACAAGCTACGCCTCAGGCGATTTACGACAATACAAGACTTCCATGTCTGGCTCCGCAAAGGGTTCTCTCTAGCTGACCACCCACACCCAGAAAGATTGAACAGCCAAGAAACACAAGATCCTAAAGACATGGAAGCTATGTAAGATGGTCCTTGGCCACCCCCTGTCTTCACGCACGCCGATCTGCACCATGGTAACATATTTGCGAAGGGACAGAAGGTGGTCGTGATCATAGATGGGAGTTCTCCGGTTGATATCCTCAGTACTGGGGATACACCGCAGCTTGGTACGGCAATTTCACCAGGACTGATTGGCAAGGCGTGCTTCCTCAGTTTCTGACTCCATTTTCTGAGGAGCTTGCCACGGAGACTACACGACAGAAATGGCGGGGCGAGTACTGAACTGAAAAAGTTGTACAAGACTAACCATCCATTGACTTCTCTCATTATCCATCCTAGAACACAACACAAGCTTAATGTTCTGGTTTACAACGCGACCTCGAGCGACTATCTCCTTCTCTTCTAGTATATCCCACGTTGGCCTTGGCTTTTGCAAGTCTTCCAGCTTCATATACCACCCAGCAGCAGTCTTCCTCGCCACGTAACACCTGGCAGTCTCTTCGATCTTCTTCAGTCCGGTACCGCAGTACCCAAAAATCTTCCGTCTCCCTCTAATGCAGCAAGCGCACCTTCAATCCATGACAGACATCTCCACTCGGATTATCCTTGAACGACAGGCGCGTCCTCCATGATAGAATTCACACGCTCTGTGTCTTCGATCTTGGCGATAGTGACGCGTGCGAGGAGATTGTCGGCATGGCGAACGTCTTCGACTTCTGCTTTTTCGAAGATCCAGCCTTTGTAAGCTGAGTTTGTTACATGATAGTGCATGCCTGGGACAGGTTTCTTGTTTTCATCCCTGGGTCCAACGAGAAAGGCCCAGTGATATCTGAATGTGTAAGTTGTTGCTTAATTTCGTGGTCACTGAAACGTATGCGTACTTGCGCTCTTGACAGGTTTGGTCATCTTCGCGCTTGGATGCGGATGTCTGGCAAGCCTGCAATCACTGCTGAGCTCGTTTGTAGAACGCAAAGATCTGACTCAACTGTATACTGTTGTCGCACTTTTTGACGGAGTCGAATCAATCATGGGAGCTTTGCTGGTCAATGGAGGATTGAAGCACGGGATTCATAAAGGAGCTGCCTGGATGGGTTTGCCTTTCCTCATTGCTGCTGCCGCCTATGCAATGTCACTTGCTGCATTATTGGTGGCTCGCAGATAGACGGTGGGAAACTTGGCAAACAACATAAAGTTAGAGACATTTTTCATTACGATATTATGTACTCAATCGTCCAAATAAGTATCGTGTAGCATTATTTCCAAGTCGTCCAAGATCATTCCAAAGTATAGTCATCAGGAAGACGGAGCGTCTAGTAGCGCTTGCCAAAGGCCTCGTCGAAGCCGGTGAGAGTGTAACGGTAGCGGACCTTGTTCTCCTTGACACCAGTGACGGCCTTGGCACAGCCCTCGGCGGAGATCGGGATGGTCTCAATCCACGACTTAATGTTCTGCTTAGAGGCCAGCTCCAGCATAGCGACCATCTCGGGGTGGTTACCGATGTGACTGGCACCGATGTAAGATCCGTTGGGGGCGAAGTCCTGGGCCTTCATAGCGGGGAGATCGTAGTCGGGCAGACCAACGTTGTGGAAGCGGCCCATGACCTTGAGGGTGCTGAGGTAGGTGGACATGTCAAATTCTTGGGTCATGTCAGAGCCTAGGAATCGTTAGTACGCGGTCGTAGTAACCATGGAAAGTTTGGATAACTCACAGTTCAGGATGAAGTCAAACTTGAAAGCCAATTCCTTGGCCCAATCCTTCTCGCCAGAGTAGATGAAGTGGTCGGCTCCAAGCTTCTTGGCGTCCTCCTCCTTGTCCTTGGTGTGGGAGATAGCGTAGACCTCAGCACCCAGAGCGTGTGCCCACATCAATGCGAAGTGACCGAGTCCACCAATACCGACAATGCCGACCTTCTTGCCAGGACCACAGCCGAGACGAACAAGGGGAGAGTAAGTTGTCAGACCAGCACACAGCATGGGAGCTGCGATGGCAGTATCGAGGTTCTCGGGAATCTTGAACACAAAGTACTCTTGTACTCTAATGTGAGAAGAGAAGCCACCTTGAGAGACAATGCCATCATCGAACTTGGCACCGTAGGTGTCGATCCTAGAGTCTCAGTCAGAATGAAGTTGACGCAGAGTATACAAATCGAACTCACTGGTTGGGGCAGTAGTTCTCCTGATCAGCCTTGCAGTTGCCGCAAGTCAAGTCAGCTCCGACTTGGGCGCCGACACCGACGCGGTCGCCGACCTTGATATCCTTGACCTTGCTGCCGACCTTGATTGCGCGACCTGTTGAGGACGTCAGCAGATGTTCTGCGTGATGTTTCCGCCGAGAAGCTGTGCTTGGGCGACATAGCTGCGAGTGTGTGGAGCGGAGCGAACGCTGAAGCCCAGCTGACATCATGACGTACCAATAATTTCGTGGCCGACACAGAGGGGAAGAGGAGTTTCACCCCAGCCACCAGTGATGGCTAATCTAGATTAGCGACTGATTGTTACATTGACGTAGACCGAGCATCTTACAGTGGACATCAGATCCGCAGACACCGCATGCGTCAATGGCAATGTCAACATCATCCTCCTTGAAGGTCTTGAGTTTGAACTCCTCCTTCTCGAAGGACTGCCATCTGTCCCTTGCGTTAGAAGATAGGTTTTGTATGTAAAGATGTCACATACTTCTTGGGATCCTTTATGACGAATCCGGTAGCGGTCTCTGGGTAACCCATGCTGAAGGATGGAAGAGGGCAGGAAGTCGTGTAAGATGAAGTTTTGTGGAAATGTTAATGAGAGAAACAGCAATAATTCCCACGGCCACGAGACTTATAGCTGTAGCTGTTTCATTGTTTGGCTTTACTGACGATGACATGATGACGTTGTTGCTTTCTTCCCGGAGCCTCCGCGAGCCTCCGCGCATCGACCGTTGAATTCTGTTCTAGATTCATGTCAAATAACCTTATTGCGCACATCACTTCCCCGGGTTTTCGGTTTTGAATGGTATCTGCACGCGAGGTCGACGATGTTTTACAATAATGCCTTGTCTCCATCACAGCATGTTTTGAACATGGTGAAATATATGTTGCGCGACTTGTACGTCTTGGACAGTTCGAGCTCGAAGGATCGTGCGACTGATGTCATCGTCAGTCTTCTCGATGCTTACCGCACTTTCTGTATATTGACCTTGGCCGACGCATCCTACCAATCAAGAGAGCTAGCATCTCTTACAGGTCGTTCACGAGAGAGACCATACCATTATGTGAGAGGGATGTTTACTTACTTATTATGCTTGATGCATTCGCGGGCAGTGTGACAGCTATGATATATTGGAGCTAAAATCTACAAAACACCGGATAGGAAGATAGCTATGTATACGTGAGAGAGTAGATTGATCATATACCAGCTATACCAAGCGGCCTAGGTATACCGCGACTAGCTAGTCTGACGGTAAGAGAGTCGCTGCCGACTAAGAAAAAGGTATTTGCAGCATTGTAGACTTCCTCACTCCGATATTCTCCGCAGACACGTCCCATACTTCTACACTGTCCATAGAAAGCGCTAGTCAGATTGCATTACATTGGCTAAATATCAGAAACAGGTCTCACAGGCTCAAAGATGGTGAACCGTCATTTGGCTTTGCCCACAGTGACCGCAAAATTTACCCGGCTTGCCGCAGAACCATCGCAGATCCGAAGAACAATATGCGAGAAATGTGACAGTTGGTACATGATGGCAGTCGGCACTATACGGTTGGGACTTGTTCGATTAAGCTTACTGTACCGACTGACGGTCAGCATTGTCCCGTAGGTTGAAAAATTCAAATTCAAGCTCTTCGGAGTTAAAGCCGACCTTATTTCTGACTCCGGTACAAGTCGTACCACCCGGTGTGCCCAGTCGCGCCACCGCTGATAAGCATTTATGCTGCATGATAAGCTCATGAGGCGCCGAAAGTCGTGACCTCATGCGATGTGCTCAGCGCTACAAGCGTGACTGCATGTGTTGAGTCTTGACACGCAGTGTTTTCTTCCCATCGCCCGTCTAGCATTTGTACGCAAACCCCTGGATACCAACGTGTATATATATATAGTCTTGTGATACTACGGAGAAAGAACATATCACATTCCCCTTCTAAAACATCATTCAGCAAGTGCAATCACGGCCAGACAGCACATCAATCGACAACCGTACACCTCACAGTATCGAAGTTAGTCCAACAGCTATCAGGATGGTAGACAGTAGAGAGATATTAGCCATTGTGGAGCTTATTGTATACGTTCCGGCCCTGATAGTGACCTTTGCCATCGTCATTCGGCAAGGGTTCAAACGACAGCTGGGCTGGATTTACCTGGCTATTTTCTGCACGATTCGCATCATTGGCTCCATTCTTGCAATACTAAGTCACAATCATCCCAGAAATGTCGAAGATGCAGAATGGGCAGGCATATTCCAGTCAATTGGACTGAGTCCTCTTATCCTTGCGAGCTTTGGGCTCTTAAAAAGAGTGTGAGTTCATCTGAGAGCACAACGTCGATTACCCGTCCCCGTTCCTGACTTCGAACAGGATCGATCAGACTTCAAATCGCATTGACCACTTCCATACTGACAATACGGGTCTGGGTATGACTTATCTGTCGGCCAGATTTGGTATCATGAAGCGAATGTAAGCTATTTTCCATTTCATACCGCGATATCACTCTCGATACTGACAGATTCTTGAGCTTTGGACCGGCGACCGCCATAGCCTATCGAAGCCGACTTATTCAGCTCCTTCAACTTCCAGCAATGATCGCCCTCATTCTCTGTATAGTGGGCGGCGTTGATGGAGCATCCTCCAACGAGAGCGACCAGAAAACGGGTCCACGACTATTCAAAGCCGGTCTTGTCATGTTTACTGTCCTTCTCGCCGTTCTGATCATCCTCGTCCTGATCAGTTTAATGGAGATGCGAAAGACTCCCTCCCAAGAGAAAAAGGTGCTCTTAGCAGTTCTCTTGGGGCTGCCACTCCTGACCACAAGACTATTGTGGGGTCTTTTGTCCGTCTTTCTTTCCCATAGCTCCATCTTCAAAATCTCTGGTGGTAGCGTTGTGGTGCAGGGTTGTATGGCCACATTGCCGGAATTTCTTATCGTCCTTCTTTTTGATGGTGTGGGCTTTCTCATTAACAGGTACAACGCTCAAGAGATCGATCGAACCAAGGACGTAAACATGCATGATTCCAGATCAAGACTACAGCGCTGGAAATGACGGGAAACATATCGATGGTCAGAATAACGCGGTGCGGATTAGAGGAATGTAGTCATCGGGGGATTTACAAAGGAGACGTTTCTTTAGTGATCTATCGGCTTTGGTTGTTATGTATTTGCACCAAGTAATCCAAGGTCACATGATCCGGAACAAAACTGCCTAATCATCAGCCGCGAGATGATGATCCTTCGAGATTGTTCAGACTGGCAGTGGCTCTAGCTTGGGGTCTATCTGGAATTCGATCAAGGCCGGACCATCCAATCCTCGAGCCATCTTAAAAGCGTCATGCAAATCTGCGGGATTGTCCGCACGGAAAGCCGCACAGCCATATGCCTCTGCTATCGCCTTTGCGTTCAGTCCCGGTAAATCTAAAGCAGCTACAGCAAGAATTAGCAGACTGCAGAAGGTCATGGCTGTGAAAGATGCGCTTACGGCAATTGGGTGTGTTCTCAAAGACTGCAAACTCTTTTAGAATAGCATACTCCTCGTTACGCGGTACCAAGATGATTAGGTTTAGCTTGTGCTGGACAGCAGTGTAGACACTCTGGACCGAGTAATGCAGACTGCCATCTCCAATGGCAAGGACTGTCGTTCGGTTGTGCTGAGCAAGTGCGATACCCACTGCCGCAGGGCCACCCCAACCGAGACCACCGCTAGCGGAAGTGAAGTAGCTCTCCTCTCTGATGATAGGCCAAGCATCTAATAGATCCCCAACGTTAGATGGTGTCTCTTGGACCAATATATCGGACTCTGCGCGAAGCAAGGCAATAGCTGTAAAAGCCTCAGATGCGGTCATGAGCGCAGTAGATTTTCTTGGTTTCGATTGGGCAGTGGCAGCGGATCCAGGTGCAGCTTTCGCTTGATTCTCTTCAGTAGATAAGCTGTTATTACGAAGCAGGCTATAGAGGCCTTCGAGTGCCAGACGGGAATCGGAGAGGAGACTGTCGCCCACAAGGGCAGACCCAGCATCATGAGGATCGTTCGTTATCTGTAATAGTTCCAGTCCAGGCGGTGAGACAGGCCCGGCTGCGTATGGATAATATCTCCAGACCTCAGCCCCCACCACAAGAACAAGGTCATATCCTGTAAGTGCAGTACTCAATGGACCTTTCGCCAACGGTAAAGATCCTCTGAAGAGTGGATGAGTCTCGGGGAACACAGCTCTCTCTGCAAGCGGGGCTTGGTAGACAGGCGCGCCGAGTAACTCTGCCAATGCTACAGCTGACGCCCAACCAAGACTCTTATCAACTTCCTGACCCAAGACGAGCGCAAATCTTCGAGCTTTCGATATTCGAGTGGCGAATTCCGACAATCGCTTAGGGTCCGGTGCGATTGTCTGTCCGACTGTTCTTATCACTGGCGCGAAGTCGATTTCTGCCACCCAATCATCTAAAGGTATGGAGAGGAACACAGGGCCGGCAGGTGGCATACTGGCAATTGCAATAGCTCTCACTAATGCCGCAGGTACATCTTCCGCCCTCGCTGGCTGGTATGCCCATTTGACCCACGGTTGCGGCAGCATGGTGGCGTCGCGGTCAGTCAGATAGGGATCACCTATGAGCATTTGTCGCGTCTGCTGGCCTGCAATTATGATCAAAGGCGTTTTGTTAAGAAAAGCGGTCATGATGTTGCCCATGCCGTTGCCGGTACCTGCTGCCGTATGCAGAACAGCAAGTGCAGGTTTTCTGGTAGCTTGGGCAAATCCATCAGCCATACCAACAACAGATGCCTCCTGTAAGCCTAAGACGTATCTGAAGTCGGAAGGAAAGTTCTTGAGCATCGGTTGCTCTGTGTGGACAAGACGTCAGGATTAGTGTATTCTCCGTAAGGAATCTCATTACATGGGAGGCTCACCAGTCGAGCCTGGGTTACCGAAAACGGTCGTCATGTTGTACGCACGAAGCACATCATAGAATGCAGTCCATACTGTAATACCTCTCATCTTGACTTTGGCTTTGGGGATTTGAATCCCGGTATTCTCTTGTGAGCAAGTCTTCTGTAGTGCGAGGAGTCCTGATACATCTTACGATGGGAACGCTATTACTTTACGTTCCGTAGAGCTTTGATAGCTACAAACTCATTGTAAGCCCGATGTCCGAACGCCGAAAGCCGTGAGTTGAAATGCGGGGGTTGATGACCGGACAATCCTTGGTGGTTCATGCTGATGATTGGACACATGGCCCTGGAGTGTAAGGATTATCCTAGCGAGGGAATTGATCCCCCAGTCCTTCGTAATAGTCATTAGTATGCATCGGTGACGTGCTGACTTCTCACGTCAGCCCAAAGTCGAAACCTACCTGGTATAATGAGATACGGACCGTACTCCGGAGTCGACTCAAAATGGCTCACTAATTTTCGAACCAGGGTGTTTCGAGCGAAATCAGCCTGTATGAGGTGGGCGGTAGATCAACGTTGATCGTTCTCGATTCAGCTACCACACCACTGCAGAAATGAGTTTTCCGGAGTCTTGTTATTGCTCCAGTGAAGGATATCAAGAGGCGGGATCCAACGGCTCAAGGATGAAGTGTGATGATGGGGGCCAAACTCAAGAGTCATGCCATGAATGCTTATGACGATCCCATCGCCGCAGATCTTCACCTCATTGCCCTCCCTCCATTCCATGATCCCAAGCGGTATCATATGTTTTCCGCAGATGAAAATGTGGTGAGATTTTGGACGTCTTGGTATCTCTAGATATTCGGAGCATAAGAGTGTCGCTCGTCCTTGTCATACTTGACCTCGCGACTTTGCAACTCAGTTCGATCCAGATCAATCCTCATTGTCAACGTAGTTACCATGATCGCAATCCTAGCGTCGCTCGCCTTGTACATCGTTGTTTGCGGCACAAACTCAGTCCAAACCCTCGAAGACTCCGCTGCATGTCGCTGTTTCCCTGGAGATGTGTGTTGGCCTTCGACCGTAGAATGGAACATCTTCAACCACACGATTGGTGGTAAGCTCCTGACTACCAAGCCATTGGCCAGTGTTTGCCACGATTCTGAGTACGGGCCCTTCAATCTCGCCGCATGTGATCATTTGCGATCAAATTGGTTCGCTGCCGAGACCCACTTGGGCTCCGTATCTTCCATTATGGCTGCTTTCTTCACAAATAACAGCTGCAACCTATTTTCACCTCAGGACGCACCCTGCACACTTGGTGGTCTGGTGTCATTCTCCGTGAACGCCTCTGGAGTTGAAGACTTTCGACGGACAATCGCTTTCGTGCGCAGACACAACATCCGCCTGGTAATTCGAAACACCGGCCATGACTACAATGGAAAGTCAACAGGAGCGGGAGCTTTGGCAATCTGGACGCACCATATGAAACACAAAGAAATTCTTGATTATAAGTCTCCTTCGTATACAGGCAAAGCAATGAAGATGGGTGCAGGGATCGAAGTGTATGAGTCTTACGAGTTTGCGCAGAAACATGGCCTTGTAAGTGTTGGTGGAGATTGCCCGACAGTTGGTGTCACTGGCGGCTGGACCCAAGGAGGAGGTGGCCATGGACCTGGAGTGAGCAAATTTGGTCTAGGCGCGGATCAAGCGTTGGAATGGGAGGTCGTGACTGGTACTGGTGAGGTACTTGTGGCCAGTCGGCATCAGAACCAAGACATGTACTGGGCTCTTTCTGGCGGAGGTGGTGGCACATATGGTGTGGTTAGCTCCCTCACCGCCAAGGTGTATCCCGATCTGTCATCTTCAGCGGCCTCTTTATCATTCTCGTCCACAGGCATTAGCAAGGATCTGTTCTGGAACGCCATCCATACATGGCAGGCGACCTTGATCTCAATCATCCAAAGTGGTTGTTTTGCGATTTGGGAGATCTCCCAAGATGGCTTCTCTCTTGTCCCGATGAACTGTCCGGGTCTTAATAGGAACGACACTATGAAATTGTTGCACCCGATACGGACGATGTTAGACAAGAACATGATAGAATACGGCAAGCTCCTCACATGTGCTACAAAGATCAGCTGACTGATAGTTACCAAGATTACTCGGTCAGTGAGTTTTCGAACTTCTACGACAGCTACAAAGCCTACAACATGAGATTTCCGAAGAATGTGTCCACGACCCAGCTGGGAAGTCGCTTGATCCCACGTGATGTTCTTATCCACAACAATACCGAATTGACGGATGCTCTTCGCAAAGGCGTCGACCGAGGCGCTTACGTGGTGGCGACTGCGGTGGACGCATCATTGGGTAACAACACAGATTATGGTTCTGTCAATCCCAATCGGCGTCAGGCAGCCTTCAGTGCAATTTTTGCGACGTATCCACCACCTTGACCCCATTATTAGTGAATGCTGACGAATCACAACAGAGTGTACAACCAGACGGATTACGATGTCAACATTGCTCTTGCCAATGAAATGACCCGAGAACTCCTTCCAATGCTAGAGGCCCTTACACCAGGAGGCTCAGCATATATGAATGAGTGCGACTTCCAGCAACCAGACTTTCAAGATACGCTATATGGCATAAACTATGAACGGCTGCTCTCCATCAAAGACAAGTACGATCCTGACCAGATATTCTACGCCATCACAGCTGTCGGGAGTGAAAGGTGGTACCAAGACCAGAGACGAGGCGGGCGACTATGTCGAGCTTAAACATGGCCATGATTCCATGACTAGGCTCCTCCGGGAACGAAAGTATTCATAGTGTTCCGGAGACCTTGAACTTGTGTCGCTCCAGGGAGACCTCTATGTTATTTGAATTCTTGTCTCCGTCTCAGCCTCGAATGGTCCTTATAGCAATCCGGAAGCTGGAATGCGTGTAGGCTTTGACGGTGGTGACTTCCAAATTTGTTCGACTGAGAGGTCGAATTTGCCAAGATAGCTGCGCTGCGAAATTTATGATGCGTAGGAAGGAGCAGAGATGTGCGCACATGAGTTGCCAGAAGCCGTCAACCAGATGAACAATATCTCGAAACCTGCTTATAAACTACAGCTCTATAGCAGTATCGTTCACCTAATTACTTCGTCTTCCATTGTCTTTTACTCTCAGAAACCACCAGCTGGCCCACTAGACACGAGTGGAGCCATCAACCGCTACAAGTACTCTCCTGATAGACCCACAGAAGTCTTGCTAACATCTAAAAACTCATTCGTAGCATTTCCAACTCGGCTATGTACTCCTCTGACATTCATAGAGACTGGATAAATAGTCTCGTCCTTCCTCGAGGCATCGAAGATTAACTCCTGCAAGTAGAGCAAAGCACGTATTGCCGATCTTTCGTTTTTTCGTCCAAGAGTAAGCAAAGACGTCCTTGCTTGCATTTCCCTTGCACCAGTCGTTGGCCCAATGCGAGGTTGTGTATCGATTGATGTCGTTGCCGAAGGCTGCGGCCTGGGCGGTAGCTTCAGACTCGTTAGAGGCTGGGTACGCGCCGAAAAACTCTTGTGAGCTGTTGCCCACGATGGTTGTAAAAGCAGAGTTGTACGTGGTGATGTTCATGTCTCTCCAGCTAGTTTCGTTCAGATTGTCGCCAGTCATAATAGGTCTGTCGTTATGCGATCCGGTGCGAAGTGTATCGGCATAACCCGAGGGCAGAATATATCCATCAACGACCGGGCGCCAGAGGGGTGGCTCAGAGACAATACCAGTATCCATAACAGCTACCTTCCCTTAGAGGGTTCCGTCAAGAGTGGTGTCTGTGCTGCTATCATATCTCGGAAGGACTTCCATCGAGATGTGACGCATCTCTGCGATGGTGAAAAATTCATCTCTGACACATATGTCTTTCCCTCCTCGAGAGCCTTTTCCATCCAACGATGACTTGTTGCCAGATCCTATGTTTCAGGATCATGCGGATCACGAGCACGACTCCCAGCGATACATCCGACAATCTTGTCGCTAGAAAGAGGGCTGTATATCATACTGGAATTACAACTCAGTTCAAATTCATCAGTCCATCATGAGGAGATGAGGAAGGGAGCCGGCCGATTACCCGCCAACGGTGATGTGGTCTGGATCACATCCGAAATTAGTAACCTCACTGCGGAGGAAGTCGATAGTATGCTGTTGGTCCATGATACCGTAATTACCACTGGCGTTGAGGGCAGTTTCAGCTTGGAGCTCGGGGTGAGCCAAAAACCCAAAAGGACCCATTCGATAGTTGAAGGTGACTACGATCATGTGTAAGCGTAGAATAGAACGATCAACGAACACACTAACAAATTTAAACTTTCTTGACGAATTACTGCAGAGGCTACTACACGCTAATCTCGACATGCTTGGACTCAGCCCTGACAATGGTAACACTGCCTTACACGAGATTGTTAGAAGAATACGTACCGAGCCGGGGCTGCAAGAGAAGATTCTCAGAACATTTCTTGATGGACACTCGGACGGCTGCAGTCTCCAGAATTTATATCGTGAGACTCCGCTACACACAGCTATATCTCCGGGTGAAGCGGAACTGGCTCGACTTCTCATCAATGCAAAGGCTGGTCTGAGCCTACGCGACAATCTCGAAAGGACCCCACTAGATCTTGCGAAAGAGTTAGACTCAGCGGAGATTGTGGCTACTATTCACGAAAACATGGGGAAAGAACATGTAGATAGGTAGTTGCCAGGCCCTTGAAGTATCCCTGCGTCTCAGGGGATGATCCAGGCACCTTAGGTGGTCGATCACTGCAGCACATAATGCCTCGGGCGCACTTGTTCGCGGGACCTCGATGCGCGAACAGCCATCAGTAGAACAATGAAATGCGCTGCTGTAGCAGTTGGCTTCTCCGGCCGTGCCAATAACATGCATGAAAGGAATTTGTCCTTTTGGCCTGTATCAGGAATGGACTCTTCCAGTTCAAGCCCGAGTGTGGGATTAATGCCCTAATAGCCCATCCCTGAACGAAGCTCTTCTGCCTTCCTATTGATGAGCTGACCTTGATAAAAATCAGCTCGGCTTCCCATGCAAACGGTTCAGCTGGCTTCAGAGTTGCCAAAGCTGCGAGTATGGTGCCTGATCTTTTGGGTGGCGCCCCCAAGGAAACGGCCGTTCAGGGTCCAAGCTCGTGACACCAGCTCTCAAATTGACGCCACAGCGCAATACAGCGAGCTGTACAATCCTTTACAATATCGTTGTCGGGTTTCCCTTTTCCCAATGGCGTTGTCTGTGGCTCCATAGTTGCATGATGATTTGCGCACCTGTTCCTATCTGAGCGGATGTATTCGCCCGATCGACCAACAAGGAACAAACAATCTTTTGCTCCCTTGGTTGAGCTTTGTTGAGTCTTGCTGTTCTTGAATCTCCAGTATTATTCCGGCCTCTGCACAGTCCATATGAGTCCAGGGGTCTTCGCAGAGGATATGGCGTGAATACGAGTCTGCCCGCTTCCAGTTTAAACGGTGCTTACAGGTGTCAGTCTCAGCTGAGCGTTCTGTCACATCGGTCTTGGAAGACTCCTATATAGTCGTACGTCTCTTATCAAGGAGAGGATAAAGTCCACGAGCACAACGGTAATAATGGCTCCATGGTATGTACGGGCCCAGATGGAACAGCGTATTCCAGATAGGGGCCATCACGCGGCTTAAAAGGCTACATATAGTCGGAATGGCTTCTCATCTGTGGTGGCAATCTGATCCTCTCGCACAAAGAATCTTCATCTCTACATCATGCTGCACCATCTCGCGGTGAGGCAGGTATTGGCCTTCTCAGCTTTGCTCCTCTTCATATACGCTCTTTTTACCATGCACTCCACTGCCTCTCGTTCATCTCAGGATGAAATCACCTTCGCGGCTTCGGCAGGTTCCAGTTTGAAAAACGCTTCATCCAACATCTACCGCCATCACGATACATTGTCGGACGTCGCAAAGTCGGCACTAGACTTCGAACGTATCAACAACGCATCACTTGGAGTACGTTTGTATGTTGCCTGCAGTCAACAACAACTAAAATCTCGCAGTTCGGCAAAGTCTTCCTCCTTTCCTTACCAGAACGTAGCGATAAGAGAGACGCGGTGGCTGTACAAGCAAGCTTATCCAACTTCACTCTCACAGTCCTGTATGGTGTGAATGGAGATACCATATCTGAAAAGGCTCTTCCTTATGTAAGCGGGTCTCCAACTCGTGAAGAATAAGCCCTGACGAGAGATACAGACCATGGATTTGGGACCCGGTCAGAAAGGATGCTGGAGAGGACACTTGGATGTAGCGCAGAAGTAAGTCCTACGCATGACTGATGTTTTTGTTTCTGATATGCTCACGCTGATGTAGGATGGTAATGGAAAACATCCAAACTGCTCTAGTCTTTGAGGATGATGCTGACTGGGATGTGGCGCTTCATGCTCAACTGAAAGAGGTGGCCAGGGGAACCCGATGGTTGGGCGGACAAGAAGACATATCGACCCTTCCTCATTCACCATACGGTGACGATTGGGACCTCCTCTGGCTTGGCCATTGCAGTCTGCGTGCCGATCGCAACGATGACAGACGATGGGTTATTCCCAAGGACCCAACGGCGATTCCACTTTCTGTTCGCCAATATCTTGAGAGCCCTCGGATGGACAGATGGACGTCTGGTCCTAACGCGGATCCTCAGACGAGGCTTGTACTCAAAGCCGAGAACGGTGTCTGCGCCAACGGTTACGCGCTCTCTTTGGAGGGCGCTCGGAAAATGCTTTATCGTCTGAGCATGATGCCCTACAAAGAGCCTGTCGACGTAGGTATGGGCATGCTATGTGAGAATGCTGAAGGACTTGGCCTCAACTTCACTTGTATCGCTCCTTTTCCCGAGATCATCGGAGTGTCACGCCCAGCGGGTCGTTCAAACCGGGGCAGTGATATCGATCACTGGGCCGAGAAGATCGCCACCAAATCCTGGTCTGAGAGGGTGATGTTTCCAGTCAGACAGAACATCCCACAACTACTCAATAGGGAAACCACTTTCATTAGCAGCTACCCTGATATCACTGGCGCGACAAAGAACATCGCGGATCTCAGACAGTTCGAAGGTCATGGTGAGCATATAGATTTGGAGGCCGAGCGTCAAATGATCCAAGCGGATAGGGAAAGAGCCGAAGCAGAAAGAGCGAAGGATGAGGCAGCGAAGAAAGCGATCAAGGAGAAACATGAAGGTCTTTGTAAGCTCGCCGACTCTCAGGACCCCAGAACATACGACTTGGAGGTGGTCGAAGCAGTCAATCATAGTCCTCAGGCGCGCATCGCTAAGGTCTCAGCTCATTTTGGTACCCAGGATCCGGCCTATGAGCAAGCCTTGCGGACACACTCGGACCATGCGAATCGCCATGGGTATTCTGTCCTCGATATGCGCTCCCAGATCTTCGATGCGCTCTGGAATAAACCCGCCTACATACTCTCTATCATACTAGCCGAGCTACAGAAACCGGAGGGGGACAGACTCGAATGGCTATTTTGGTTCGACCGCGACACAGTCATCTTAAACCAGTGCATGCCACTCCATATCTTCCTACCGCCTAGGGACAACATCCATGTCATCATTTCCAACGACTTCCAAGCTCTGAACAACGGTGTTTTTGCTGTTCGTGTGAGTGAATGGAGTATTCGTCTATACGGTGCCATCCTTGGATATCGCGAATTGCGACCAGGCGATGATCTACCTTTCACCGAGCAGAGTGCCATGGAACGTGTTCTTCTTGACGAAAGGTTCGCATCAGGTGTTGCCTACTACCCACAAAGATGGTTCAATGCCTATGGTTTCCAAGTCAAAGACGCCGACTTGCTTGTCCACTTTGCTGGGATGGACACCAGAAAAGAGGAAATCGTCAAGTGGATTGACAAGACTGCTGCCAGTCCTGAAGTCTGGTCGAAGGATTATCGTTTGACCAATCTGCCGCAGGAAATATCCCAATACTGGGCCAAATTTCCGCAATCCCAAGAATTCCTCAAAAGTGAGTAGATATTGGGCATAACATACTTTCGTATAGTACATAGAGTAGACACGTGAGCCATAATGGCTTGTAATATCGAATTGCCGACGAACGGCTCGCGAGATTACCTAAATCCATCCTTGGCTACCTGAGTAAGTGGACATCACCCTACAAAGAAGACCATTTGCATTAGAAGTGGACACCGCAATGTTTCATCAAGCTGAAGGTGCCACGTTTGATGTTGGAATCTATCATATGCGAAAAGCTCGAAACCACGGCGTTCAATTCTGTGGCGAATTTGGCCTCTGTGGAAGTCATGACTGCTGTTCACGAAGCCACGGTCGGAAAAGAGGCTGACTGCTCGCAGAGCCTTCAGTGAACCGAAAAAAACCTGTTGGAATTCCGTTGCACATCTCGCAAGAGCCAGCAATTGTGATGTCTTGCCCTGAATCACCATTCTCTTCCCCTCGTCTGTATTGTGAAGAAGCTCGTCAAGATGATGACGTTGTTCTTTGTAAAGCATGAGCGTACATCGTACATGAATCCCGAGCTGAAACGAAAGGCATTCCGCAAGCAGCCATAGCAGGCGCATTATCATGGCAGCCTAACGACTCGGATCATGTATCTTGCCGAGTCCGTGTCCTCATCGTCATTTTGATGTTTCACCGGCGTCAGCTTCGTCAGGGGCAGGCATGTTATGACCCGTCCATGTTGAGCTTCGGGACCGGACCCTTTGTTTTTACCCCGCCAAACGTCATGACCTTGATGCTGCGCCTGAAGCTGCCCCACTTTTGAAGGAGCTGTCAAAGAAAGAGCTTCGGCGACTTGTGTACTTGAACAGCTATATTAGAGCTTGGTGCTCCTCTGATTTTCTCTTCTGTTCTGTATCACTCTCAAGCGAATCTTCATCTACTCAAATCCATTCACCCACCTACCAACCAAATCAATCCTCATGCAGAACGAACGCGGCCAAGGTGTCTCTCACGCCACTGACTCTTCAGTCCCCGGCAAGATCCAAGAGAAGGTGTGTCTCTCTCTTTCCCGACTCCATGATATACAAGACTAATAAATGCCAACAGGCTCCCGCTAAGCTCGAGCACGAACTGCCCGACTCCCTCCACAACACTGGATCGAACAAGGAGACCGGCAAGGTCAGCCACGCCGTCGGTGACAGCAAGGTCCCTCAAGCGCTCCAGGAGGCCCTCCCCGAGAAGGTTGAGCGCGCTGTCCCCAATTTCATCCACGACACCGGAAAGAAGTAGATGTCCGCTACAAAGATGAATGAAACAGCCAGCCAGAATATGTAGTCATGATATATAACGAATTCAACTTTGCATGATTCATACCTCAAATACTCCTGCATTTTGTGTATATGCTGCATTGTTTCTGTCGCAGCTCTCATGTGTTGGCATGTTGCTCTTCTTACTTTTCCCCTATGTCTCTCTACGGATGCCTAGGTCCTCGCTGATGATATCGGCAGCACGTTCAGCAACTGCATACACCGTTGCCAGGATGTTTCCTCGTGGGATGATCGGCATGATACTTGCATCAACAATTCTCAAATTGCGCACACCTTTCACATTCAGGCGATTGTCCACCACGGCGCCCAAAGAACATGTACCACATGGGTGGTAGTTTGTTGTCGCATAAGCCCGCGCCAACATCTTCGCATTGTCAATCGTGTCGGTAGGATATCCTTGAGGGAGTCTTCTTCCGCCCGGCTTAATGCACGATGCCAAAGGCTTTGTCTTTGCCAGCTTCTCCAGCACCTTGATGTGTTGAGCATGTATCTCTGTATCAAGAGGATGCGAGTAGTAGTCAAAGTCGACCTTAGGTTTGGTCTGAGGGTCCGCAGAAATGATGTGGGCACTTCCGGCGGAGAAAGGATGCGACAGCATGGAGTTCAGAGTGATGAAGTTGCCATTGTTGACTTCGCTCGCTGGTCTCCTACTCAAGAATGACACCGCGGTCGCTTCATCAGCAGATTCGACGGCGTTTCGGATGAATTTGTTACGCTTACGAACAAAGTCCGACTGGCTGTGATCATCTTGCAGGTGACGATCGAGCAGACTCTTCAATTTCTCATTTCCTCCAGGGTTCAAGAAAGGTACAATTGGTGTATAAGAGAACGAAAACGCGCCATTCTCGGCTAGAGATCCAGATCGATTGTCCTCGTACGTCCGGCGCACTTCGTCAGTAGGAGGAGGTAACCTTGGTGGAACTCCATCAGCAGCCTCAAAGGAGATTCCCACCCGTAGGTGGTCTTGAAGGTTCTCTCCAACAGCCGAATTCGCGTGCACGATGTTGATACCGTGTCGCTTGAGAATGCTAGGGTCACCGATGCCAGAAAGCTCCAGAATCTGTGGCGTATTGAACGCACCCGCCGCAAGGATGACTTCCTTCTTCGCTACAGCTTCATGGACAACGCCGTGCTGTGAGTATACAACACCACGGACTGCCGGTCCTGAACCGTCATCATCAATCACCACTTTGTGGACCACCGCATTGGTGACAATGGTCAGATTTTCTCGTCCACGAACGGGATCCAGATACGCCACTCCTGCATGACTGCGCTCACGAGTATCTCCGGTGATGTGACAAGTTGACGTGTGGCCTCCGATGGCATGTCCAGTCAGTGGGTCGCTGACATTTTCCAGGTTCAAAGTTCGAAACGTCTCAAGCCAAACCTTGTGTAGCGCGTTGGGTTGAAGAGGGAACACAGTCTGAATTGGTCCATTCGACTTCCGAATATTCTCATCGCTGTGTATGATGTTGATTTGCCTTCTGACTTCCTTACTTGGCGGCACAATGGTCTGGAACTTGAGGAAATACGGCGCCAAAGTTTTCCAGTCCCAACCTTCGTTTCCAAGCTCTGCCCATGCATCCATCCCAGAGGCTGAGGGGTAGATGATGGCTAGTGAGTTTATTGCGCTGCTTCCACCTATGACACGGCCACGAGGATGCTTGATTTGTCTGTTGTTCACGCCAGAAGTTGGCTCTGACAAATATTGCCAATCGAACTGAAGGTCGTCCAAGGTGCCGCCCGTCAGACCAGGAGTATAGACACGTGGATCGTCACTGCGATCCTCTCCGGCTTCGAGGACAAGTATTGATACATCGGGGCCTTCAGACAGGCGATTCGCAAGCACGCAACCCGCAGTGCCACCGCCCACGATGATTAAATCGTATTCGGATGTCGTAAGTTGTACCATCGCGGAAGAGAGGTGCTCGAGACTTTGGTGGAGTATAAGCGTCGAATGACTCACTTCTATATGATGCGCAGGGTGAAATGCAAAGAATGCCGACGGACGGCTTTCAGCGATTGCTTACGTGACTGCTTAGAGTCGAAACTAATCTCCACGCATTACATCCACTGTATGCCTATCATCTGCGACCATCTCATGACAATCTTGTTGGGGACCTGGACCCCTGATAGCGGTTAGCGTAGGATTGGATGCTTGCGAGTCATGCTCGATCAGGAAGGTAGTTCAAGCTTTGCCTCGGCTCCGTGAGCCCTGTCAGCCAGACTCTGCATTACTCCACAGCGAGCAATCACCCGATCGCGCCATACCTACATCACTTGCCAATCTGATGCATCGTGAAAGATTGCCATGGCTGCCCTCGAACATGATTCTGGTTGAGTATTGAGATCTTGGCACAGCAACCAAAAGGGAAAGAATTTGGATATGAGGAGAGATAGCGTTTCTGTTCCATAAACGGTACAGTCATCAACCTTCTTATTCCTTAATGGTGAACTTAGACTTCACTCTCAATCTAGCCCCGTAAAAGTATAGAAAGAACATGCCACCAATACCTAAAGTGCTACAGCCCGCAAGGACAGTGACACCTCGACCAATACCGAGGTTAAGGTACAGTGGTCGCGCAAACATGATGGCACCGCAGGCAAGCGCGGAGCGACAGAAGTCGTTTCCAGCGAATAGAGAAGCAGCATACTGAGGATACGACATTGGTATGTAAACAAATATGCACTGAAGGCTAGAGAAAGTTAGCTACACGACAACGACAGTCTGCTCGATCGAAGACGGAACGCGTACATGATGAATACACCAAATCCGTAGATGGTGATACCAATGATACTCACGATCCAGTGGATGTCTGCTCGCGAAGTCCAGGCAAACAAAAATAAACCAACGGTAGGCATGAAGACTGCGATTAGCGCCGGCCGCAGCCAAGATTCTTGAATGCTTAATCCGTACTTTCTTATTCTCGGTTCAAGGTAGAACCAGAGATACGCCATGTAAGTGCTGACCCCTAGTATGCACGCGACTAGGATACAAAGGAAGGCTGTAGAGACCAGTCCAAGATTGAAATGGTAGATATCCGAATAGACAATCGGGAAAGCTTCGAAGAAGGAGTAGTACTACAGTGCGTCAGTGATGTTGATAGACGTTTGCGAATTGCAGAAACTCACAGTCGCGTAAACGAAAGAGGTATAGACATTGACGAACAGGACAGCAGGATCGAGAATGGATATCTGTATAGGCTTGATGAGAGCATCAGTGAGCACGGAATAGAACGGTATCTGGCCTTGCTTGATTTCTGATCCTGTTCGAAGGCGCTGATTACCTGTCAACGATCGGAGACGCTCGGCTCGACGATAAAGGATGTTATCGGCAGAAGTCTCGGGCATCAAAAGGAACATAAGCATGAATATCGGGCCGGATATGAGTAACATCTCCCAAATAGACCATCTCCAGTTGATCACATCCACCGCGAACCCTGAAAGTACGGGCCCGACCGCTGGTCCACAGTATGAGAAAGATGTCCAGACTGCCAGGATGTAGGGGAATTTGATAAGCGAGAAAATGTCCTGCATGGTTGCCGGTCCGGTGGCCAGACATGGACTTCCGAAGAAGCCTTGCAAGAATCGCAAGAATAGAAGGCCACCGATATTGTTTACCAAAGCCGTCGGAATACAGAGTATCACGAATATGGCGTACGTCGCCACATAAGTCGAGTTTCTTCCGAACCGAGGGACTTCCGAGAGTGGAGAGAACAGTAAAGGGCCACAGCCGTATCCCAAGACGTACAGAGCGAGCCCGAGGGAGGACACTGGAGCACTGACACCGAATGCGATCATGACGCCACCCTCGGAGGGTGTGTATATGGCGCTTCCGGAATAGACGGCAAAGGTGTAGATACTGTAGTCGTTACCGATGTGATCAAGAAGGGAACAATCGAGGAAAAATTTACCAAATGATAAACGCTGAAAGGTACTTTTTCTTTGGCGCCCAGTTCTGAGGATTGGCAGGATCATCCGTGGTATACCAGTCCACTAAGATCTCGCCTGTGTTCGTGACCACAGGCAAAACCGGCAATGATGCCGTTCGAGTCTCAAGAGCCGCTCCTTCGATCTCGAATCTCTCTGCGCTGAATGGGAGGGTTTCCTCTCTTGTCTTTGTTCGGTAAATGGCAATTGTACCGCTCGAGCGTCGAACACCGTCTTCATCATCTATGGTTTTTTGTTCTGTAAGGCCTCTGAACCCAATCTCTGAGCCTTCTTCTTCTTCCACTGCAGTGGCTTGGTCCGTTGGGGTCGAAGCTACGTCGAGACCCTCGATCGAATGTTTCTCCAACACATGATTTTTGTTGCAATAACACTGAGGGGGCACAAAGCCTGGCAGTTCCTCGGGGTATTTAAGCCATCGGTTGCTCGAGGAGTAACGAATGATCTGTCCGACCGCCGTGTCTCGGAACAAATCTACCGTCATGATTATGAGATATAATCCGATCCACGACAAGATGTGGGAGTGTGTCTGAGAAATGGATCTGGGCGTGGGTAGATGATATAACACAAAGCCGTGGTAGGACGTACTTCAGGTACGGGCAATCTGCGCGGGGTCTATGTAGTGCATGCTTATTGGTATCATCGTCTCTTTATCTTCGCACGGAAGATTACTGAGCAAAGGTTCCCATGGGGTATGGAGTCAGCATTCGTCATGATCAGTCCATGTCAGTCCCAGGTCTCATATAGAAGTGAGAATTTCAATAATCACGGGCCTACATGGGGATCGAACCATACATTCTGTATCTTGACGATCCATTGCCTCTAAGGGAATCTTGTCATGTCAAAATTTGGAAGCTGCTGCGTTGATGCCGGCCTACCGCCCTAATCATCATCATAGCGCAATCTCTTTTCCATAATGTCAGCTCATCGGATCACAGGCTGTTGTCAAAACATAGATCAGCTCCAGGATAAAAATTGCTTAGGCCTGAAGACGGACTCTAGACCGAGATGTGGTGGTTCATGCGACTACTGTCTGATTAGTGATCAACTTCCGTCAGCTTCATCCCTGTTGTATCAGCTTTGATAGCTGTTCCCAAGCTTGGTCGACAGCTTCGAGCTTACAACGACTAATTTTCCAGGGGTTCGCTTCAAGACATGCTACAGCCTATGCATAAAGGTAATCAGGGCTGGAGACCGAGGTGCGGTGGCTCACGCGACTACTGCCTGATTAGGGATCAACCTGTGTCAGCTTTATCCCTGCTCAGTCAGCTTGAGCACCTATCACCAAGCTTATCTGCGAGCTTCGAGCCTCTAATACTCATTGACTCATTGTTGCACGTGAATTTTGCTAGAGGTATTCGAAGTGACTAGGTCGCATGATAAAATGCATTATTCAAGCCACATTTACGGTCTGCAAAGAAAAATCTCATTCGCTACAGTGTCCAAAAGTTGCATGTTCAAACAGAAGAATGAATTAGTCCGAACAAAGTACATAACATCATAACTAAACAGGAAAAATCACAAGATACAAAGAATTAAAACAAAGAAAGTCAACCCCCCAGAGAGATACGAAAAGTCCTCACCATTAACATTTCCATCGAATACAATAATCCATCATCACTGTTATTCAATGTTCATCTCTTTACATGGCCATCATAAGACCGAAGAATCCGTATACGAGACCCATGCCACTGATGAACTTGGATGCGGAAGCAGCGCCAGTAAAGACGGCAAGGCTGGGAGTGCTGGTGCCGGTGACTGTGATGGGAGAAGACTTGGTTGCGACAGCTGAAGACGCTCCATTGCCATTGTTACCGGATCCAGCACTCTTTGCACCGTTGTTTCCAGAGCCAGGTGCGTTGGATCCGGGTGCGTTGGAGCCAGAAGCCTGGGGACCCATAGCTCCATGGGTAGCAGCCATAGTGGAGACGGCGGGGCAGCTGGTGGTAGTGGTGTAAACGACACCATTGCTTGAGTAGACGATGGTAGAGACAACAGGAGCGTTCGAGCCAGCAGAGCCGTTTAAGCCAGAGTTGGCGCCGTTCTGGCCGACAGCGACGTTCGAGTTTGAGCCAGTGTTGGATCCAGAGTTGGAGTTTGAGCCAGAGGACATGCCGTTGGACGAACCAGTAGCAGCGGCGGAAGCAGGGCAGACGGTTGTGTAAGCGACTACGACAGTGCTGAGAGATGTAGTCTTGTCCTTGAGAGGGCAGTCTGTGACGGTAGGGGGGCAAGCAAGGATGGTTTGGACTGAGGTGCTGTAGAGGGTAGAGGTCACGTAACCGCTGCCGGTGGCCATAGCACCCGAGTTGGCAAAGGTGGCGGTGGTGAGGTATGTTAGCATCTCGGAGGCCGGGCAGTTAGTAACAGTCGAGGGGCAGGCAGTGACGGTGTAGACGCTGGTCATGGCACCACCAACTGCGTTGCCAGTAGCGATAGGCTGGGCCAAGGTAGGAGTAACGCCGGCCGGGCAAGCGACACCAGATCTGTTATCGACAGCGCTGGACTCGAAAAGTGCGAATGTGGTACCGATGTCTTGAGTGGCCGAGTTGAGATCTACGCAGCTGTAGAAAGCGCAGGTTGCAGTGTTGGCATCGAAAGCAGTACCCTTGCAGGTGACATCGTCAGCACAGGCCTTGACACAGCCAGCAAATGTTTGTCCTTGTCTCTTGGCCAAGTTGAGTCCAATGTTGATCGTAACGCCGAGGTATGTGGTGTTGTACTGGATGCCGAAAGTGACGCCGTCAACAGTGGTTTGGGAGGGAAGAGCGGATGATGAAGTGCCAGAAGCTGAGGCTGAAGAACCGCTGCTCGAGGCAACAGAAGAAGCAGATCCAGAGACTGAGGACGATCCAGTGACCGAGGAACCCGAGGTAGAAGCAACACGAGTGGGAAGACCGCTCAGAACAGACGAAGGGAGGTTGCTAAGAATGCTCGAAATGACATCGGTGGGCAGACCGGTAAGAACGGATGTTGGGTTGGCAGTGGATGCACCTGAGGGCAGAAGGCTGGAAGGAAGACCGCTGAGAATGCTAGAGACGACGCCCGAAGGAAGCTCGGTCAAGACACCTGAGGGAATGCCTGCAGGGAGAGAAGTGGGAAGACCGGTTGGAATGACATCGGTAGGGAGACCGCTCAGAATGCTGGAGACGACTGCAGTGGGAAGACCAGACAGAATGCTGGAAATCTCGCTAGGAATGTTACCTGTAGGAAGGCCGGTGGGGATGCCACCAAGGATGCTGGAGGCGACGTTTGTGGGAATCACATCTGTGGGAATACCGCCGATGATACTGGAGATCAAGCTAGGAACGATATCTGTAGGAAGGCCGCCGAGAAGACTGGTCAGAGGGGGAATGACTCCAGATGTAACACCACCGACTACACCGCCGACAATGCTAGTGACCTCGGGAATGATTGCAGAGGTCACACCGCCAACAACACCACCGATGATGCTAGTGACTTCGGGAATGACTCCAGATGTAACGCCGCCAACGACGCCTCCAACAATGCTAGTGACTTCGGGAATGACTCCAGATGTAACACCCCCGACTACACCGCCGATGATGCTGGTGACTTCGGGAATGACTGCAGAGGTGGCTCCTCCAACAACACCGCCGATGATGCTGGTGACTTCGGGGATGACTTCGGAAACGGCGCCAGAGACAGCTCCTCCAAGAATGCTGGTGACTTCGGGAATGACGGCAGAGGTAGCACCACTGACAGCACCACCAAGGATACTGGTGACTTCAGGGATGACTCCAGAAACGGCGCCAGAGACAGCTCCTCCAACAACGCTGCCAACAGCAGAGCCAGCAGCGCCGCCGAGGACACCGCCCAGAAGACTGGTGACTGGGGGGACGACAGCCGAAGTGGCGGCAGAGACGACGCCGCCGACAGCAGAACCGGCACCACCGACAACGCCGCCAACACCACCGACAATGCCACCAACACTACCGAGTTGAGCAGACGTACCCATGGACTGAGCGACAGCGGCTGCGAGAGCCAATTTGAGGGAGTTGACCATGATTAAATGAGTGAATGAAGGAAATATTAGTCCTAGTGGGTTAGTAAAGCGAAGGAATGACTAGATGAAAGAATGAAAGACTGGATGAGAATGAGAAGGAAAATGATGAGCTCGAGCAGGTCTACTTATACAGCTCTGTGTGATGGACTTCGAGGAGAGTGCTTGATGAGCTGTGAATGTTGTGGCTCGGAGAAGTGCGGATATGATCCATGGATGTTCAAAACAATCAACATTTACGGCTCCTGAGCAAGCAGATGAAGATTCAGTCTGCGTGGTCGCTGAACGATGAAGGCGAGCGTTGTGTCCAGCCGCAGCATCTCAAGGGTGACACTGAGCACGTCGAGGAGACGAGTAGGTTGAGTATGTGATATCACTGCACGGGAGCCATGCAATTCTGAAAGAAGCATCATTGAGCATCTGCATGGGAAATTAAGCAACTGTCAAAACGTGAAGGAGGAATCTCGATGCTTATGATTGACGGCATGAACTAATGTCCGATCAAAACCGTGCCGTGGCTCTTCCTGCATCATCGCGGTTCCAGAACAGATCTGTGAGCATGTATTCTGGGGTGGAATATGTGATTGGCTGCGGCGGAGGCGAGTCCGTTCCATGACCGAGGGTACCCGAATTCGTGACTCTCCTGCATAACGTTTCCATGGACCATCCAGTGTATACCGTAGAGACACCAAACATGGGGCGCCGTGAGACAAGTGGAGATTGCTTTACCTGATGTTGTTAATCATTCTTCACGTCAATTTGCCACGACTTGCGATGATCAACGAAGACGGGTATGGCGCTGGTCAAAGTCGACGCGAGTTGGTATCGCTACCCCAATTTCCTCGCAGGGATGAGCTGTGCAAGAAGAAGAAGGACCAATTTGTGCACCACAAGTGGTGTCACACTGTGGGCCGTCGCAAGCTCGTGTTTCACGAATTGCTCAGGAAGGCTAAGATGGGGTTCAACAGCACATTACATATCCATATCCTCTAGATCGCATGGCAAGAGGAAGTTACTTCATGCTCGAACATCAAGTGCATCCCACGGTACAATGCACGAGTGGCTAGAAGATGATTGTTGCATCCTTCAGTTACAAGTGGCAGGGTGTGAGGGTCGACGGGCACTGCGATGAATGCAATTCGCATGCTGGACAGACACTGCAAAGAACTCGGTGTCCTGGTGGCCTCGAGAAAATTAACGCAGAGTTGAGCGTCAGCGTAGCATGCTTTCGAGTAGTATGACTCCTGGTGAGGAGTGCTCCATGCAGCAGGTGAAGAAGATGGAGGAACGAGAAAAGACGCTGATGATTGCCTACCCCGCACGGCGCGAAAAAGCTTGATTGTTTCAGCGTCTCTACATTTCGCCATCAAAGATTCGACTTGACAAAATGCAGCCTTCCACTCATTGCAAGCAACAAAGATGGGCAAGAGAAAGCGCAACACACAGGTGGCAGCACCGCAGAAACAACAAAAGGCTACAGACCTTCCGACACCAAACGACAGTGATGACGCGCCGATCGAGAACGTGTCGCACATCAGCGCCGTCACGTCGACCGAAGAGCTGGAATTGAGCGTCGACACTCTGCGCACTCTGTCGCGATACCCTGGACTGATCAAGTCGAAAGCCTGCAAGGATCTACGCGCTGCCGTGTACGACTTCCGGCAGGCGTGCAACACGGGCGTCAACTCGGCCGCCGAGGGCACAAACCTGACGGCGCGCATCTCGGGCGCTCTGACCGACGCAAAATACACCGATGCCCTTGTCCTTCTCGCCGAGATGCGCATTCGCGGCGAGACACCAAAGCTCGGGGCTCTCTGCAGGTGGGTGCGCGACTTGGACGTCGTCAGTGGCTTGTCAATGCAGCCAGAGGGAGTGAGCAAGGTCGTCGTACCGCGCTCAGCAAAAGACAACGAGTTGCTGCGTGTGCTGGACGCCGTCCTGAGAGTCACCGGCCCGACAGACACAAACACAAGAGCCGCCCTCGACTCGGCAGATGCCATTGCCCTGCAGCAAGTCTGGAATCTGCGCGACAAGACGCCGCTCGAGACACGTCAGAGCGTCCTCGACAAGACAATCTTCGCCGCCTGCCCACCAGACCTTCGCGACCGCTTCCGCATCATCGACACGACCGCCGGTCCGAACCGCAAACCTCCAAATCTCCATCCTGCCGTCCTCTACGCCTCACAAGACAACGCCATCCTGCTCGGTGATGCGCCCAAGACGACCGTCTTCAAACATCCCGTCGTGCCCAACCTTCGCCTCATCAAAGACGTCCTGACGCCAAACGAATGCACCTCCATCATCGCCGCCGCCGAGACCATCGACTTCATCCCCGACGCCCCAATCCGCGACGACGGACAAGCCACAAGCATCCTAGCCCACAACTTCTACTGGATCGCCGACCAAGCCTTCCATGACAAGCTTTGGGAGAGAGTCCGCCCTTACGTGCCAGAGGAATCACAAGGTCGCAAGGTCCGCGGCATCAACCGCAGATTTAGAGTCTACCGCTACGTCCCTGGTGCAGAGTATAGATGCCACATTGACGGCGCATGGCCTCCTTCTGGTATTGACTCCGTGACGGACAAGTACCAGTACGACGCTTCTCCTGCAGATGCCCGTCAATCCTCTCTCTACACCTTCTTGATCTACCTCAATGACGAATTTGAAGGTGGAGAGACTTCCTTTTTCATCCCCAGTATTCGCGAGGGTGTCATGAATGCCTATCCAGTCAAACCCATCATGGGAAGTGTTGCTGTCTTTCCTCATGGCGAGGCACAAGGTGCGCTACTTCATGAAGGCACTGGCGTAACGAAAGGTGCCAAGTACATTATTCGTACTGATGTCGAGTACGATGTCACACCTTCGGCAAGTTGATGAACTCTCTTTCGCTTTCCACTCTGGCGTTCCGGGCGTGAGAAAGGGCGTTGGGCATGGGCGATCTACTACCATTCGTTCTACATGGTTGACCAGTATGATGCATATATGTCTGACATTGTCAAAATCACAACTTCATTCGCTCTGAAGATGCACTTACTCTCCCATCCATCGAATAAGCGGGATCTTTTGATTCGAGCAAGTACAAATAAGACAGAGAAAGCTGCTGTAATCGCTTCCTTAACCCAACTACCAAACAACCTGCCACGACGCCTTGCTGAAGCCCACAATCTGCGAAAAGGCCTGGTCACGATCATCCATATCAGCCAACACCCACTCCTCATCTCCAAGCTTGCTCTGAATACGCAGGTCCTTTCCACTATCCTTTCCAGGAGTCATCTTGCTCTTGGTGCGATCAATCTTTTCCAGCTTGGCAAGTAGGTCATAGTTGAGCACAAACTCGACTTTATGGCCAATGTTGGTCTCGAATCTGATTGATCTTGCACTGATGATGAGACGGCCTCTGTCTTTGTTGATGTGCGTGGGGTAGAAACCGTAGTCTTTGTTGAGTGCGGCGTCTGTGCTTGGGTTTTCCTTTTGCTGTTAGCGGGTTCCTTCTGCTTGGAGCGACTTGATGGCCCACTCGGCTGTAGCAATAATGTGTCAGCCATCAGTATGTCGTACCTCAAGAGCGTAAAACAAAGACCTACCATGGGTTGGGATGTTCCAAAAAACACGTCTAGGCACCGAAGCGAGTAGGCGGTACTCTGGGAAGTTGGTGCCCAGAGGGAATAAGCCAAAGAAGACGACACCGGCACCGAACAACGATGACTTGACCAAGATGTTGATGGGCACGAAAGTGGTGACGACGATGCCAGACACAAGGATTGAAAGAGTGGCCATAGTTCTACTAGGCACTCTCCATTCGTAGAGGCTTTCGAAAAGTCAGTCGTGATGCATCAGGAGAACGACAAGGTGAGACGAACTTGCGCAGAATCTCAAACATGTTGGCCGCGTCGGCAAGCTGGATCATGACCCAAGGACCCATGACTTCTTGGAGCCTCTCCATCCAAGATCCATCTCGTTGCTTCTCGATGAACTCTGTGAGATCGAGGGGGTCCTGCGACTGTTCTTCGGTGCGTTCGAGGTCAGCGCGAACATCTTCGAGTGTCTTTTGAAGCATGCGGTGTCTCAGAACCAGATAGACGAGGCCTGATAGCTGTAGTTTGTGGTCAGCGATGGGTTCAGAAGACAAGAGAAACTCGGAGGCACGTACAATGCCCGGCAGTAAGAGACCGTAGTAGACCAAGGTCATGTAAAGCACAAGGACGACGGCTGTTGTGGTCGGATTCTCCCATCTGTAGATCTGTCGCGTCATCATCATGACTCGTTGGAAGGCAGCAGATGCAATGATGACCCGTTCAATATTGGGCATGATGGACTCTTTTGTTGGAGCGGGCGGACTTGAGCCGTAGCCAATGTATTGACCGCCGTACTGCTGGGCGTAGTATTGAGTGAGCTGCAAACATGTCAGTAACTTGTAAGACTTTGGACAGTGAGAAATAGCCGTACATGGCGCCCGTATTCATTCCAGTCGATGGCAGTGTCTCCTTGAAATGTTCTGCGCTCAAAGTCCGACAGAGGTTTTCTCGAAATATTGTCGGGTAGTACGCGGCACTGAGTGACATGACGATCCGTGGTCCATCTGACGTACATGTTTTGGCGATCCTTGATGAGATGGTCGCGCTCTTGAATGGCAGCTGCCTGTTCTTCCTTGGTTGCTGCGCTTTCAACACGATCCTCAGCCTTGATAAGTTCCACCTCTTGACCATGTGAGATCTCCTTGGTCGCAATGTTGGCAGTTGCCTGGTCGCTGCTCTGAGCAGAAATCTTGTCTTTGATCGTGTCGACGGGGTGGTGAAGCAAGCCATGTACAGAGATCTTGGTCGGTTCTGGAAGGTCGTGGCCGAGGCGGGATCTGTATGCCTTGACCGTCGAGTCGTTTGCGAGGATGGGCTGAGTGTCGGTCGGAGAAGTGTCAGAAGGCTTGCTGATATGCAGAGCTTTGCGCAACTTCGCAGCGGCCGCGTGTCTTTTGCCGTCGAGAGAGTGGCGTAGACTGTGGTCTGTGGATGGAGCTGGAGGGCCGGGCAGGACGGGATTGGTGAGCTGGATTTGGCCATTCTTGTTGATGACTGCGCGACCGAGGGCGCCGTCAGTATCGAGATACGGCTTCGTATCCATGATGGCTGCCGACTGCCGACTGCCGTATCTTGTTATGTGACGTGATGGTGTTTGTCGCAAGGTAGAAGTCGAAGATTCAAGCTGTGGTGAAGGGCGTGGTTCAATTGGCGACAAATCAGGAAACTCACTTGAACTCGCTGTGAAAGTCACGCAGAGCAATCAAGTTTGGCCGCCATGGCGTCAGCGACTGGTCATCCTCACTCTGCAGCCGTTAGAACAATCAAGACTATTAAGTTCGTCGTGGGGATGGAATCGTGACCGACGAGCCTCTTGCGTCTATTCTCTCACATTCCTCGTTGATCAAAACAGCCACATCGCAGAGACCAGACTTTCGAAAGACCGCTAATCGAATATGCATACTACAGTATTGCTGCAAGCACAAAAGCTTGACTCTGCTGCCGTCAGTGCATGTTGCTCACGCCGGAGCCGACTCCGAAACGTCAAACGGAGCCTGAAGACCAATGCCGAGCCGCATGCAGGCAACCTATGCATCTGCTTCGACCGTCGCATGTCCTCCAACCTCTAATTCACTGAGAATCTGAGTGCCGACCACTTTTCCAGTCCTCTCGAAGAAGATTGCCGCGATTGCCTGGACACCGTGGATTGGCTCGTACTTGTACTGCTTTCTGTGTACCTCTTCCCCGCCTCTCTGGACAATGTCGTCATGACCTGTAAATGTCATGTCTTTTGCGTACGACCCAACAACGCGACTTGCAGAGATGCGCCCGTCATTGTCCAGGTCTTGCTCGAGGATGGCGCCGTTTTGTTCCAGAATTCGATTGGTATGTGAGTTGCCTGAAAAGTCATTGACCGAGAAGAGAATGTTGTCATCGATCACGAAAGAGCGCTTCGCATTGGAATTGCTGCCAGGGCTGGAGCCATCATCGGAGAGAAGCCCGTCCACTGCGTCGCTAGTCTTTTCTACGATATCTCCGACCCCTTGGCCGAGTGTTGCAATAATGGGATTGAGGTCAAGTGATCCGAGCACATCATCGACCATCTGCACGAGGTTTTCGAGTCGCGCTTCCAGCAAAACTTTGGCCTTGACGTCCTGAATGAGGAGATGGACTCGCTCGATTGAAAGGTCAACACCAGCGCTGAATTGTAGGAGCTCCAACACTTGAAGATCCAAATTTACTTTGGCTGTCAAGTTGTCGACATCAATGTCAATCTCTTTGACTGATACAGAAGCGTTTAGGAAAACGTCAGGATCCGGGTATTGCAAGCTCGCATTCTGCCTTGTATTCGCCGTAGAGTAGATGACCGAGTCGTCGTCGCCTTGAAGGGTGAGATTGTATCCGACATAATTTGAATCTGATGAGGTGGCAGATACAGTCAAGCTCAGTACGAGAGCAAGAAGACAGTTGAACATGAGCGACAGCATGATGAGTTCTGGTGCGAGCCGCTTTATACGCCTTGAGCCATGTAGCGACTTGAGACCGAGTAAGAAGAGATGAAAGCGTCTCGTAGTTCAGGAAGTAGGGTACACAGCAGTTGTGTAAGTCAGGTCTTTTCCCTCCTGCTCTTTGCCTCAAGCCCCAGTTGTCACATCGAGACTTGGAGCGCATTGCGACACAGGCGGCTCATGACACACACGAGCGGTAGGATATCGCGCCACCATATTGACAGAATTCTGCAAACTTGGACTATGAGATGCCAAACAAGTAAGCGAGACGTGGGTGCGAAACTAGTCGTTTCACAATTCGAGCCGTCCGAAAATTCGAATTCCAATTGGCCTGTCTGTGCGTCATCTCACGCCAAAAAGCAGGAACTCCCGTTTGACGGGGAGACTCGGCCGACTTCTGGTCCTGATTGTGAGAACCGAGATGAATAATAGTAGTCGCAACAGGTCAGACGGCTAGAATTGTGATCATGTTGTAAAGGTTGTTCGTGACAATTGATAGAACCGACTGCGACTTTCAGATAGTTGAAGGGTGCGTTCCTCTTTCATCTTACGCCCATCTTTCTCTACTGCCATTTCTTTCCGCGCCTAGTCATGACTGTCCGCTCAATATCAAGCGCTCTCACACTTCTTGCGACAAGCATTCTCGCTATCCAAGTCGCCGCGCAAACTGCTGCTTCACCCCCAAGTACAGCCACGGCACCGCGAACAACCATCTCCGCTCGTAACGGTACGACAAGCACAAGCTCACGTTCAAGTGCAGCAACCCAAGGCGCACCTCCAGATGTCTATCTTAATGTCCCGGAGCTTCATGTCGGTCGCATCGAATTGACGGTCGAGAAGTTGAGTGCCGATCTCAACCTGAATGCAAAGGTTGCCAATCTTGTACAACTGAATGCTGGGGTGCAGCTCTCCGTCGAGAAGGTTAATATCACGATTGCTGAAGTGGATGCTGAAGTTGAACTTGTCATTCGTCTTGGTAAGTAATTGCGACACAGGTCTTGTGTCCTTTGTATTGATCTCATAGCAGGTCATCTTGTGGACATCGTGGGTCGTGTCTTTGATTCTCTGGACCTAAATCCTCTTTTAATCAACACAATCGGCAACGCCACGAGTCTCGTGGGCAATGTTGTTAGTGATATCGTCGGTGCAGTTGATGGCTTGCTCGGGTCCATCACACAGGGCGGAAGGACTTTAAACTTCCTTGTCGACAATTTGGGCAATATTGTGCAGGAGGTAGGCGGCGTCAGTTCGATTGTCGGCGATTTTACGAAGAACATGACAGAGACCGGAGTCACGAAGAGTGTTGGCCAAGGACTCACACAGAAAGAGTATTCGTATTCGCCGCTGAATGCACTTGTGGACATTGTATTCAACACTGCAGGTCAGGTTGTACAAGCAGTGGTGCAGAAGAAGAATGGAAGCAGCAGTGGAAGTGTAGGTAATGCTTCCAACTCCACGGTACCTGCTTCTTCGTTAAGAAAGCACTAGGCTAATGCAATAGTATGGTCCTTCTTCACTAGTATGGCATGAGTTCTGCTTAGTTTAACAAGAGTCAACCGAGGTCCGAGGAGTAAGGACTGTAGTAACAGCAAGCTGGCTCGCCGACTTATAGTCGCTTAGATCGTGCTTGTAGGGTTTAAGGATAGTACCGACCGCGGTCGAGTCTGTGTTTAAGAAGATCTAGAAGTAGGGATCGAAGAACATAATTACTAATTTAGCAAGGAGAGGAAAGAATTTATTTATCTATACTAGGTTAATATAGAAGGGAAAGGATAAGTGCTATACTAAGTAGGAAAGTAGATAGATAGGGTGCGTAGTAGTGAAGGATAAGTTATAAAGGTTATAAAGACTATAAGAACAATTATAAGAGGCTGTTAGAACCGTCGCATCATGACATCCCAAACTGGTACGTTATAATGCTAAGAATGCCTCGGCGATCTTAGCAGGAAGAAGGAAGGCAAATGTATGTTGACATCGAATGCCCATCTAACAACCAACGCAATTACGACTTCCAACGCACTTAAAGCAAGCAGCCATGAAACACGCTACATGAGCATAGACATTCAAGAGTCTTCCTAAACTACAGTTGTTTCGTCGTCCATGACTCATTGCAACGCCTGACTCGATTTTCGCTCTCAAGCCACGTTTCAGCGTGTCTTGTGTCCGCCTGATTTCCTCAAAGTCGATGAAGTCCTCCAAATACCCACTACCACGAAAGGTCTTCTTCTTCATCTGGCCACTTCTGATCTTTCTCCTTATCTCTCTTTCGTTATGCAGCCCTGGACGAACTTTCTAATCGTCATTGTCACCATTTTCGCAGCCTGTGAGTCCGCATCATCGGCAACAGCCATCTCAAGCGACACTGCCACTTACGTCGCCCCATTGATAGAGACTTGCCCAGTCGGGACCTCAACCTGCGGTAAGATCAAAGACAAATATCTGGTCATGCTACGTGAAGGATGCGAACCCTCCTCCCACCTTCCCTACATTTCAAGAACCCTCCACGTTGACGATCCAGCCAAGGAATGGCGGATGAAGTGGCATGGCGATGGCGTCTATTCCGTCCATGAAGCCTCAGCAGATTCAATCGACCTCCTTCGTCGAGATCCGGGAGTCGAGGAGATCGAAGAGGGGTACTGGATTCGAATGGACGAAGTTGATCGATGCCGAGACCCAGCGTATTCGGAAGAGGAAAGAAGGCAGTGTTACGATGCGAGCTCGGTTGATTCACGCGAAACTGTTGTGTACTTAAAGGACGAGTGGCGAGCTTCTGCTGGGACATCAGAAGACGACAAGTCTGAAACCTCGACTTTTAGAGGAGAGAAGAAGGAGCTCTGAATTATGCAGAGTAGCTTCAAGATCACTGCGACTGATACCTTTGAGCCTCACAACCTCATTCGAGTCACACGAGACGCAACTGGATGATCCGAGACGACGCTTGATTGGTTCAAGTGGTATCTGACAAGGTTGCGACCTGGCAATCCAATCGAGGGCTGTTTGAGACCATGACATCTTGAGCTTCAAAGTATTTACAACATTCTGACGTCCCGAATTACCGCTCCAAGATCTCGTCGGCTTACCCGAGCTCGTTGCAATGACACAGCCAAAGGGGCGGGTGACAATTTTCATCAAGTCAAAATTGGAGTATCTCTACTCAATGGAAAAATAGTGCTGAATCATACAACGAATGGTCGGGATGAGAATCTCGATATCGCCTTCGCTGCTTGCGCGAGATATCTTTGAGTGGGATGTTGCGCTGCCTTGCAGTCGAATCAAAAAGTAATAGCCCGAAGGTTGGCAAGCCTTGGATGATGTTATTGCAAGATTAGCACAAACTGGTTAGCTGATCCGAAAAAAAGGCATACACATGGTGGCACATTCGACACCATACAGCCGGAATTAGGCGTCCACGCAATCTTCTTGCAACTTAGTACAAATCAACTAGCATGAATCGCCAGTGTCGGTATTCTCAGTTGCAGAAGTCGTGAGAATTCACCACCCCCGTCTTCGAAGTCGATAGCTCTAAGCTCTGAATTCTAGCTAATTCATCGTTATATACTAAATTCCTCGTGCTATATAGCTCTTCTCGCTCTAAATTTAAGTGGTATAGCTTAAGGTAACTGCTCGTCAGTCGATGTCAGTTTTCTAGAGGTATTAACCTATCTAATAGGCACCGATTTAAGCTCTAAACTATGCCTCTTAACGAGCATAATAAGGACCTTATATAGGCTATACCTTACGACGACTACGACGTTAATACTGTCGCTACAGTCGTTCGATATACACCTCGTAGTACGCTCTACCGTATATAGAAGAATATCGAGCTCTTTAGGTAGGTTCGAAGGCCTCCTTCGGCCCTTAAGCGTATAGGAGCTCTACGTAAGATTACGCTAATTATACGCGAATACCTAATAGATCTGCTCTCTAAGAGGAACGACCTCTAGTAGGAGGAGCTAGTATTCGAATTATAGTGTTAATTCGACGTAGCGGTCGATAAGTTAACTATCTAGAGGCTCTTAAAGGAAGAAGAGCTATCTAATAAGGTTAATACGCGTATTATAAGTAGCTAATCTAATGCGTAATAGAGTGTATACCTTAAGTAATTAGCTAAGTTAATAGGTCGAGGTCTTAACGCTAGTATCGAACCTATAGATATATTATTTTATCTTAATAAATCTGTATATAGCGAGAAGGTAATGTTCCGTCGTCGTTTATAGAGTTAGATAAGCCTACCTACGTATATAAGGTTAGAACTAGTTAATAAGACTCGATACTTAGTACTACTAGCTCTAGATATATATAGGTACCTATATAGCTCGTCCCTTATCGTCGAGGGAGCGGTTACCTAAGCTATATATAAATACTAGCTAGAGGCGGTAATCTTACCTTAGTACGAGCTATTCCTAGAAAGGAGGTTAATTATTATTATAGATAATTACTCGACCTATTATTTAGATAAGGTATAGTTAAATTTTATTAATACCCTTATAATAAACTGACTAGGGCAGATTACTAATTTAGGCCGCGAATTTAGTATTTATATATTATACATTCCTCTATATTTAATATATCTTAACCCTATTAAATTAACCTTCTACCTCTTAAAATAATGGCTCCGTCGCTAGCGAGACCTTACTTCTAAGCTAAAGGACTTTTAAGAGCCTATAGACTATAAGAAGGTATAGATATTATACCTCGAGTAGGTAGTTATATAGGCCCTTAAGGAGGTAGACATTAGGAACCTATTCGTACGTAGTTAAGTCCTATTAGATCTTATAATTACTACTACTCGAGCTAGTAGAGCTAGGGCCTAAGGCCGACGAGAGTCGCGAGGAAGGGCCTTCGAACTCGCTTAAAGCGCTACGGCAAGGGTTAAATGCTAACGGGTTATATCGTCGTTATTAACGCTTATAATTATCGACGAATTTAGTAAGTTCCTTATAAAGGGTTATACGAAGGCTACTTTACTTAATAACTCGCGATAATATATCGTCTAACGATACGTATAGTATCTTTAAGGTCTAATAGTCCTCTTCGAGTACTACCTTCGCTCGATTAAGGCCTATTAACTAGTCCGGGTAAGCTAATTTTATACTATCTTAATAGTCCTTCTAACTAGTAGAGGTATTTAGCTCCGGCGGTATAAGCGAGACCTATCGAGGGGTAGGAGTAGCTAGTATAGTCGCCGGCGGCGGCGTAAAGGTCTTATAGCCGATATAGATGTTATTTATAGTACCTTAAGAAGGCGAACCTTATATAGTATTCGGTCGTCTCTAAGGTTACTTCTTAAGGTTAGCTTCCTTCGCCTAACCCTAGGTTAAAAGGTCCCCTGCCCTCGGGGCCTTTTCCCCGCATCCCGCCGGCCGATCGGATCCCGCGAGCCGACCTCTAGACCTGCCCTTAGGGCCTTTTTACCCGTACGCTAAAGTCATTTTTAATCTCTACCCGTACAGAGCTAAAAATTACAGCGTGTAAAAGTCCGCCTCGACATCTAGCTAGTATACCGACATCTCTACCGTTCGAGCCGTAGTTACGTTATTCGATTATATGTTAAAGACAGCCACTCGTCTCTATTCGACGCGACGCTAAGACGCGAC